CTGCAGGGGATTTAGAACTTGATGCCAATGTTTAGATTAAACGAGAAGTTAAGACTTCAATCAGGCCCCAAGGTAAGACTTCAATCCAAACCAAACTCTAAAACAATATTCAAGAATTTCTCGCTAAGACCGTAGTACAAAAAGTTGTAGATGTAACCATCATATTTTTTATATACATATAGATAAATTACTTTCTAAAATATTTTTATTTAAACCAATAAATTTAATATAATTCATGATTATGCAATAGTTTATGTTAAAAATTAATGATTCATAAAGTTTCCATATGCACATGTACATATAGAACGGTGTTGTCTTGATGAATGTGTGCGCTCAGTTATGCTCCGACGCAGCGGTGCGGCGCTTATTACCATCGTCCGGTAATCTCATAGCAAAAACACCGTCAGAACGTCTACGATAACGGTTACCCTATTTTCTTTTTCCCATCAAAGGCGAGGACACACACGCGCGTTCTCCTCAAAACGATTTTGCAACAATTTAATCTAATAAAGTTAATGTTATTACCTTCCGCAGTTCAAACCCCATAAGTGTCGTTTCAAGTTCAAGTTCTTCGTTAAATATGAATCTAAAATACGACGCTATTAAACGTGGAAATAGGAGTTGTGTACTATTTAATGGTGGAACTTGGACCCACTTTAACGTCAATCAGTGTATCTCGTAGCCAATTGTGCGAAATGGCAGATGGTCTGCGAGTGAACAACGCCATCGGCAGCTGCAAGTCCTGCTGTGTTAGGCACGGGAGTCTTTAATATCTTAATTGAATCTGACTCCTCTTTGGTACTATATGACACCGTACTGGAGATGTTATAACAAAACAAGATTTATATTTGAAATAATCTTCACCTGAAAACTCTCTTTTTGATTGCGAGATGTACAGGAAATGTTCAATTATTTCACCCATTACCTGTCAAAAAGCAATAAAGGAAATTTCAATTCCGGATCAGGTCTAATTGGCTCCTCTACGCTTGATGAAGTTGATTTATCATCGTCAACTCACAACAACATCCGACCTCTTTAAATCTTATTTAATATTTTAAATACGTCAATTTAATTAATAGTGATTCGAAGTATCTTCTCATGTACATATTTGGCGAGGGGAATCGAGTCATTTTTCGGTCGCAGCCCCAGAGTCTGAATTATCACCGTCCCACATAGTCTATTGTTCGCCGAAGGAAATTTTAGTACGATGACGAAGACGATGAAGAAGATGAAAAAGACGAAGAAGATGAATAAGATGAAGAAGAAGAGATGTAACACAAATTGAAATTGAACCGAGACCATCGACCCCATGAACTTGTCCATTAGAAGGACCAGGAAGTTCACGGAACGTAGTTGGACCGCGTGGGCACCATCGGAGATATCGGTTCGCGATGACGATGATTTGTGGGGGCGACAGATGCGCTTTGTTTGCAAAACAATAAACGGCGAAACGAGCTAGTCGATTGAGATCGAAACGTGCAGCAAAACGTGGGAAGACATCTTCTAAACAAGACCACGTTTTTTGTAAATAAAAAATGTTGACTTGAGACTTGAGACAAGATTTATTATAATAATACCCAAAAATAAAGAAAAAGTTTTCAATTTATCATCTTATTGCTTGTAATGGATTATAATTGAACGGTTTTCTATAAATCTGTTGGATTCGCGGTTAGATTTGTTTGCCGCTATAATCCGAATAACTAGGATCACCTGGACCGTAACAAAATTCAGCCCTAATTAAACCCGAGCGGCAACGATTTCCTATACGAACGGAATGTTAATTGAAGAGGCGCCCGACAGTAGTGTAATTACCCTCCTCTTCGTGCAAAGAGAGGGATCGATAATAAAAATACGTTCAGATTCGCGACCCAAATTTGCTCAAATAGATTATGACAAATCATTTCAGCGACTTCGACTGAAAGAATTCTATTTAAATCACGTCAACATTAATTAATCGACCTTCTACTCCAATCAATAGATATCAATAACGCAAGAACACAAATATATGACGGAATGAAAGCTGAAATCATTTGAAAAACAATTTTATATCAAGAAGTCATCTTTTTCATGTCGAAATAAATCTTTTTTAAAATGATATATAACAAGTTTGCACTAGTTTTATAAAAAGGCCTGAATTATTTATTTTGGAAAGTCGTCGAGTTTTTAACCGGGATTCCACTGTATATTGAAACGGTTTTCTCTGATAGCTTCCCAACCACAAGACTACTTTGACATAGATAGTAAAATTTAATAATTTTTCACTTGTATTGTTTCTCGCACTTACAACAAAGGAATTTAACCTCATCACTCATAACTAACATAACGGTTAATTAAACCTACTTTGTCTGCCTTGAAAAAATTCTTCTTAAAAGAGGAAGTTCCATTGAAGGAAGAAATTAGTATGCTTGAAAGCATCAACATAAAAACCGCTCTCAATTCAATTACAATACACCACCAGAATAAGCAATGATATATCCAAGAGAACAAACATCGTGAATAGAAAATTTAAACACCTGCATTTCTTTAAATTTTTTAATAAAGAAAAAAAGGCACTTTCACGCTCTCAAAAACTAAACGTTTAATAATTACAAGATAGTCAACAAAGTGAACGGCGAGAAAAGTTGGTGTTTTAGCGGCGCCGTTTAGGAATTTCAGTTTCTACGGTACCGTTATTATTGTTGCGCAAGAAATCTTGTAAAACTTTAAGAGGACAAGATCTCACCGAAAGTTCAAAAAGCTTTTATGTTCCAACAAAAAAAAAAGAACATTTTACACACTACTAAATTATAACTCGCCTTGTCATATCCAATTAGCCTTAAACTGATGATCTGGATGAGTCACCTGGGTATCGAGAAAGATAGTTAATATAATGGATACAAGATCCGTTAAAGGCGGTAAGCCTTAAGTCTTATCTAACGCGAAAGTGCCGATTATAGAAGCTCTACCGCGTTACGCTGGCTAATGAATGTCACTTCTTCGGCACGGCTTCCTGTGGCCATTAAGGACTCTCTATGCAATCAGCTTTTAATTGAAAGGAATAGTCTCGCTTATGCTGCCGGTGATGTCGTCGTTCTTATTTACGGCGACCACGTGAGAAATTGTCGAACAAAGACGGTGTGAATAGTTTATAATGTTTGACTAATACTAAGCTGTATGTTGAAGTGGGATTAAAAATTAAGCTGGGAAATACATTTTTAAAATGCAAATTTTTAGAACTTGAAGTATTTTATAAAAATGGTGACAAATTCACCACAAAACCACTAAAAATACGATTCATTCAATATTATTCATAACAATTAAGTATAAAAACGTTTTGTTTGATAACTTTTATACCTTATTTATGAGATTTTTAGAACTGTGATTAATATAAATCGATTCGCTGTAATTCTGTCCTCTTTTAGATTTAATAATGCTATATAAAGAGCAGAATGAATTAAACATCAACTATCTCTGAAATTTTTAACGCTTTTATAGCAATTTACCAAGTCATTTATTAGAAACTGTAATGGAGGAAGTAATGATTAAATGTAAAGGAAAATCTCCATTGGAGCTGAATTTATTTAACTAAAATCTTTCAAAAACATGATGATGATATGGGCAATTTTAATATTTACAGAAGCAACGCCGATAACATTATCGAAAAAAATTTAGAGTGAATAAACATCACAAAATAATTTTTGATGTTTACTATTGCAATAAAAACATCACATGAAAATATTTAGCAAAATTCACACCATTTAAACATGGCATTTTCGCATGTATATAAGATTTATCTTCAAAGGTTGTTACTGGTAATCACTGAGTCTCAGCCACAAGCGACCTCGGTTTAATTAGTCAAAAGATCTGCAAGTTCACTTGGTAATGCCGAGGTGCTATAATATGATGACCAACTTCAGGTTGATATAATCTTAATCACTAAGCTTCGTCTACAAGCGACCTTTATTTTAGACCCAATCCAATTCAATCCCATACCTTACTATACCAGTAACCATTCAATCATATCTAAAAGTAAGTTGTAATGACTGATTGTTTAATTCCTAACTTTTTTAGTTGAAAATGGTTTTCCTCGATAAGATTAAAATTTCATTTTCTTATTTGTTATTCATAGTTATTAAAGAATTTCATAATAAACTTAGGTTTTAAACAGAAACAATTTATTTTTAATTTCCCCTCCATCATTAAGTATTTATCATAAATACGAATCGTTGAGTTGGAAAAGTAAGGCAAAAAAACACCAATCAACAAATTCCCAACATATTTCCCCGTCATTTCCATTACGCGACACTTTTCATACCAGCCTCGTTTCTCTTAAATAAGCCTTAAACAAATCGTTTCTATGCCGCCGAAGCTCTATATTTTTGCAGTCGTGCCTAAAAATGCAATCCAGCAGACGAAACGGATCGTAGAGACTTAACGACTCGTCTTCATTACATAAAATTAACGAACTCTGTGATTATCTTGTTTGTTATGAAAGTGCGCGCAACTTGAATTTTTTTTGCCAGTCGTTTCAAAGTTCGGAATCGCGTTTTAACCTTGGCATGCATTTGCATGTTTTTGATTAGAAATGTAATAAAAAAAATTCGATGTGGCGGGAAAAAAAGGTTCTATGTCGTTATGGCACGACCCAATGTGAAATTCCAAATCCTTCGGTCGACGAAGAAACCAGTCGACCGAAAATCGAACAACAAAACCGACTTATTTTGAATGCTTTTTTTGTATCCGAAACCAACAACAATGCTATAATGAAATAATACCATACAAAACTTAAAAAAGGAATGATGTCAAGATATCATTTTGCATTTTATGGTAAAGGTAAGATTGGGGAGATTTGAGTTTCCTTTATCTCTCTTCTTATCAATAGAATTTCCCCCTCGAAAAAGACGGTGTGGGTACCGGATCGAAAAGGGGGTTTTGGAGGTTTCATCGAAGGTCCCCACCTAAAAAGCGCGAACGGGGCAACTCGGAGCCGACGCCGCAACGCGCCAACTGACGACCACTGACGACGACGACGACGGTTTAGAACCAGTCCTTCCGACAACACGTTTCTGGACGTACGTCGCAGTCGAATCAGCGTCGTCTCGAAAAGTGCATTTCCCGGCTAAACGAAACGAAAATCAATAGAGGCCAAACAGGATTTTCCGTGCTATATTCACCGTTAAGTTTTTTTCCAAGTGAAATACATAGTGTTTTTCATCTTTTTTAAAATCCTTTCCAAACCATATTATTCGTGATATGATAACATTTTCTTATTGAGATATTTAAAAAAATGTAAGTATTGCAATTAAAATGTTTAATTATTAACTACGTCAACATGTTGAGTAATTTGAACAAAATGTTAAGTAAGTTTTATCGCGGTTTTTTTAGCGTGTGTTCGACCTTTTGAGAAATCCTTGATAATAAGCGACCTTTATCTGAAGAATTTACGAAAAAGTCAACAAAGTTAATCATGAGAAAATTAACATCGATGAAATCAACAAAGTCGTTTAATCATAAAAACTCGAATTCATTAAAATTGTGGTTTCTATAGAAACAACACATTATGTTTTGCTGATTTTTGCGTTCAAACAAAAATTTAGTTGCTGGGTGGATAGTTATTGATTATGTCGTGGGATATTCAAAAATCCTAATTTATTTAATTTTTGAAAAAACTGTACTTTAAAATGTTTACAATTGAGGGGAACCTTTATAATAATTTATTCAACGGTTAAACCCAGGTAAAAATCTATTTGATAGGGGAGGATTTACCCTCTTTTCTTTCTTTTTTTGGGTATTGAAACGCATTTAAAATTTCTTTGGGTTTCCTCAAACATCTCGATTATTTAATACATTCATGATACATAAATAGTTCCTGACATTTAAGCGACGTAATATGATTAGGAATTTTCTCAAGAATTAAAAAAAAATTGCATAATCTATATATGGTAGTTACACAAACATAATGAACCTGTTCCCGAATGACTTAATAAACTAAGCGAGTGAAGTCGAGTATAAAAAGAGAAGCAAGGACGGGGCGCCTCAGCTAATAAAACAAGTTCGCGATCGATGTCGATCTAAATTTTAAACCTCGTTTGCTTAAAACTCAATTACTAAGTCCATTAGATGTGAAGTTGTTGCTTCTAAGTAAACTCACCTCGGCGTATGTTTTCCCCCATTCTCCCAAGTAATATATTAAAGTGGGGAATTAAAGTAGAAAAGAAATTCCTACTTTACCGGTTTAGACAGGGATTTATTTGTGTAATTCAAAAATTTTTGCCGCTCGAGAATCCTGCACACACAATTACAAAGAAGTCATAAACATAAACAAACCGACAATTTCCACTAACTATGCGGCTACGCTTGAATTTATCGGATTCAGAGAGCTTGGGAATGGAACTTGTCGCTTTTTCTATGTTTAATTGAAGAACTGGAATGTTCTTAACAACAAAGAAAAAGTTAAACCATTATTAAAGATAAACAACACAATTAACACCACAATTTTTTTTTTATTTTCCAGAAATCCAAAAATGAAAGTGTCACTATTCACAATTTTCCTCCTAATAATCCATCAATCTTCCTCTTACAACAGCGTACACCTCCTAGCAGAAAATCTCGAGCAACTTGTAACATCAACAACCCTTTCTTGGGTATCAGCTAGCTCCAAATCCAAGCCAGATTACGAAAACGCTGTTATTGGAGCTTATGAGTCACAATTAGGTACTTAATAAACATTTTTAATTTTTTATTTTAATCTCGTTTCATTTAGATGATAGCACTGAAGATAACTCAATCAAAAACCCGATTTACGTCTGCAGAGCGAAACAAAATACTTTCTGGGTGGCAGGTCATTTAAGACCTTACGATAGAAAATGTTTAATGAGCGTTCACGGAATCGTACACGAAGTAGAGCGTTACGAGCTTTTGATCAACACCGAGAATTCCGCGAGATTAAGCTGGGTGAAAAGAGATAAATTCAGTACAGATCCTGCGGGTGTCGTAGTCGGCGGAGAAGATCCCTACAAGAATTACGTCGCTAGAAAACCATTAGAAAACAACCCAAGTTTAACCCACCTCTTAGGTAACCTAGATCCCAACCGAGAATTTGGAATAATCACCTTCGTCGAGGATAATAAAGAAGCGATTTCAGACGAGGGCGAATTATTAGTTGAAACCGAACCGATCAAATACGAAATGATCGATGTTAAATACGAAAACGTTCGAAAAGGCCAACCGCGCGAAGAACGAATTTTAGGAAACGTCGTCTTAAAAAACGCCAACCTAGATGGGGACACAGCAAGAGTTGAAACCGTAATCGGTTATAACTACACTTATAAATTATATTGGGGACACGGACATGGATTACTTTCCGGGTTACCTTTTGACGTTCACGACGAAAAGGATATCCGCAAGAACAAGTGGTCGATTCCCGAACAAAGAATAGAGGTTAAGATTGAAAGTATCGAGTACTTTTTAATACCAGGCACCGCGGTGAACGTCACTTTAAAGGGAATCTACGTCGAAGCCGACTTACCCTACACCGGAACTGTTATTTCATACTATAAAGATGGCGAAAAGCGCGAAAGAACCATTCGAGATAGCAAAAGAGAATCGACAATGTTAAGCGTCACCCCGGAATTTGGCCCCGTTTATTTCCTTCATAACAATAGTTTTGTTCCAACAACCACCACAACAACCACGACGACAACTACAACCACAACTACAACAACTAGACGCACCACAATGGTCACTGAACCTCTTCCCATCGAAATACCCGAAATCCAAGAAACCGTTAAACCAAAGAAAACTCACGATACCGAAGGGAGAAAACAAGAAAATAGTAGTATGCAGTCTGATGATGGCGGCGCTTTATCTTTGAAGAAAAAAGAATCATCCGCATCGAGCGTGACCGTGAATATGCTTACATTTATAGCCATATCGGTTCATTTGTTGAGGGTGACGTAAACGCCAGGTTTAAAAATGAAAGTAAATATCTCGCTGCTGGCAGCTTTGATGTGATAGTCCTATAGTTTGATGTACATATATCGCTTCGTTTTTTTTTTGATTATCTCTCTCTTACTACATAGTCACCCTTCTTCTCTTATTCTTATTCTACTTCTTCTTACACTCTATATTTGTATATATTATAAAGAAAAAAAGAATCTGTACGTGTTTGTAAATATTATAGCGCTGCGAAGAAGTGTCAGAAGTGATATAATATGTTTTTAAAAAATATTTAATAATGCGCGTTTAGTCGCAAAGATTTAGGCCATAGCAAAAAAGACGAACGATAAGATGATGATATTTTTTCAAAGAATTACGTGTAGAACAGTATTTCTAAATGTAGTAGGAAACCGGAGGTGTGGACATCTAAAGTTCCGTCCGTTGTTGTATCATCCTCGATCGTTAGATGTCCGTTTCTCTATGACGGAACCGTTTTCACGATGAAGGCGAAAATTAAAAAAAAATTTTTCGTATTTTGACGATGATGGAAAAAATTTCGAAAGGGACCGCGTAGAGGTTTGTCAAGTACAATTTCGTTGAATTACACCGACTGACTGATTATTTTCCGCAAAGTTTAGTTAGGTACTATGTAAATTGTTTATTGTAGATATTATTCCGACAAATACTACTTAAAAATAAATTAAATCAAATTATTTCTGCGTTTCTTTTTCCTTCCTCTCAATCAAAAAATTTAAGTCCGAAAAATACATTACAGGTAAGTAATGATAAATAATAACACGTTAACTCACCATTCATATCAATTACACTTAAAAGTGAAATTTATTACGTACGGTATTATCACCAATCCCTCTTATTAGTGTCAAAGGAGGCAACGTTCTTCCCCTTAATTGACCGCGACGAGATGTCATCGTACCTTAATTAGATATGCAACTCGTCCTCGCGTCATTTTAACTTCAATTAAGTTTTACAGGGACATGAGTAACGATACAATCCGTCTTCGTTACTTGTAGTTATCGTTGACATTATAATCGTACTTTTCAACCAAACTTAATTTAATTTTACGTCAAAATTGATTCGATAATAAAGTACTTTTTAATTAAATCTATATTTTACGATAACATTAATAAGAAAATTTGAAATGTCTATTGACAATTTTAAAATCAAAGCAAATTAATAACAAAAAGAAGAACAAAAATTGTAATGGAATAATCGAAAATTGTAAAAAAAAATATAAACTGTCGTCATCTAGTGGCGAGTAGATTACATAGATTATCATCTAGCACTAATCATAGATATGTATAACAAATTTCTTTTTTCTTTTAAGGCTCTACAACTCATGTTGGGCTTCCCTTAATCTTTGCCTCCACTTCCCTCTCCAACCCTAAACACCCAGAAGATCTCATGCATGTCCGCTTATTGCGTCTTACAACGTTTCCGGGGTTTTCCCACAAGTTCCCTTCCACGCATTTGTATATTGAGTGCCCTTTTTGGACCATTAACCTCTTCGTTTTGACGGAGTTTATACGCTAAATTAGCTAATTAGTCCGGGTTTCCGGTAAGTTGGTTCGCCCGTCCTACTCGGAGGACAATAACCAAACCAACTCGTGTCATCCAAGAAAATAGAATCCCATTTGCTTCTCCCAACAACGTTGATTTCGAGATCATTTGTACGAACTTGGGTTGGGTTGGATTCTTGGTTGGGTTGTGCTGATGATCAATCGTGCAGGGCTGTTGTAGAGTCATTTTCTTCGTTCTCGAGAATCGTCGTGCTATTTCCTGGATGGATCTGTATTCTTCAGGTTCGGTACCACGTCTCCATCTCTCGCAGCTTCTTGTAATCAATTCATCACCCCTATTTGTATCAACAAGTTTGAAAACAATGATATCCAGCTGAACACTCAAAATCATCATAGTAAAAAAGTTGCAAAAACAATTTGTAAAACTTGGTGTTTTAAAGTTTGAAATTTTTAAAGATTACAAAGTTAAACGAGAATACATTATTTCAAATAACTTATTTATTTTTTGTTAAGGTTCTTATTGACGCAAACATTCATTCAGTTTCGATTAAGCATTAAGGTATCTAAAAATACCGTTTCGGTTCATTTAACCATCCGAATGTCCGCGTGGTCTACATTCCAGAGTATCGATTTTGCGCTGGAGTTGTTGCCGACCAGAGGACGTACAGGAGAGGGTTGATGGGGAGGCGAGGGTGTGTTGGCTTTGACGACGCCCTCACCGACGCCCGGCGTCGCGGTGCCGCCGCCGTGTCTATAGCCTTGTCCCGTCTTCCCGTCCCGCCCTTAACCGTTGGCCTACACTCACGGAAACCATGCAATAACGTGACTACAATAATCATCCACCCCCCAAAGCCCCATTCTAAACTTTGTAATACAATAATGCAATAACCAATTATCCACATACAAAAAAAATAAAGTCTAAAATAACACCTGATGCTCAATAATACTCAGTAAAATAAGGAAGATTTATTTAATGTGAAGGATGGAAAACGGAAACACCGGATATGAGGTCTCATCGTTCATCGCCACTTCCGGTCACCGAGCAACATAGCGGTGGCAATTAATTATTAGGGATGCCGTGAAATCCGCAGACCATGACAGAGCTCACCGACAATTATAAGATAAATCGGTTTAAAAAAGGTGTAAAAAATTAATTTGAAAATAATAAAATTGCATTTTCCGGTAATTTTAACTTTTCCATTATTAAAGTTAAACGATCAATTTAATACGAAATCAATTAAATAAGAGAAACGCGCCCAATCAAATCGTTAAATCCCGTGGGAAGAATTAACGTAAAGATGAAAAAATGAGCACGAAGTGACAGGAAGGCAGCTTCTTTTGTAATTAAACGAAGCGGAAACTCGGTCTCGTCCACTATCTCCGTAATTATTCGATCTAAATAATTATTGCAATCGAAGATCTATAGAAACGAATGCGGCGAATGAACGTAATTAAAGAGATGTATAATTTCCGTGGTACACTTACTATTTATAGTTATAATATATTATTATATATATTATTACTAATAGTAATTCCACATTTATATATACAATTTAAGTAAAACGTAACTATAATCGGCGTTTTTTTTAATCTAAATATAGACGTGCTTAAAATGTCAAATTGGGCCTAATAAAAAAGTACGAAGTGGGCCTTGACAATGCCTCTCGCTCAATTGTTTCTAACCTGCACGTTTCAATGTCAACAATGTTACTCGAATGGTACGTTTAGAATTAGATAATGCATATAAAATTAAGCAAGAACGAATGCATCCTGCATTAAAAGCGATTAATTAAAGAATTTATTTCTTTGCAATTTAAAATGGAGATATTTTTAGAAAACGAACCAACTATTATCTGGCTCGTTGGTCTAGGGGTATGATTTTCGCTTAGGGTGCGAGAGGTCCCGGGTTCAAATCCCGGACGAGCCCACAATTTTTTTTTTTTTTAATCTCTTTAAATTTATTTATAAATTATTATTAATAATTAAAATAATAATAAAAAAAATTTACTAAATAAAAGCATATAAAATAAAGCCTCTGTTATAATAATGTAGGTCACATCTTTCTACTAAGAATTTTAAATCAATCCCATTGTGGTAATGTATAACGGCGCCAACTGTGGGAACAAAATAATAAAAGTAAAACGTCCGCGACGCTTAACTTTCTGGGGAATGAGATCAGCTACAAACATAGAATTAATCATAATTCATATCTTTAAAGATAATTCCTTTAAGAAACGAATTCCTTTTAGTCTATGTTTGTGTGTACATAATATTATACTTTATGCCATCCATTTAACGCTTGGTAAATACATATGTGTTTGGTTTAGAAGAGAATAAACACTCACCCATCACTCCTAATTGTTGCGGCGTTAAATGAGCACCATCTCCTCCTCCGCCAATCTCTTGCAGCTGACCCAAACCGCCACTTGCTAAACTAGCCGACGCCAAAGAAGTTTTTTCACTTATTATTGAACTTTGTCTAACTGTTACTCGATCACTATATCCACTATAACCGACGCTTCTTCGTCCACTACTTGCTTGACTAAATACATCTAAAAAAGAAATTATAATCACAATATTATCTTAATGCGATTCTTATGGTTATAATAATAAACTTTTTTAATTTATAAAGAAATAGAAGAGTTGTTGTACCAAATTGCTTTTTATATCAAATAATAACAAACATTCTTGTTTGGTTATCTTTAAGTTTGTAAATTATAAAACATTAGAAATTGTTTGTAAAGGTAGCATGAAACTTTAATGTTTTGAACCTTCTAAAGCATCATATTCCTTAACGTTCTAAAGAGTTCCATTTCAATTTGACAGTTACGATTTGACAAGTGACATATTTCAATTAATTTGACAGCTCTTAACCTAGTTTTTTTAAATTACATATTTTTGGGTCAATACATATAAATATGTATTGACCCAAAAATATAACAATACTATATTAAAAAATATCATTATTACTAATAATGATATGGAATAAATTTATTTATATCTGAAAAAAAATATATAATTTGTCATCTCAAACGAAATTAAAGCACCATTACATCGAAAAACTTATAAACTCTTATACATAAATAAACAATAGACATTTTTTAAATTTTTTTCTTAAAATAAACCAAATCTTCCATAATCTTAAGTATAACACAATCTTAAATGTTATCATTAAACTTAGTATTATCATTTCTAAATATAAAAATGCGTCGCATAAACTTCGCAACGACGTGTGATATATTAAATAACAACTCAATGAAACAACCCGTTTCAACCTTGACAAGCAATTCTATCCCCGGAGATATAATTTATTAAATAATCTTATTTACCAACTTTTTTTGAATTAAATTTTTTTCTCCTGCCGTATAGTCAACCGAATACACACAACAACACAAACAGTTATCCAAACTCAATGGTGACATCTCAAGGTGAAATGGAGAAGTAACAAAATTATGATACAAACAACAGAAATTGTAACAATCAAAGGTCATGGGGGAATATTAAAATATAATGAGAAGAAAATGCCTTCTTAAAATAATTAATCGATCTTTTTATGTTAATAATTAATCTTGATTACCTCCGTTTGGACTCCTGACGCCAGAATTTCGAGTGTTTCTCTTTACAAAAACACTTCTCCTATATCTTGCTGGGTCAACAATTTGCTTCTTTCTTCGCATATACCGAGCTAAAACCCCTAATAAAGCAACGCCGGTTGTAACAGAAACAACAACAACCTGTAATCGAATACACAAAAGCATTAAATTACAACCATACCATAAACAAACACAACATCATTTTTACCTTTTGGGTCGTTGTAAGCGTATATCTATCCGGTAACAACCTTTTGGCTTGCTTTAAATGTTCAACAACGAGATTTAAATGTGCAAGTAAAGACATTGTGCTTATTAGTTAAGTGTTAATGTGAATGGTGTATCGCGGCTTTTAGGTTAGGACTAAACTTAACGTGATTAACATCAACTTGGTGGAATAAACTGAACTTGAACGCGAACTGTTTGCACTTATTTGATAAACGGTGAGGTTCTTATAGGAATCATTTCGATTGTGACGTTAAATTAAAAATCGCGGTTATACTCTGCTTGAGTTTAAGGTTAACTATTTTATCGACATGAGTGAGTAGGTTAGTAATAATGATGTGAAGTTAGCTTTTAAAGATAATGTTATTAAAAATGTTATTAATAATTATTGATTATAAATTAAAAAATGTTTATAATTTATATTAAATAAGGATTTTAAAGAAATTTATTAATTAACGATTTTAATTTTAATGTGTTAAAATTTATTGTTGAAGACAATGTTATGGTAATAATGTTGTTATCATACCCGAAAATAGGACACGAGGATAACAAAGTTTATATTGCTATTTATATCGTTATTTATAATTATAATCATAAACGTTTTTGAATTTATTGATAACCTCGAGAAGATGGGTGTTTACGGAACTCTCCGCTAGTTGTCGCTAAAAACGTAAATATTTTTATATAAGTCTTAGGACCTCGAAGTTCACTAATTTAGAACTCCCACTTAAATAACTCTCACCTAAAAAACTTTTTGATTCAGTCGTGTTAATAAAATCGGATTGTGTAATTGATTAGTTTTAGAGCGTTTGATTAAAAATGCTCCCTTCGTTCTTAAATAAGTGTGGGGTCGGATCCCAGTGCGGAAAAACTATGACTATTTCGATATCAACTCGTTTAAAAGGGACTATTTTTTGTAATCTGTGACATAATACTTTCAAGAAAACGAAATAGAAGAAGGACCCACACCAAATAACACTAGGACTAAAACGGAAATTAATCAAATTATAACCACAAAAAATTTTTAAACCATTTTGTATACAATAAATGGCAACTTCTCTTAAAAGGAACAGCAGTCGAAGACGCCTTGCAGCAATAACGTTCCTATCGAACATCTCTTTGGACGGTAGCTATCGTGATACACGTCTATCCCTTTTACCAAGAAACGGAGCAATCACAAAACCAGATCAATTTAACGAGGTTCTTATTGAAGAATCAGACGATGGTTTTAGCGATTGCGAACCAAATTATGGCAAACCACGGGAATATGCAAAGAAAAAGTTTAAATCTAAAGCTTATAGTTCAGATGCGGTTTCCTTAAGTTCCGATTCTGAAAGTGTTGTTACTCCAGTTAAAAGTAATCAAGACGAAAATGTACCAAAAAGTACACCTAGTAAAGATAGGTACGACAAAAACATAAATTTTAATCGCAATAGCCAAAAAAAATTTTGTTTCTAGATATTCCGAGCCTGTACAAGAGAAAAAAGTCAGTTTAAGACGTAAAATTGGTGGACCGCAAGTATCTTTGGGTAACGATAACGATAGACATCATGCTAGCAGTACAGAAAGCTTGACGCTTCTAAATGGTACTGTATTTACTTATCTTTAAGTATTATCTTTAAAGATAAGAACAAAAAAAAATGCTATTGTTGTCTATTTTTATTTTTGTTGTTTTTTAAAATCTTTTTATAATTACATCTGACAAGATTAAAATTTACGTTAATCATCTTATCTGGATAAGATCCTTTTAAATTCTCAAAAACATGACAAGATCTACATGTATTTATAAATACAAAATCAAGATGAGCTAATTTGGGTTTTTAACTATAAACAAAGCATAAAGAGTTGTTAAATGGGTCTCATTAAAAATATAAAAATAACCAACAACTACATAAATAGCCCGCGAAAGTTTAAAATCGTTAAAAATTGACAATGTAAAGAAGTAAACAAAGCGTTTGAAGATTCAAAACAAAGCAGAACAATAAATTTTCTTATGCAATAAACGCACTATGTGTTTTTGCATTGTTATTTATGTGGTCTTTTAAAAATAATAAATGTTATTGTCTTGAGAACAATGGATTATAATTTTTATGATATAAAAAAAAAATAAGAAAATAGTTATTTTTCGCTTTGTTTTATTATCATGATTTGAAATCACTTAATAAAAATTTGATTTTGCAACAAAATTGTTATTCAGCATCCAAAGCTCAGAGAAAAGCATGATAAAAGTGAACCAGTCTTGGAAGATCTGTATTTGAACTATTGGAATATGCATTTTCTTGCAGTTTAGAATTTAGCCAGAGTAATTCCAAACGTTTTCTTACAGTTTAAAGTTTTTTCAGTGAAAGTCCAGAAATTCTCTTGTAGTTTAGAATACTACCAGTATAATTCCTGAATTTATCTTGTAGTTTAAAGCTTGGTCAATGCAATTTCAAGTATTTTATTGCAGTTCTTCTTCTAAGTTAGAACTTGGCCAGTGTAATTCCAAATATTTTCTTGTGATTTGAAGATAACTTAGTGTAATTCCAGACTTCTCTTTGCAATTTAGAACTTGACCAGTGCAATTTCAGACTGCTACCTGCATTTTGGAAATTACCCAGTGTAATTCCAAACTAATTCTTTCAATTTAGAACTTCGCCAGTCTAACTTCAGAGTTTTTCTTACAATTTAGAACTTGGACAGTGTAATTCTAAATATTTTCTTGCAATTTAAAACTTAGCCAGTGTAATTCTAGAGTTCTTCTTGCAATTTAGAACTTGTCCAGTGTAATTACAGAAGTCTTACCTTATTTATTATATATTTACAAACATTTAAACAAATTTGTATTTATTAATATATTTTTTAAACTATGTCAAGGTTGGTGAAACTTTTTTTTTTAAAGAAATGGATAAATAATATTTATTGCCTAATATTATTCAATAAATTGAGTCATTTTATTCACTTAAAATAAATATTAATAATCGGTTTTAACTGGTTATGATTAAGCAATAAAATTCTAACACTTAATAACCATTCAATCAAAATCCCACTGATTCAAATCTACTTAGAATATAAAACAAAAATTTGGCACGATGACGCGTTTAAAATAATTGTTTTATTTTCGATAACGATCCTAATCGCTTATTTATAATAAAAGAAAGAGCGAATTTAATTTTTTTTGTGTTTCTTTTTATTAATTAGTACGTACAAAACCTGGTTCGGCCCCAGCAGCTATTCCTGAAGATATTATCACCTCAGAAACGAAATTCGTCGATCCAAAACGTTATAAATTTAATAACGAAAGGATCGTGATGGTGTCTTCGAAATATCTACCGTTTTATGTCTGCTCAATAATTCCTTATGTGAAAAATCTACGTACTTCACGGTAAAAAATAATAAAAAAATTAAAATTAATAAATAATTACATTTTATTTTAATGTTTAGACCGGAAATAAGAAGGGAAATTAACCGGAAACGAAATACTTCGGGTACTCGACCTCTTTCGGTTGTTGGAGAACTTGCAGATCCATTCGATGCTTTTGGGATTAGAAAAAATTTAGATGGACAAGTAATTAATAAAAAATAAAAATGTTGCGTAATATTGATTTTATTAAATATTTTTAGGAAGTTTCTTACGGAGAATTATTAGTCCCGTCTCGAGCAGTTAAGGATTTCCGAGATAGGAAGTGCAACTCGACGGATGAGGTGCAATTAAGAAAAAACGGGAAATTGCCACATCAAGCAATAGCAAGGTGCTTAAAACTTCCCATTTATCCCATTATTCGTTTAATTTTCAGCCACTTTTTTTCTTAGAAATATTATTAATAATATTTTTTTAAATAATTTTCGAAATCTTTCCAGGACAAAAGTAATAACATGGCAGCCTGATTATAAATGGTAATAAATTATTTTCAAAAAGCTTAAAAAGAAAAATTTTTGTAGATATTTTTTTAATGCATCCCCTTTTTTAGCTTTTACTTTTTATTAACAAATTTTATTGAATTAAAACTAACAACTTTATCACTAGAACTAACACTATCACTATACCTGTGTGTTATTTGTAGTGCTAGTGTTATTTCTAGTGGTACTGGTAATGTTAGTTCTAGTTTTAGTTTAATACCGGCCGTGAAAGCCTTCGTACTTATAACAAATTTACTATTTTCAAACTAAATTAAAATGAAGCTTAAAACAATTATTTATTTATATCTCTTTTTTCTTAAAAGGTGTTTCTCGTACGATCAATCTGCCCAAAAAGCAACGGCTCACGTTTTGGCAACATCCCCACCAAGCGACATTAAAAAGGAAGACGATGTAACATTCTCAACATTAATTTATCACCCAAATCTTCTCGACGATCCTGAATTAATCGCTGGGAAGCACCGAACTTTATTAACTTTCACTTCTTATATGACATCCATCATCGATTATGTCCGACCTTCCGATTTAAAGAAGGAAATTAACGACAAATTTAAAGAAAAATTCCCTCACGTACAATTAACTCTAAGTAAATTAAGAAGGTAAATAAATTAATTCTTTAAGTTGATTAAATTAATTAATTTTTTTTGCAGTTTAAAAAAAGAAATGCGTAAAATAGCCAAATTAGAACCAGGAATTGATTTATTATCGGTAGCCCAAGCATATGTCTACTTCGAAAAACTCATCTTACGCGGCTTAATCAACAAACAAAACCGAAAATTGTGCGCAGCTGCGAGTTTATTACTTTCAGCAAAACTCAACGATGTTAAAGGTGACATTTTAAGGGGATTATTGGATCGAATCGAAGCTGTTTTTCGTGTAAACCGTAAAGAGTTGGTTAACGCGGAATTTGCGGTCCTTGTCGCCCTCGAATTTGGACTACATGTGCCCACGTGGGAGGTACACCCGCATTATCAGCGTTTATTGTACGAATCCTGACCATGGTTAACCGTGTTCAATAGATCTCCAAATAATTTTGGTTGGATCAATAATTATGGATCGTGTATTTGCGATGATGCGAGTTTTATTTTAAACTGAAAGATAACATAACAAATAAAATAAAAGATGTGGTTATAATGAGTTAATGAAAAATTATCTGTAATAGGTACTGTGATAGTAAAAAAAATTAAAAGAACACTTCTTAGAATTTTTGGAACGTTTATGAAATTATGAATCTTTAAATTGGACCTATTTAGTATTAGTTCTTAAAATTTTTGCATGAAGTAATATCATTAACGTGATATAACGTTGTTATATCATTTGACATTGACTTAACTTTGAAGTTATGAATTTTTTATTAAAAATGTGTAAAAATATAACACCTTTAAAACTTGTGTAATGTAATAACTTAAGAATCAAACGCAGTACTTATCGTATCTCAAATTTGAAACATAAAAATGTACAACACAAAACGTAATCTTTGATACATTTTTTAATGTTCTAAGAAAGCATCGAATTAAATATAGTTAGTTTATTTTCGTTTGATCATTACCTCATTTAGAAGAAAATTTTAATCTTCCAGGATGTAGTGATTGAACTCTGGAAATAAATGTACTCTTTTTACTTTGTAGATATACGAGTTAATACAAATTAATGATATTTACGGAGTGATATTTTATAAGGTAATGTACTTAAAGTTTAAGATTTTTTCTCTTGTAAATAAGGCCAACTTTTGTTGTTATTTCCTATTTTATGATTTTCCGATTACTTTTGTCGTCCTGTGTGTTAACTAATATTATTGTTCCTTTTTCGAGTATTTATGTCACAGTTATTTACTTGGTAATGTAACCCTAAAATACAGTAAAACATAAAATTATATTACAAAAATCACTTTTATTTCGTAATTCCCGCCCTAGTAACATTTAACGCTAAAAGTTTAAACCAAGTTCAAATTTAAAAAGGTTAAAAACTTTCTTTTTAAGATTTTAAATTTCCCGGGTAAATTTTTCTACCCCTCTACATAGGCAATCGCCGTCGATCCCCACCACTTTTTCTAATATCAGATCAAAAAAGGCTTTGATATAAAAGTGTGGCACGTGTCGTGTGTTGTTTTTATTAAATTTATTAATTGTTATGGATTTGTGAGCGCTTTAAACTAACGGAAATCATGGTACAGGTACGTTGCAACTAAATTCTTGCAAAAAAGCACGCGGAATTTACTGGTTATAGTTAAAATCCGCGAAAAACTACCCCTATTTTTTCTGACGGGGTCGCGAAAAAACATGGCGAACAAATTTTTCTACCAAACGTCCGATTGAACTTCTATTGTTTCTTAATCAACATCTCAAGTTACCTAAGTTTTCTAACCTCAAATTCATTCTTAATTAATACCATGTGTTTATTTTTAATTTATTAAAGTTTATTAACATAAAAATTAATTTGATTTTATTATTTAATTATCATAATTAGATGTATTGATTGATTTTTTGCGAAAAATTTCGAAATGTTTTGTTATTTATTAAAATAAAATTGTGAGGTTATGTTGTTGTTTTATTACAATAAATTTGACATTTAATTTTAATTAATTTACTTATTTTTTTATTTAGGCACCTGATATAGAGATGGATCACTCCGATCTTCCCCAAGCCTTAGTACTCCTCTCTGAAATGAACGTAAGCGCCCAACATGTAGCAACATTAGTAGACAACATGTTGCAACGTGTAAGAAATGGTGAATTAACGACAGATCAAGGATTAAGTTTTCTCGAAATGAAATACAACATGCTTTTAAGTTACTTAATTAATTTAACGTACGTTGTTTTAAGAAAATGTTCTGGAGAAAAAATCGAAGACGATCCGTGTATCGATCGATTAATTGAAATACGAACGGTTTTAGAAAAAATAAGACCAATTGATCACAAACTTAAATATCAAATTGATAAATTAGTTAAGACTGCTGTTACCGGCACAACTGCCAACGATCCTACCGCTTTTAAAGCGAACCCCGAAAATTTAATTGGCAAAAACGATGAAAGTTCAGAAGAAGACGATTCGGAAAATGTCGATGAAGATAGAAGTAAAAACGTTTATGTTCCCCCAAAATTAGCGGCTGTTCATTACACAGAAGAAAACTCGCACGAACGAAATAAACGTCTTCAAGAACGCAATAAAAAACAATTATTATCTTCCTCGATTATGCAAGATTTACGCGAAGAATATTTGGATGTTCCCATTGAAATCTCGCAAAGTAGTCGGGCTCAACAAATCGTGAATAAGCAACAACAAGAACGAGAGGCGTATGAAGAGGAGTATTTGACTCGTTTGCCGGTTAATAAATCTGAGAAACACGCAAGGCGTAAATTGAGTACGTTGGGCACTTTGGGTGATGAAATAACGGACTTTGGGGGCCCGGCAAAGAAACGACGAAAGAGTTCTTCCAGTAATAAAAAGGGTAAGAGTAAGGGGAAGAAAAATTTTAAACGAAAGAGGTTTCATTGATTTATTTTTATTACGTTGGGTTTTTTGAGAATATAAAATGTGTAAAAAAAGTGAAATAAAAAGAGGAAAATCAAGAGCTTAAAACCCCAGTTGCCTATGGTGACCTTATAATTTCTTTTAGTTTGAAAGTTTTAAAAAATTAATACAAAAAAATTCAAAATTGGCGTTTTTATCGAAATTATCTTAAAAAAAAAATTATAGCTGCGGCTGTTTCGTGTAAAATTAATTGTAACATGTAGTGGTTGGTTTTCGGTGTAAATTAATTTCTTTCGTGTATTTAACTTTCGAAATAATGATATTCTCTTTGGAAAGTTTTTGGGACAAGTTTTGGAAAAAACAATTTTTTAGTCACCTTTCTGTTGTTCTTTCCGTTTATTTCATTGAATTCGCTTTCTTTTTTGAGTCTTTTGAGAAACATAAAAAGAAATGGTTGTTGATGAACCAAATTTTTTTATGTTTTTAAAATAAGAATTAAAAAAAAAATAAATGTGGTTCATTATTATCTGTGAGAAGTATTCGTCTAATAGACTGAAGATATTTTTACAATATAATATTACTGTTATATCGAATCTTAAAAAAAAAAAAATAATAAGAATAAACTTCATTTTACGAATATTTTTAGATCGTAAGAAATGGACTTTTAGAACGCACATTTCTACGAGTTAATGATGATCGATAGTTTTTACGAAATATTTTTTCGTAAGCTTTTTAATTTGGTCTAAATTTTAAAAATACAATACTACTGAATAACAAAACTAAAATTAACACTAGAACTAGAAAGTTGTTAGTTTAATCAACAACTAAAGGCGAATCATAGTAAAAATCATGATATTACTTGATATTATTACTATGATGTCATGATATTATTTTAATACAACCTCTTCTTTCTAAAATTTAGACTAAAATAAAAAGACCATTTTTTATTAATTTAATTGTTTAATATTTTTCCTTTGACATCGTTATCTCGTTCGTCTAAACGGTGTTATTTAAAAAATTGTTTATAGTTGGTCGAACGGGTTTCGTGTCGGTTTGTTAACCACAACTTATTCGTTTATTGTTCCCCTATTATTATTATTAATCTATTATTATTGATCGTTTTTTTTTTAAACAAGTTTTAACCCAATTTTTTATTAGAAAAGCTTTCACATTACAAATGAATAAATACAGAGCAGTACAAAACCATTAAATGATTTTTATTTTTTGATATAGCAATAAAAGTTTTTTCTCACAACATTTCCGCGAGTACCGTTGGTTTATTTACGAGTTTATGGGAGTTATTTTTTACACGACAATCTAAATAAATTGTAAAACGGTATTTGGGGAGGTGTTATTTTGCTTTTTTTGCTAACAATACAATAAAAGTACAAAGTGTTAATCATAAAAATAGGATTAATTTTTCTTTTTGGTTTAATAAAAAGTAATTTGTTGATATTTGAATAAATGTGAAAGTTTTATTTCTTTTTTTTATTATTATTATTATTGATATGTAATTACATTATTATTTCTGATTTTTTGGGAATTTTATAGTAAATTAGTTGTATATAAAAAGATATATTCAGTAGCTCACTGTTATATAACAAAAAAAACATAAAAAAACAAGTATTTGGTAGTCACTTTAGGTACAATTTAATAACGCTACTGATTTCAAAAAAGAAGGCTCAAAATTTTTCTAAAAAATATGTATAAACAACATTTATAAATTATTGTTGTTTAAAACTTATAATTTTCTGATAGCTTTAATTTTTTTCTTTGATTTTAAAGGAAAAATCTGTATATTTATAATTTTTTTTAAATAAATATTTTCTTTGTAAAAATTTATGTCTCTCCATATTCCAAAGGATAACACCGAGTCCTTTTCACCGCCAATTCTTTTCCATCGCTATAAACCCCTTTGCAAAAATTGTACGATCTCGATCTATCCGATTTAATCCTTTGGAGTTCCTGAGATTTTTCATGAAAACCTTCATCGTAAAATGTATGCTCGGAAAATTCGGGATTATCATACTTAAATATCCTATTTTTTAAATGAGGAAGTTTCGGCGTTGATAACTAAATATAAACATTATTCATAACTAATTTAAAATAAATTTTTAACAATCACCCTTTCCATAGCATAAGGAAACGGAGGTGTATAACTCGTTTGCATTGTTGTTCCATAATCATTAAAAGTTGTACTGAGACAAAATTCATTGTGAGACCCACACGGAAGCAAACTAAAAAATAAAATTAATAAAAATTTTAAAAAAATTATATTAGATACTCTTTATAACTCATATAAGTCATCATATGCTTCCGATTTGATGGGGTAAACCTGGAAGGTTTATATCGTTGACTCAACATATCCATAGTTTCGGTGATGTACGGTGGTTGTTCATCAAAACCGAGATGTTTATAATGCGACTTAAACAAATTTATACTCCCCGGGCAATACGGATCTTCATCAAAAGGAAGAGTGTCTCTAAATTGATCCCAATCTTCTACTTTTACTGGTAAACTATACGTGCGTTTCGTGAACAACACATTTTTTATCACTTCATCTCGAGGAACAGTCAAGTCTAACTAAAAAAAAGTTTAATTGAAAAGTTGTGATAATTTTAATAAAATTTACTCGAAATTCCGGGCAAATTATCGATCGGGGCATTTTCTTTTTTTAAAATGAGTACAAGAAAAGCAGAGTTGAGGTGTTGATTGAAATTTGAAATTGAAGATTGTTTTGACAGAAAATGATACCAACCTAAATTGTTTTCAATAATAAAATAAAACGAGAAGGAGTAAGTTTTTAAGGGCTAATTTTTAATAAATTTTTATGTTATAATCAAGAACGATGTACCATAAGGTCCTTGGTTATCATATCAAATTTATATATAAATAAATATGAATTTATAAGTAATGCCATCTATAATCGAATAGTAACTTTAATCAAGACGACAATTGATTACTTTATGTTGTCACTTGTCAGCCATTTTCTACTAAACTTATCTCTAATCGGTGGTGCATCTCGAGTTTTCGTCAAGTTTTTTTGGATCGCGTCTCGCCGAAATCATTACCTAACTTGTGAATTTGTGTTGCTTCATCCGTAGGTCGTCGAATTAATAATTTTCTTGGCCCGGAAGGATTTTCCTGCTCGAAGCCCGTTGTCCGAATCCCGTTCAGGCGAACATGGCGGAAGATATTGACGTTGAGGCTATGCTAGAAGCCCCGTACAAAAAAGAGGTCAGTGTCCGATTCAAATTAGATATTACGATTAGTTTATTTTACGTAAAAATATATAATATAGAACGCCAGTTTATGAACTTAAATGGCAAGTACGATGGTCGGAAAATGTAAAAAAAGCTACGAGACAAGATAAACATGTTCGTACTTGACATTTTCCTTGTATGAGTGTTTTAGTTTTTTAAATGTTTTTTTTAGTTTATAATTAATAATTTTTAATAATATATTTAATTGTTTGGATTATTATTTTTACATCACTTTCCTAATTTTAATTTTAGACTTATGAGGTTTATTTCGGTCTTGCGTCGGCTTCAAGTGTAACGAACAGGTACTGAATCCATACTTTTAATAAGTTTTAAACTATTTACATATATATATCTTTATCAATATCTTTAATATAGGAAAAATAATCATTTTTTTTTGTTTACAACACACTGTACATGTACATTTTTCTTTTTTTCTTCCCCCTTTTTCATTGTAAAAATTAACCGAGGTATCGTTTATATAAATCCTCCTAAAAATATGTTTAAAATTTAGAATAAAAGCAAAATAACTTAAAAGAACAAATTTTCAAGTACATACATTAGTATTTTTTGTATATTTATTATTTTTGTTAATTTGTATATTGGTAAAGCTGATCGGTGAATTTCTCATCATAGGGTTGCAGTGGACGATCGTGACCCCCTCTGGTGTTGCAATGGCCCGTGTCTACACCTATTCACCCGAGTCGGTGAAACAACTCAATCTCTCTTAAGGTGGAATATATTAACAGAGTCTATCAGTTGCAATTAACTTTATTAATTGTATATCAATTTGAAACAAAAAAAGATCAAGTACGGGACATTATTATTATTATTTTTTTTAATTTAAAATATTCTGTTATATAGGTACCAAAATCAAAACAATTCTTTTTTTACGCACATTGCATAAGTATTTAAAATGACAAACAGGATACGTTGGTAAATAATGTTTCCCTTTTTTTATAAATAATTTCTTAGTTTACACCATAATTTGCTCACCTAACCTCACTTTTTAATGAAGTGAGGTTAGGTTACATTTTTTAAGTGTCAAATTTTCAATTAAGACTTAATTATTAGTTTAAATGTGACGAAAATCTTGTAAAATTCTGTTTGGATTATAAAATCGTTATAATCTAATTAGATTTTTGCTAAAAAACATGTTGGTTTTTTTTTCTATAATGCTTGTCAAGGTAAATTTTTTAAATTTACGTTGTTTGCCTGATTTCTAGTAACATTTGCAGTAACTAAATACTTGAGGTTAAAATAGTAATACATTTTTAGATAAATACGATTTTAACGAAGTACATATTTATTGTAAAAACGTACTACAAACTAATGAAATAGTACAAAAGACCTTTTTCTAGGTAAACAAATGGGAAATAAACACCCCAAAATATTCTTTATGCAACATATTCATGTTTATTACCTTCCAAATCAGAGTCTTTGAGGTTTATGATGAAACAAACGTCAGTGTGACATATTTATTTCAAAAATATGATAAAACAAAACTCCCTGTTAATTTTACCAACTTTACAACAATTTTACAGGTGTTATAGAAAAAAAAACGAAGTGTACATATTTTAAATTTTCAAACGGCTACAACTTTGTTATTTTAATTGGTATAATTTTTCTTATATATTTATTTTCTAGCAAGACAACGACTCCAAGCACACATTGGTAAACTTTGATTGTTTGTTATATTATGAGCTGTCTCATAGCTCAGATTTAAATCCGATTGATTATGTTTGGGAGATTTATAAATTTTATTTAAATAAAGAAAAATTAAATTTCGTCACAATTCAGAGGCATTCATCCAATAAAACATTCTCCAGCAAATTTGTGTCGTTCTCATTTTATGTTAAAGATCATTAAACTATCAAAAAGAAAGATGAGAAGATTATGGTGTGAAACAAGAAAATTCTAAATCTAATTTAAACCTGTTTGTTATTTTACAAAAAAAAAAAAAAAATGAAATAAATTAATCAAAGAGATCAAATTAAATTTCGTTATACATCTATATTTTTGTATTTCACAATAAGACACTGATGGTCTTATGCAGTGTATTTTTTCAGAAGTATTGATCTGGATCACAAACAAGTTTAGCCAGCAAGTGTTCGTTTGTAATTCTGCACAGACGGTAAGTCTAGTCCCGACTAGACGACGCGTTTTTCAGCCCCCCTACATCGACATCAAAAAGTAAAATTAAAAATTGACACAGAAAGAGACAGAGGCGATGTGTCCTATTAGGATTTCTTCTCGTTTGACTGCGTCTTATACGAGACACGACGTCATCTCCGTCGAAGAACGTTTTGCTATTTTATTACGATTACTTACACCAACAAACATTTTTTCTTCCATCATCCTTCCATCCAAATCCCAACAAGAAGATATGTTTATTGATGTAAAAAAAAGCGAATTGAATGATTTGAAACGTTTTCAAAGAAAAATCGCGATTCTTTTGGCAGAAAATCACGATTTTTCTATTATTATGTCTTATCTTATTATCTCGTATGGTAAATTTTTCTTTTTTTTTATTTAATTAAAAAAAAATTTAATTAAATTCGACGATCGTTCTTTTTTGTAAATCGATCGCCGAGTAGAGTTTAAGTTGTGTAATTTGACACTTGATTAATGCGCTCTCTGTTTCCGCCATTTCCTTGCGGCGCCCCTTCACATTGCTGTTGCTGTTCGTAGGAGGAAATCAACGGAAAAATCAAAGAAAATGGAGATTCAAGCAACAAATACAGATCATCCGAGTAAGTTAATTTATTTAATTAATATTATTTATTCAAGTATAAAGGTTTTTACGGAAAGTTTTAATTGAATTAAAATTAGAACTAACACTTTTCAATACACAACAATTTAGTGCAGAATAACAACTAGAACTAACACTAGACCTAGAACTAGAATCATTCGGATTTAGCCGCACGTCTCTCAAGACGGCTAAACCCAAATGATTCTAGTTCTGGTCTTGTGTTAGTTCTAGTGATAGTGCTAGTGTAAAACTAGAACTAACACTAGACCTAGAACTAGAATCATTCGGATTTAGCCGCACGTCTCTCAAGACGGCTAAACCCGAATGATTCTAGTTCTAGGTCTTGTGTTAGTTCTAGTGATAGTGCTAGTGTAAAAACATAAGCACTAGATTTTAAATGGATATTGAAGTAAAACTAGAACTAACACTAGACCTAGAACTAGAATCATTCGGATTTAGCCGCACGTCTCTCAAGACGGCTAAACCCGAATGATTCTAGTTCTAGGTTTTGTGTTAGTTCTAGTGATAGTGCTAGTGTAAAACTAGAACTAACACTAGAACTAGAAAGTATCGTCCGTCTAAAGACGCTAGACCCATATAGATACTTTCTAGTTCAAGATCTAGTGGTAGTTCTAGTATTAGTTCCATAAAAATATGCAACAAGCTGGCGCTGATTAACAACTAACACTAGCACTATCACTAGAAACATTCGGGTTTGGCCGTCTTTAAATATGCGCAGCTGATTCGCACGAATGATTCTAGTTCTATGTATAGTGTTAGTTCTAGTAGTGTAAAACTAAAACTAACACGACCACTAGAAGTAATGTTAGATCTACAACTAGAATCATTTCCGAATATTTCTATTTTTAAATCTACTGTTCTATTGATAGTTGTGATGTTAATTTTAGTTTTAATTCAAATATTATTTATTAATTATTTTTAGAAGAAACGGTAGACGTCGTAGTAGAAGTAACAGCCGAAGACGTTCCCGATCCCGTTCGAAAGATCGTCGCCGTACCAGCCGTGATCGCAGACGAAGTCGTAGCCGAGAAAGACGCCGCTCAAAAGATCGTAATAGGTCGCGAGAACGCCGTTCTCGCTCACGATCCAAAAAACGCAGCCGTTCCAGGGATGTAAATAAACGCTCCTCAGATAATAAGCGACGAAACGATAGGCGTAGTCGCAGCAGAGAGCGGCGACCAAGAGATAAAGCTGGAGCTGTAACCGCTACCGGAGGAAATGCAAGTAGTGGTGGAGGCGCCGGAGCTAGACATACACCTTCCCCTCCTTCCGTACGACTTCCTTTCCCGAAAAAAGGACGTTCCCCAATCGGGTTGGGTTACAATAGAGGAACGTCCCCTCCGGAAGATCTTAGCCCAGAGGAGAGGGATGCTAGAACGGTTTTTGTTATGCAATTATCTCAAAGGATTCGAGCGAGGGATTTGGAGGAATTTTTTAGTTCAGTTGGAAAAGTGCGGGATGTTAGGTTGATTACTTGTAATAAAACGAGGAGGTTTAAAGGGATTGCTTATATCGAGTTTAGAGACCCTGAAAGTGTAGCTTTGGTAAATTCTTTACCTTTATTAATAAATAAAGTTTTTATTAATTTAATTTTATATTTTAGGCTTTGGGCTTATCGGGACAAAAACTTTTGGGGGTCCCAATTATCGTACAACACACCCAAGCGGAAAAAAACAGAATGGGAAATTCAATGCCAAACCTTATGCCCAAAGGAATGACCGGCCCTATGAGATTATACGTTGGATCTTTACATTTTAACATCACCGAAGATATGTTGCGAGGAATTTTCGAACCTTACGGAAAAATCGATAACATCCAATTAATTATGGACCCGGAAACTGGGAGATCTAAAGGATACGGATTTATTACAGTAAAAAAAAATTATATTTTATTTTAACCCAAATCTAAGGTTCCTTATTTTCTTTATTTTTTAGTTCCATAATTGTGATGATGCAAAAAAAGCTTTGGAACAACTAAATGGTTTTGAATTAGCTGGTCGTCCGATGAAAGTCGGAAATGTAACCGAACGTCTTGATTTGCAACAACAAGGTCCTTCAATTTTAGATTCTGATGAATTAGATCGATCGGGAATCGATTTAGGTGCAACTGGACGTCTTCAGCTCATGTTTAAATTAGCTGAAGGTGCTGGAATGCAAGTACCACAAGCGGCGGCTAACGCGTTAAGCATGGCAACCGGCCAACCAGTTGTACCTCAAGTCCAAACTAACAGCACCCCTCCGATAGCGACTCAATGTTTTATGTTAAGTAATATGTTTGATCCGACGTCGGAAAATCAACAAAGTTGGGATACAGAGATACGAGATGATGTAATTGAGGAGTGTAATAAACACGGTGGGGTTTTGCACGTTTTTGTGGATAAAGGTTCCCCCCAAGGAAACGTTTACGTAAAATGTCCGTCGATTGCGACTGCGGTGGCTTCGGTTAATTCGCTTCATGGGCGTTGGTTTGCTGGAAGAGTTATTACGGCCGCTTATGTACCTTTGATGAATTATCACGCGTTGTTTCCTGATGCTATGTCCGCCCAACAATTATTGTTGCCATCAACAAGGAAGTAAAAGTAAGGATTGTGGATTTGAAGATATATTTTCTTTACGTTATTATTTTTTTTTTGTTAGGAAGAAGTAGAATTTAAATTGTGTGTTTAGATTAACACTATAACAATTAAAAATGAGTTGTAATAATTTGTGTATATTTTAAGTACTACATATAGCTGATAAGTAATTTGTAGATAATATAATTGATGATAAAAAGGTAATAAGAAACATAATTATCTTTTAATTTTTTTTTTATTAGCGTAATGTTCGTTTTTTCTTTAACGAAATAAATTTTTACTTATTTTTGAACTGGGTTATTTTTTATGACATTTTGATTTATTACAAAATAATTTTTTTTAAATGTTATTGAAGATTAAATCTAATTATTATTATTACAGTAATCTAATACTTCCAATGTGATTTTTTTTTATTAATTTAAATCAACATAAAAACTTAAACAACTACACATTTATTCTCATTCGCTTTTAATCCTTTCCATTAATCGTACAAAAGAGGCAACCAAGCAATTTTTCTCATCATTTAAATTACATACTTAGGGGCAGTTATAAAATGCAAAGAATTCGAAACTTGTTTACTTAAATTGGTGTCGCACGCAAAAGAAGTGGGGTCCTTTTGAATTCCACCAAACATAACCAATTCGGCTTTACCCTCAACTAAAGTATACAAAATCGTTTCTTCCGGTCCATTAGAAAGACCACTACTTTTCGGTGGTAACCAAGTTACATATGGTCGATCATCGAGAGCGTGGGATATATCCAAAACGTACATTTCTAATAAATTACGTTTGTGCTTAGTTTTTAATTCGGCAGCTTTTTCTTTTTGTTTTTGAATCCCTTTCCATTTCTCTTCAACTCTGCGCAAATTTTCCATTCGTCGTTCTTCTTTTGAAGTGGACGGTTGTTGATCGTCAGGATTATTAAACGCCGCTAAAGGTAGATCTCTTAACGGTAACTTTGGCTACAAAGAAAATTAATTATTTAATTACCCCAATCTTTAATGGGGCCGTTACAATTTTTTTTATAGGCTTATTCGATAGTTTAGCAAAATTGAAGAGTTTTATAATTTTTTATTTTTCAAACTGGGCTCTAGTATTTCCAAGAAAAAATAATAAAAATGTGAAAAAACTTTGGAGACGTCACAGTCGTTTCGCACGGGGTTGGTTGAAATACAAATCAATAAAAGGTGCATGAGCGAGATGCCACGAGAATCTTAAGCGCTAAAAGAAGAGATCCGAACGATGCATGTTTCGGTCTTCTTGATCTTACGCGAAAACTTCGTAAACGTCACCAAAGCTTTTATAGAGGGGATTTTGAGGTCCGTTGAGTAGTGCTTATAAGCCCGAACAAATTGACATTGGCGGGGTGAGGTGGAAAACGTGACGTCATTGGAGGAAAAATATAATATAGTATAGTATTATTGTTAGGTCGTGAAGGGCCATATTATAAATAATTTGTACCATCGTTAATAGTCAATTTAACGAAGGTGTTTTAACTCTCGCAACGAGTACTGTCTTAAAGTGTTTACTTCAAGAAAATTCGATAAAAATAATGTATCGTGCCGCCATCTATTTTCTAAACAAACAATTATTAGTACAATTAAAACATTTTTATCGTAATTTTAGATATAAATATAATAATATTTGTAATAATAATTATTTATGCGCTAACCAAGTGTTATTAAAATCAAGAAATAGAGAGTTTACATTGGTTTACGTATATAAATAAAAATGTAGAAATGTCAATTCCTCCAATGACGTCATTGCGATGGACCTTGAGGATTTTAAATTTTATTATTACTTATTGCAAAAATTAAACAATTTTAGGATCTGAAAATGTTACCAATCCTTCTATTTTCACATAGTTTATCGATTTTTTGATTGAGAGTAACGGCCCCATTGAATTAATTTAATTAATTTACCACATGTCTTTGGTGTAACTCATCAGCATCAGGATTATTTCGTTTCAATCCTTTTAAAACACCCCTCCTCCCATTAACATTTTCATCAGTATCAATAGATCGTTGTGAATTTCGCCTTTGAGCGTCCGGATCACCATCTAATCTAGGAGGGGCCCAAACCCCTTTCGAAAAATACATCAACGGCGATGAAGAACTTTGCCTACCTCTATTTAGTACGATTATTTTATCATCTACTTTACAAACGGGATTGCACCATAAATTCGATGGGGCATCCACGGTGTTTCTAACCTCAACAGGAATCCACCTCCAAATGTCACCTTTCATGTTTAACACCCACGCGTCGTTATAATAAAACGATGGGCCCCCGGAACCGCCCAAAATAAAAATGTTTTCATCATCTAAAGCCGTTTGAGAATGCCCGTATCGTTCGACGGGGCCCATGTTGCCTAAAACATCTTTTTTCTCCCACATCCAATTGTCTAAGTCTAATTTCCACACGTCGTTGGTTTTTGTTGAATGCACCGCCGTTTTAGCTCTTTGTAAGCCGCCGAAAACCACCATAAAATTGTGGTGGATTGATGCTGAATGACCGGCTGTTGGGGGTGGGGTTATATCTGTGTTAATACACGTCCAACAATTCCCTGCGATATCATAAGTGTGAAGTTCATTGAATAAATGCCATGTTTGGTGTAATGGATAAGATGGGGGGTAAGTCCAACCACCAAATAATACTTAATCATAAAAAAATCGAATTAAAATTAACAAAAAGAATAATTTATATTCCATACTTAATAAATCTTTATAACAAGCCATAGTTCCACAAGCTTTTGGCGAAGGATAAGTCCCCATTGTTAAAGGTCTAACCCATTTTCTTTTAGATAAATCCAACCTCCATAAATCGTTAAATGTAGTCATTGAGCAAGTGCAACCTCCAAAAACATACATGGAATTTCCATGAACAGCAGCCGCATGAGAATACCTTCACCAAAATAATAAAATAAAAAAAAACGTTTAAATCATTATTTTGTTTATACCTTTTTGTGATGGTAGGGGCCATAGGGGCGGGAGTAATCGTGTTCCATGATATGTTGAAGTCTTCTATTGCTTTGTTCAGGTTTCGGCGTTTTATTTTTATCACATCTCCACATAAAGAGTACTTAGTGTTAAAGACAAAGGGCTTATTTTGAATGTTATTCTAAATTTAGAATAAACCAACAAAGAGGGTTTGTGGGTGTACTTACTGGAAATGCAGTTCCTCCACCTCTTGCAAACCAGCATGCAATCATGTATGTCCTTGTAAGGTGGAATTAGGCTCAAAATGAACTCTAAAACTTCATCCGGAAGGTCTTGGATGGTGTAATCTTTCTTTGATTCCATTATTACGGTCGCGTACAAATAATTTATACGATCTTAACTCACGTCTAGACACATTTTCGATTAAAGAGCAAGTGAATTTGACGTTTCTTATTTATGTTTTTTGTGGGATGGTGGTAACACTGCTTAAAAACATTTTTGGTTGGTATTTAACCTTTCAATACATGCGCATTGACTGTCAGTACGCGTAATTTAAATACTTAATTTTTGCAGTAGCGCCATCTTTTGCCTGACAATCGTTTCATATAATATTGGCAGTTACGCACTCCTACAATCTTTATTTTAATTTAATAAAAATTAAATAAATTTAAATCTAAATTTGGCATATTTGTTTATTTAAATAATAAGTCATTCTTTTATCTAATCAATAAGTGAATAAAATAAAAAGATTAGATCATAAGTGAATAAGTTCATTTGACCGAAAAATGGAAAAAATTTTTTAGTCAAATTATATGCAACCAACTTCACCCGACAGAACGAATTTGACACTTGCGATTTTTGGGTGAGTGATGGTTTAGTTTTCAAAATTTCCTCCTAAATTATTTTTCCTTTTCGGATCGTTAAGAGTAAATTCGTCTTAGGTTTAAGTTTCCTTACTCGCGCGCGTTTCGTATTTTAAGTTTTCTCGCGCGTTGAAACCCGTTCGTCAGACCTCGATCGCCCTCCTGTTTTTCTAATTTCACAATATTGAACGACTTTCCGTTACAAAACGATGTCTAATTGGAACCAAGATTACTACGCGAACCAGAATTACCCAGGGAACACATACCACAACCGTTTTTATAACAACACCCCAGAACAACCAAGCTACAACAATTCTTATTCTGCCGGAAATTACGTTCCACCAGCTCAAGCTATGAGCGCCCCGGGCGGTTCCCAAATCGACGTTTTACGATCCAATTTACATCCCACCGCTGCCGAATTCAAACCTAGACAATACCACAATCCAGATGGTGTACAGAGTGTTCAGAACACACAAAATGTTCAGAGTACTTCTGGGACTGTTAAGAAACCTCAAAAATATAGGAATAATAAAAAGAATTATTACAATAACGGGTATAGGAGAGGAGGAGATGATGACTACGAAAATGGGGGATCTGAAAATAAAGGAGAAGCACAAAGCGTAGATGGTAGAGACGTTAAGGAGGAGAATTTCAGTGGTCGAGATAGAAACGATAAATATTATAAAGGGTATCAAAATCGAAGTAATAATTGGTATGATAATAAGGGTGGTAGTGATAATAATAGGAGTGATTATAAGAAAAAATGGGGTGGTAGGAATAATTATAATAATAGCAAATTTAATAAAAGAAATGATAATAGTTCAGAAGTTAATTGGAGGGAGAAAAAGGATTTCAATAAAGACCCAAAAGAAAAGAGGGGACAAAAATATCAAAACGTACAATGTAAGTATTTTTTTGATTTTTTTTTTAATGTAGCATCATTTTTGACTTAAAATAGAGATTGCTTGTGGGCAAGGCGCTGGAGATGATATGATATTGACATAAATGTTGTACATCTTTCTGTCATGTTTTGATATGCAACAAATGTATACCTTTACATATTTGTCTGATAACTATATCAATAAAGCTTTCTGTTTTAGCATCACTTGTGCTACTTCTACTACAAGACGTTTCTTTTAATCCTTTTAGGACCAAGCTGGATTTTGTAGCTGTTGAGTTGCAGTAACTTTTTATTAAAACGTTATTTGTTTTGTTCTCTTGTTGAAAACTGGATTTTTCCCCAAAGCAATTTCACTCTGATTGTCACAAAGCAGTGTTGGCCAGTCCTTAAAATCAACAAAGTCATGAAATAACTTTCTAAGCCACATTATGTTCTTTATTGCTTCACTCTGCCGCCGTTGATCAAAGCGCTACCAATCTTTGTTGTCGACTGGACCATAGTACAGCTCCTCCAGCATCTAAATTCTAGATTAACTAACCCTGTAGTTGATTTCGCTGTTTCCCAATCGCCTCCATGATCAGCATCACTGTAAGTGACAAAGACTCCTTCATCACTTTATATAAAATACCAAAGATCTTTTTAGATATTGAATTATCCTCTTTACTCGCTGCCAGTCAGGCAGACTTGGTTTTGAGACCGCTTGTGCTGCTACTCTAACTGCAAATGCTATGTCAGGACTAGTAGCAACTGCCAAATACATTAGACAAACCACAGCTTCACGATATGGAGTACTTCCAGTTATGTCTACGCTTTTTTCATGTTTTTCAAAAGCCATACTGGGTGTTGCGATCGGCTTGGCAACTCCTAGTCCAAATTTTTTAATCACTTTTCTGGTATAAGCGCCTGGCTAATAAAAATTCCTTCATCTTTGTACTATACTCGAATACCTAGAAAAGAGTTCAAAGGTTTTTCCATGGTTTTGACCTGACTGCAAATCAAAAACAAGTTTATTTATTCCATTAACATCATTTCCGGCAACTAGTCCGTTATCTATGTAGATGGCTAGAAATAGTTTCTTATCGCGGCGAACGTGCACGAACAAGCACGGATCGGCACTACTTTCGCGAAAACCGTGCGCGAACAGAAATTCTTTAAAGCAACTTTTCCAACAGCATGGAGCTTGTTTCAGCCCATATAGCGATTTTCTGAAACGACACACACGATTACTACCGTCTCTGGTACTTTACGTGTACCACGACGTCGAATAAACGAGTCGTACGAAACAGCATGTTCATGGATTCTTCTCAAACTTCCCAGTTCGTAATTCAAAGAAGTTCATTGACACACGACAACATTGTGTTAGTGTTTCTTACCTTAAACACTTGTGTTTTTAACCGATTTTGCACACTCTGGCTCCATAACCTGTTGAGTTGTTGTAATGGTTTCATTTTCAATTTCAGCAAATCAACGTGAACGTCTTCAAGATCAATTAGAACGTAATCAATTAGAATGTATGGTCTGTTGCGAACGCTTACGAAATACAGATCCCGTTTGGTCCTGCAAACAATGTTACAACGTCCTCCACTTAAAATGTATAAAACAATGGGCGAACACCTCCAAACTAGAATCTGGTTGGAGATGCCCCGCTTGTCAAAACATATATCCAACGATTCCCGAAGAATATTACTGTTACTGCGAAAAAATACTTAACCCAAAATACGAACCAGGCATGACGCCTCACAGTTGCGGGGAAATTTGTCAAAGAAAAGGTCGTTTTTGCGAGCACGCTTGTACGTTATTGTGTCATCCGGGACCTTGCCCCGAATGCACCGTTTCCGTTGCAAAACCGTGCGGGTGTGGACGTACAAAAGCGACGGTTGCGTGTAACGCTGATACTCCCGTTACTTGTCAAAGTAAATGTGAGAAATTATTAAACTGTGGACTGCATAAATGCGAGAAAAATTGTCACGCGGGCGATTGCTCCCCTTGTACCAAGTATGTAAAACAAGAATGTTACTGCGGAAAAGTGGGAAGAACCGTAATTTGTACCGAAGAAGTTAAAAATGTCGATAAATACGAATGCGACGATGTTTGTGGGAAAATGTTAGCGTGTGGGAATCATAAATGTATGTTGATTTGTCATTCGGGAAGTTGCCCACCGTGCGAAACAAGTCCAGATGTGGTTACAACTTGTTATTGCGGACAAACAAAATTGGCGGTCGTCCGAGAATCATGCTTCGATCCCATTCCATCGTGCGAAAAGATTTGCAATAAAATTTTGAAGTGTGGCCAACCTTCACAACCGCATCGTTGCCAAGAAAAGTGTCACAAAGGTGAATGCCCAGATTGTTCTCTAACTACAATGGTTCGATGTAGATGTGGTTATATGGATAAGGAAATTGCTTGTTCTGAGTTAACTACTAAAGCTGATGATGCTAGATGCCAAAAGAAATGCACAAAAGTAATATTAATTAATTTAATAAACGTTTTACTTAAAAAAAATTTTTTTATAGATGCGTCTTTGTTGTAAACACAAATGCAACCAATTTTGTTGTATAGAAATTGAACATCGCTGCTCGTTAATTTGTAATCGAGCTTTATCTTGCGGAATCCACCGCTGCGAACAAGAGTGTCATCGTGGTCGTTGCTTGCCGTGTCCCCGGATGAGTTTTGAGGAGCTCTTTTGCGAATGCGGTGCTTGCGTTACTTACCCCCCGATAGCTTGTGGTACTCGCCCCCCAGATTGTAACCAACCATGTTCGAGGCGAAGAGAATGTGGACATGATCCCGGTCATAAATGCCATATTGGCCCATGCCCCCCATGTACTGTTTTATGTAAACGATGGTGTCATGGTAAACATGAACAGAGATCAACGATATTGTGTTATCAAGATGAATTTAGTTGTGGATTACCGTGTGGTAAGATTATATTAATTTAAATAATTTTTTTGTAATTCGCGACGGTAATGAAAGCTATTACAATACTCAAACGGATGCTGTAATGAGTCTCCTTACAGGATCCGATGTTGTGATGAGATTTTAGTAACATTTTATGGAAGCAATTTAAGTTGGTGACATTGGGTTATTAATTTTTCTAGTTGTCAAAGTGACAATTTGAATTGAAATTTATACCTTGTAAAATTGAAAATTATTAGTAAATTTAGGAAGTAAGTTTTGCTCAATGCAAAATACATTTAAATTTACGAAAGTCAATTAATTCGTGAACGAAGCGCTATCGTCCATCTATCGTCTTTTGTTTTTCCCCTAGAGGCCAAAATTGAAAATATCGTAAAACCAACAAGTGCAATTATCTTGGTTATTATTATAGGTGGAGTATTATAACTAAGACATTATATGGACACTTTTTTACAGAGAATTTGATGACGTAGTCAAAAAAATTTTTTCGGTTTTAGATTTTGAGATATTATCACAATTTTCGTTTTTTTAAATGGAAACAACCACTGATTATTCGCTTATTAAATTCGTTATTTTTTTCTGATTACAAAAATATAGGGTTTGACAGGTCTATTTCTTATTGTTTTAGAATAAAGCTAAAAATAAATTTTTTTTGTAGTGTCGTCAAAGAAATTAAATCTACAGTTTCCTGTAAATTATAACTAAAAATTAAAAAAACATATTTCTGATTTTTGAAACAAATACATTAGTTGAACAATTTAATTTATATTTGTTTTACACAAAAGTTGGAATAGATTGCATTATTTCACATTTTTTATTAATATTTAATATTATTATTAAATTACTTAATAAATTATTGATAGATGGCGCTCATTTTTTTTTTGTCATTCAAATAAACTAACATTTGTATTCAAAAATTTTCTGAAGTGTCAAATTAAAAATCCTGTTTTTTAAGATGGATTACGAAAATTACGAAAAGTTTAACATATTAGAAAATAAAGTAAATTTTATATTAATTTTTAGTTATAATACCGTAATTTACAGGAAACTGTAATTTCTTTGACGACACTAAAAAAAGTTTATTTTTAGCTTTATTCTAAAACAATAAGAAACAGAGCTATATAACCCCATATTTTTGTAATTAGAAAAAAATAACGAATTTAATAATAATCATTGGTTGTTTCCATTTAAAAAAACGAAAATTGTCATATTTCAAAATCTAAAAATTTTTTTTGACTACGTCATCAAATTATATGTCAAAAAGTGTCCATATAAAGTCCTCATACCTAATACTTCACTTGTAATAATAACCAAGATAATTTCAGTTGCTGGTTTTGCTATGTTTTTAATTTTAGCCTCTAGGAGAAAAACAAAAGGCGATAGCGCTTTGAGGTTTTCGACATTGGTATTTTTTTAAAGAACTCTCTTTTTTTCGTCATATAAGCTAGAATTTGAACCAATTTGACAATTTCAATTGTCAATTGAAATTTCTACTTTCAAGTGACACGGTGTTACCAACTGCTACACACCTATTTCCCTACATTGTCAAAATTTATTTTATTTTTGTTAAAAAAAGGATAAAAACGCGAATTACAAAAAATGGCATAAAAAACACATTTCATAAGACTTAAAGCACTCATTCATTAAAAAACTCGTGGCATCTCCACTCCTTTTTAAACTTGAATTCGTGCATTTCAAGTGTGTCTTACGAAATTAGTTTTTTAATATACTATTTTCTAATTTAATATTTTAGGAAAAGATTTACCATGTGGTCAACACAAATGCATCCAACCTTGCCACACTAATTCTTGTCCATTACCTTGTACCCAACCGTGTACAAAACCAAGAGTCGGATGCGACCATCCTTGTGCAGCTCCATGTCACAAAGATGCTCCTTGCCCCGACACTCCATGCAAACAAATAGTAAAAGTTACTTGTGAATGTGGGTTGCGTTCGAGTACTCGAGTTTGTATGGATTTGGCCGGAGAATATCAATCGATTACAATGAAACAACTCGCCTCTAAAATGGCCGATATCCAAAAGGGGCAAACGGTTGATTTAAGTGATATAGTCGGGGGGCAAAAGAAAAATGTTACACCAAAAACGTAATAAAAAAAATGCTTAAAATAATATTTATTTTAATTTTAAATTGTTTTTTGTTCTAGTTTGGAATGTACTGAAGAATGTCGCGTAGTCGAACGTAATCGTCGTTTAGCAATAGGTTTACAAATTCGTAATCCCGATCTTTCCGCAAAATTAACCCCGAGATATTCCGATTTTATGAGAACATGGGCGAAAAAAGATCCAAGATTCTGTCAGCACATTCATGATAAACTATCTGAATTGGTTCAATTAGCGAAACAAAGCAAACAAAAAAGTCGATCGCATTCATTTGAAACGATGAATCGTGATAAACGGGCGTTTGTTCACGAATATTGCGAACACTTTGGGTGCGAAAGTGCCGCTTATGACGCCGAACCAAATCGAAACGTTGTTGCAACAGCTTTTCGAGATAAATCCTGGTTGCCGAGTGTGAGCGTTTTGGAGCTTTTGCAAAGGGAAAATGGACAAAGAAAAGTTCCTGGGCCTATTTTGAGGAGTACAGTTGCGCCGAAAAAGGAACTGGTTTCTTTGAGGGTTAATAATACTCGTTCTGGTGGAAGTGTTAATTTACAGTCTGGATCAGCTGGGGAAATAGTTGATTGTTATGATGAATATTAGTATTTTGAATAAGATTTAATTTTTTTCTGTATTTGGTAATTCTGAATTTTATGCTATTATTGATTAATATTACATGGATTAATTTTTGATAAGTTGTTTAAATTTCGTGTTTATAAGGCAATTTTTAGAATTAAACAAACTGTTTTTCTCCAAGAGAGTTAATTACGTTTTATTGAATACTAATCGTATTTTAATGTTGAGTTTTTAAATTTTTCCAATTCAACACCTTCCCAATGTTTCACTTTTAGATCAACAAATCCTTTTTTGACCTCTTCTAAAATTTCTTTCTCTTTTTGGGTGATCCCATTGAATAAAACATCCAAATTTGAATCTAATTGACCCAAAGTCTTCATCCCAACCAAATTTGTATCAATATCAGGATTGTTATAAATATAATAAGTAGCCAATCTCGCTAAATCAGTTCCATTTTTGATACATAAATCTCTAGCTTTTTTACAAGCCGTTTTAATCTCATCTTGGGCTGGATGCCAAGGTTGGGGACCTGAATTAGATAATAACCCCATATTAAGACCGGATGCGTTAACAATCCCCATTTTTTTTTCCTAAAAATAAAAAATTAATTAGTTAGAATTAATTAATGATTTGAATTACCTTAAAAAATGGTATAAAATCCTTTAAAGTATCATCAACTAAATTAAACCGACAATAACTCAAAACCATATCAATTTTAATTGGTGATTTTTCAACAATTTCTTTTAAAGCACTAACTGGGTATCCTGTAACTCCAATATACTTGACAATACCCTTTTTTCGAGCTTCATCAAGTACAGGTAAAGTGTTTTCGATTAAATATTCAATTGATGGAGCAAATTCAATGTCGTGAATCTACAAAGTTATTTATTTATAATTTGTTAATTATTTTTGAAGGTCAAATAACTTGGATAACATCGATGTAATCAACACCTAAAGTTTTTAAGTTATTCTCCAAACACCAACGAGTTTTTTCAGATGAGAAATCAAACATTTCCTTAGGATCTTGCTCATATCTACCTACTTTCGTTGCTAGATAATATGATGAACGAGGAACATCTTTTAAACACTAATAAATTAAATTTAAAGAAAATGGTTTAATTTGAAAATCATTTTAATTACTCTTCCTAAAACTTCTTGTGAGGTGTTTTGTCCATACCAATAAGCTGTATCCAAGTAGTTTATGCCTGATTTTAAACTTTTTATTAATGTTGCTTTACAATTATCTTCTGAGTAATCTCTAAAAAATTAAATTCATTCTTTTATTTATCGCTTTTATTTAAATACAGGTATTTACCCATAAATAGATGAAAATTCTGCACACCCTAAAGAAAGTTTGGATACTTGCATACCGGTATCACCAAAAATAGAATATTTCATCTTTTTTACGACGTTTTCGTCGTGAAAGTTAGATACAAAAGTACTTGGCAAAGACATTTTTAACAATAATATGGAAAATGTGTAAAAATTGATATAAAATTTATTTATCTATGTCTGAAGGTCACCAAAATTTTTTGAGGTTCGATTCACTCAATGTTAAAAATACATAATTAAACAATCAAATCTTTATAGCATTTATTATTTATTAAAAACATACATAAACGATTTAATCCATTTATTTTTTTGCTTCATAAACTTTAAATGTCTTGAAATATTCTTAATCGAACATAACTTTTATAATAAAATAACGCATGCGCCCTCTATCAAAACACGTGCTTGACGTTTTTATCGAATTCTACATAACCTCAATACTTGTTTTCCAGCTTATTTTTTTAAGAATAACTGTTTTTGAAAAATGCCCGAAATTGAAGAAGCAAATTTTCCTCGCGGCGGTTCTACCATTAAGAAAAAGCGCGATGATGAAAGACCCAAACAAAAAAATGTAAGATATTTTAAATAATTAAAGAGAAAAATTTAAACCTAACCTAATTTCATTTAGTTATTCAGCGTTAATGAGCACCAAAAGAAGAAAAAAATAATTAAATCAATTCAATCAAAAAAAGATAGTACTGATTTACATTTAAACTCGGTTGATTTATTAGCGTACAACAAAATCCAACCTTCGATGATAATTTTAGGCTGTGTTAAAGAAGTTTTGGGTGTTACCGTTAAAGTTCAGTTACCTGGTACCTTATATGCGGACGTTCAAGTTAATTCTATATCAGATAAATTAACAAAGGAGTTAATTAAAAATGAAGAGTTTTATAATGTGAGTTATTTTATTTATTTTTTATTTTATTTAATTTTTTTTTTTATCGACGGGAAATCACTTAAGTAAGTCATTACAAATAAAAAAAAAGTGCGGAAAAGTGTAAAACTTACTGAAAAATTACTTTAAAGTTTCGACGTGACGTCATTTTTTGTGACGTCATCAACCATGCTAACCATATGCAACCAAGTATGCAAGCATGTATTGCAATATGAATACTGTGATATTGGTTGCATACTTACAATGATGACGTCGGGTCGGATTCTTTAATTTTTCCCTACTTTATGATATTAATAAATTTTTTTAGTCATTTAATTTAAAAGATTTATTTGAAATTGGTGATTGCATCCCCGTTCAAATCCTTGAAAACAAAGAAACGAATCAAGGAAATAAACGACTCATCGCTACCACAAACCCAATGAATATAAACCATCAAAGTAATTGCAATTCGTTTCGTAAAGGAATGTTAGTTTGGGGGGCAATTTTAGAAAAAGCAGATCATGTTTATTCGATTGATTTAGGAGTACAAAATGTCCGTTGTATATTGAATATAAAAGATTGCGATGAAAATGATGAATATAGTAAGTTAAAACGGACATAAATTTTTATTTTTATTATAATTATTATTTATTTTAGTTGAGGGGCAACCACTTTGGGTTTTAATCAAAAATATAGAATCCTCAAACAATATAACGACAATTATGGTGACGACATCAAAAGATGTTTTAAACGATTATGACTCCCCCATTTGTAACTTAGATATTTTATGCCCTGGAAGTTGTGTGGACGTAAAACGCACGAAAATATTAAAAAATGGAATTGAAGTAACCTTTTTCGATGGTTTAATTGGTTACATAAACAAGATTTATTTAGATTCAACAAAAAATGATTTAAATTTTAAAGCGTACGTTTTATACAAAAATCCGATAACTAAATTTACTTATTTTACAACAACACCACCTCATTTAAAACTTCCCCCACCGAATTATCCCATTGGGACCGTTTCAAAATCAACGATAATCGATGATTTTGCTAAAGGCGTTTTGGTTGAGTTTAAAAATGGAGATCGAGGATTTATCACGTTTAAACGTTTAATTAAATCGTTAAAAGTGAAAGATAACGCTGATATTCAAAGTTTAATCACAGAGAAATATCCTAAAGGAAAAAAGGTGGAGTGCCGCATCATGGATTATTCATACATTGATAAAATGTATATTTGTACCTTTGAAACTGACATAATCAAAGAAAAGTATTTTTCAAAAACTGATTTTAAACCTGGGGAGATTGTCAGTGGAAAAATAATTTATATAAACCGAAGCGGGGTCGTAGTTAAAGTTGGAATGGTGGAATGTTTCGTTACAAACGAACAACTCACGAATGTCTTATATAGCGAAAACGTTAAATTAAAATTTAAAGTTGGTAAAAATGTTAAAGGTAGAGTGTTATCTGTGGATCCAACCTCGGTTAAGTTAACGTTAAAACCCGCTTTGTTGGAGGAGCACGAATGTTTGTGTTCGTATAAAGATGCTAAATTAAATAAAAGTTATTTAGGGGTTGTTGTTTTTATTAAACAACACATGGTGATTGTCAAGTTTTATAACGAGGTTAAAGGAATTGTTTTGGATAAGGAGAAAAAGATGGATTTTAAAAGATTTTTTTATCAAGGACAAGTTGTAAGTTTATAAATTATTTATTATATAAATATTAATTATTTAATTAAGATTACAGTGAGCGTGGTTCATAAGAAAAACGAAAATCTTTTATTATCAATTGGAGAGAGTGATAAAAAAGAAAATATTCCTTTAGATAATGTTATTGGAAAAAATTTTGATGGAAAAATTACAAAAATAACCAACACCGGCGTTTTTATCACAACAACAAAAAATAATTTGCAAGGATTTATCCCCCTTAATTATTTAAATCCAGATTTAAAACTCTCAAAAATAATTATCGGTAAAAAATTAAATATTCCATAAAAATTTCCGACTTTAATAATTTTCTTTTAAGATAATCTTAAATTGGACCAAAAACTTTCCGGATTAATTTGTTTAAAATCTTCGTCATCAACAGATTGTTTATTTACGTTAAAGCAAAACTTAAAAATTCCAACAAAAAAATCGTTAAAAGCAGGTGTTATTTTACATGGTTTTGTGGATAAGTTTGATGGGAACGATTTAATTGTCGATATTTTCACAAAGAACGGAGTTGTGAAAGTAAATGTTGCTAAAAATAGCTTTTTTGATGATGAATCTTTATTGGATCAAAATAAATTTGAGTTTGGACAACAACTTTTAGTTAAATTAATTTCTAAAGTTAATAAAAATGAATTTAATGGAACCATAAAATTTTCAGAAGTTTTTGGCGGATTAACAGTAAGTTTTATAATTAATAATAATTTATTGTTTCCCATAAGGTTTGATAATGCTTATCCCTTTAACCAGTCTCTCCCTGTTACCTTATGTCTCCCTTTGCCCTCTCCCCCAGCACTTGCCTCCAATCCATCTCCTCTTCCCTCAACTCACTGCACTCCATCAGCAGATGGTGCAAAGACTCCCACCTTCCCCATATAGTCTGCAACCTCTTTCCTCATCCAATATCTATTGGCCCTTTCTTCATTGCCACATCTAAACGTGACTATCAACCTCTTCCCCTCCTCACCCCCCTCCATCATCAGGTACTTTGTCAGCCTTTCCGCTACAATTTCGGCATATTTTGGGTTGTCCTCTTTTCTTTTTCTGTTCACTTCTTTTGTTGATCCAACCTTTTGTAGTATTCCTCCCTTTCTCGCTGCCTATCACGTCCCTTTCTTGCCTCAATCTGACTGTAGCAAATTTTACAGTGCCCTCTACCTTCCATCCTCTCCTCAAAACGCTTTGCTCGCTTATCCGCCTCCACCCTCACCTTATCAACCTTCATTTCTTCCCTGACTATACATATATCCCGGAGTCTCCCTAGTTAACCCCAACACCCACCTCCAGTACCTGTTCTGCACATCCTCTAAGAAAAACTAATCTTACTTAACATTTTTTCCTGGGATGATTGACGTTTCAAAAGAAAACTAAAGAAAATCATTTAATTCACAACTAATTTCACCAGACGAACTTAATAGCTTCGTTCAAAGTTTATATTTATCAAAATTGCTATTAGATTTTTGTACAAGTGCAAAAATACAATTTATTTTTTTGGAATACCTGTCAAAGTCAAATTTTTATGGTTTGTGTTGGTATTGCTTGGTGTCTTTATAAAATTTATGTTGTTCTGAGTAATATTTTTAGTAACTCCCAATAAGTTGCTCTTTTTTCTGACATTTATTTTATTCCAATTATTTATGTATATTTATAAAACAAAAATTAAATTTTGTTTTTAAATAACAAAGTTGAAACGTCAGCGTGACACAAGTTGATTTAAAATTCCCTGTTAATGATACCAACTGTCACCAACTTTACAACAATTTGACAGATCTAAAAAATTACTTTTTTAAGCACAATTAAAGTAGAATTAATTGTTTGAACTTTTCAGAGTTCATCTATTTATTTGCAAAAGCAACTTAACGATATGGATTTAATAAATAATATTTTAAAAGAATCAAAAGCGATTTTAAATTACAAAGTTGGTCAAAAAGTAAATGTACGCTTAATGAATTTATCAAATAACGATTGTATCGTTGAAACTAATGATGGAATTAAAGGAATTGCAAATAAAGAAAATATGCTAAGTGAGTTATTTTTAAATATTAAATAAAAAAGTTTAACCATAATTCTTTTTTCGAAGAAAATATGAAGCTTGGATCGATTTATACAGCACGAATCTTATTTATAAACATAATAGATAACCAACTTGAGATAACTTTTAAGCCCAAAGTGGTGAATCAAAAGATTTTGGAGAAAATCGATTTCAAAAATGATGAAGAACCATTCGCAACGATTTTATTAATTCGCGAAAACTTGGCTATTTGCTCATTAAAATTGAAAGGAAAAAAATCGTTTGGGTTTATTCCTATTAAAAGAAACGAAAATGATTTTAAACCAGATTTAAAATTTTTAAAGGCGATTAAGGATAAGTTTCGATTCACAATTTTAAGGTAAACTTAAATTTGAAGTGAGTTAATAAGAATTAAAGCTAATATTTTATTTTTAGTAAAAATGAATTAGGGTTTATCGGGTTTCCAAAAGATTTATTTAAAAAATCAATTCTCAAAGAGAAGAAACGCAAATTAAGTGAGGTTAAAAAAGATAATAATAAACAAACAAAAAATGATAAAGAAGATGATGTTGAAAATAAAAGTGAAGATGATGATGCTAATATAAAACAAAATACATCTTGTAATGATGATTTAAACGAATTAGAGAAGAAAACTAAACCAAAAAAACGTAAACTTGAAAAAGAAGATTTAAAAGAACCGATAAAGCCTATTGAAAAGCCTTTAATACCAATAAGTACAGATGAATTTAAACCTCCAAGCATGAAATCATTTTTTGAACCAAATTTAATTAAAGAATCCAATTCTGAATCGGATTCTGATAACGAATCCGACGAAAATGAACGACCAAAAAAGAAAAAAAAGCTCACAAAAAAAGAACAAATCGATTTATTAAAACAAGAAGAAGAAAACTTACGGAAAATCGAACTTTCTTACGCCGATATGACCCAAGATAGCATCCCACAAACGGCGGATCAATTTGATAGGAGGTTATTGGCGGAACCGAATTCATCCTCACTTTGGATTCAATATGCTTCACTTCATATAAGCGTAAATAAAATTAATTTTTCTTTTATTTTTGTAATAAATACATTTTTTTAGAATACTGAAATCGATAAAGCACGCACAATTTTTCGAAGAGCCGTTCAAAATATTAATCCAACACTTACAGTGGATGTTTTAAACGTTTGGACTGCATTTATAAATCTTGAACATCTTTATGGAACGAAGGTATAATAACGTTTATTTTGAATGTCTTGGTATAAATGGCCAAAAAGAATCCCATTGGGGAGATGGCGCATATCGATCCGATTTGCATCGTTCTCCACTCCAATATTGCCGATCGCGTTCCCAACGCATCCAAAACGATCTACTTTTTTGTTTATGTCTATTTGAACACTCCCTGAAATCATCCATTATATCCCTACATTTTATCCTACCCTTATCTAATCCATATGCTTCCAAACAATCCATCATTTTCATTTCAATAGTTGCACAACGACCAAACCATTGATGATTTCCCATATGGGCTCCCAAATCGGTCAATGGTGATCTAAGCCATGGACAAAAAGACATTTTTTTTTGAATATATTTAATTATTATGTCAATTTGTTTATATTAGGTTTGTTCCAATAACAATTGTGACAATTGACAAAAAAACAGCAGGCGTTTGTACAGTTGAAAAATACTGTAAAGTAGCATAATACTGTAGTGGACTAAATTAAATTGCCCCTCAGCTCGAACACATCCATTTTTCAAGCAGAAGTTCTTGCTATAACCTTTTACACCGCTTTGACCCTACAAACGCGATAGAAAGGTGCATCCATAAACATTTACATAGACAGTCGGGCAGCCGTAAAGGTAATTCAGGCGTATATGTGTGACTCCGCACTGATAAGAGAGTGTACCAGTAACCTGAGAGATGTTACTCTATGGTGGGTTCCAGGTAACAGAGACATTTAGGGTAATGAGAAGGCGGAGAATTTGGCTAAAGAGGCAGCGAAAACGCCCTTTATCGGACCCCAACCCGGTTGTAGACTACAAAAAAGGCCCCTAAAGCAAGTAATCAAAAGTTGGGTGGCCTCAAAGATAGCCTTACGCTGGAGGGCCTTCCAGGTCACAGACAAGCAAAGAGCTTTTCTGTCCCAGCAAATGAGGTTTCCTAAGGACGCTCTCAGGTTTCCTGACCGGCCATGCGCCCCTAAAATACCACCTGTTCCACATTTGATAAGCTGAGGATCAAACTTTGTCGACTTTGCAACGAGGAGTTAAAAACGGCTGTACCTAAGCCGCCTAAGACTCAAAATTTTCGGTAAAGCTCTTGACACTTACCGACATAAAGGATCAAGACTTTGGAGCAATACTAAGGTTCATTATGGACCAACATTTACCCTTTTGGAGGGCTAGATCTTATAGGTCGGGGTAACGAGAGAGGCCGTTCCCCTCAACCCGGCAGCAATATTGTTTGATATCAATGTAGTTTTGGTATGGTATTAATTCTATGGCTTCGACCTCAAGCAACCTCAGCTTAATCGATTAACATCATTCAATTTTTGTCAAATTTGTTACACAATTATTATTTTGAAAATGAGAAGTCTAAAATAATTAATTTTGATTGATTTTAGGAAACTTTTTCCCAAGTTTTTAACGAAGCGGTTCAATACAACGATGATCTTACCATTTATACCCACGCAATAACCGCATTATCAAGCTCGCATAACCCTCACGATGTTGATGATTTAATTTTAAAAATGTTAAAAAAATTTAAACAAGAACCAAAAATGTACGTTGATGTAGCTAAGGTTTATTATAAACAAAAAAGATTTGCGGAAGCAAGGAAATTAAGGAGTAAAGCTTTAGGAACGCTTATTGAGAAGAAGAAACGTAATAAAACCAAATTAATAATAATCGACGTTAATAATAATTAATTTTATTTTAGATATTCCTTTAATAATTCAATTTGCTAAATTAGAATTTGATAATGATGAAGATGAATATGCGGAAACTTTATTTGAGACGATTTTAAAAGATGCCCCTCAACGTGTTGATGTATGGACCGTTTACGTTGATCAATTGGTGAAGAAAAATAAAATAGATTTGGCTCGAAGAGTTCTACAACGCGCGGTGGGTCAAAAATTAAAAATTGCCAAAATGACGAGTTTGTGTAAAAAATATGTTGCGTTTGAAAGGGAATTTGGCACTGATGAAAGCAGGAATGTTGCTGAAGGTATCCTTAACGACGTATTTTCTTCAGTTAAAAGGAAATAATTTAAAGTTAATAAAATAATTTTAATTTTAATCGTTTTATTATTTATTCTCTAACACTCACAAAGTTTTTGCAATAAAAATTTTCTGTACAAAAAAAACTTATGCGATAAAAAATAAGTCTTGTATTTTTGTGTATGCATTTTTAATAAAAAAATTAGGAACATAATCCTTTTCTTAGTAAATGCTTAAGATTCGAGACTTTATTCAGATACTGGCGTTTCAAGCATAACATTTAAGACATATTTTTGTAAATTTTGAAAATACATCCACAAATCACATATAAAATGACAATTTTTTTTTGTATTTAAACTTATCTTAAAAAGTACTTAAGTAAAACTGTCTTAAAAGACGTTTATATACAAAATACTCAATTTTTTATTGCAACTGACTTAATTATTGCCCCCTCTTATTTTAAAAATCGTTTTAATTGCGTTGCGCTTCTCGTTCCGGGTGGCGATTAGCATATTCGTCGACATCATCTAAAAATAATCAATTAATTGAGAAAGTTAATTATTTTTTATACTCACCATCCTCTTCATTTTCTTGTAAATTATCATCATTTTGCGGAAATTTATCATATTCTTCATAAACCCGGTCTTTATTATTATCCCCAACATGTTTTCCTTCCTTCCCATCCCCAACCTCGTTATCTTCCGGAAAATCTAAAACTTCATTTGCCCCATTTTCCTTTTCAATTTCATTTCGCTCATCGATTTTATTTTTTTCAACTTCCGCCACATTTCTATATCTATTATTAATTAAATCTATAACGCTATCTGATGGCGATTTCAAAACGGATTCTTGATGAACCGGTTGTGCAAATGGTTGAGGTGGAACCCCATCGGGTAATTTCCGCACCGTTTCGGTCGTTTTATTTTTATTAACACTTTCGGGAGTTACAGTTGGCATTTTTAAAGGTGCAGCGGCTAAATTGAACTCTTTGGAACCTTTTAAGTTCGCTGGAGTGCTAGTTTTTGCATTACTTGAACCGGGTTTTTGAAGAAAATTTTGAGTATCAATGTTATCCTTGTTGACGTTGTTGGTGTCGTTATCGTTTGATAATAAATTTGGTAAATCGGCGACGTTGTTGTTGGTGTCGATTTGGCGGGATTCTTCATTGGTGATTTTGTAATCGTTTGAATCTAGGGGAATTTGTTTTTTGAAACTAGTTTTATTTTCTGAATGATTTGGGGGGACAAAATTTTCGGATGTTTTTAATGATTTTCCTTTGTACTTTTCAAGTTCTTTTTGAAGACGAAGAAGTTCCTCTTTGCTGGGATCTGATTTTAATTGATTCTCCAGGTTAATTTTATCGTTTTGCAAATGTTCGATTTGACTCTAAAATTAAAAATTTAAATTTTGCTTTAAAGTAAACACCAAAAAATACTTTTAAATGCTCCAAAGCATTCTCTTTATCCTTTTCAATCTTCTTAATTCGCTCCTTAAACTCGCTCTCCCTCGCTTTTAAATTATTAATCTGCTCGGATTGATCATTTTGCGCTTTCGCACATTTTTCTTGTAAATCATCATGACCAGTCTATAAAAATTTACTTTGTTTAAACTTAATTAATTAATTTTAACCGATTAAAATCTACTTTTAAAATGTTGTATTGTTGCTGTAAAGAATCAAATCGTTTTGTAGCCTCCCCAGCGTTTTTCGCAGTGCGTTTCTTCTCCTCATCAACTCTCCTTTCTAACTCTAATTTGGTCTGTTGATGCTCGGTCTTTTCATTCTTTAAGCTTTTCTCTAATCCCTGTTTATAATCTGAAATAACTAAAATTTCTCATCATCAAATTGCCTTATTATTTATAATTTTAATTGAAGCACCTTGTAATTGAGTAGCAAGATTTTCTTGTTCTCGCTGACACAATTCATTACTTTTAGTTGCTTTATCCAATTCGATTCTGGTGCTATTGAAACAGGCTATAAATCCGGTAAGAACAACTGCCGCGACGATATAAAGCAAAACTCGCGTTTTTGTACCACGTACGATCCGTGAGCTGGTCATATCACATTGATTTATTGTGAAATTTTGATGTTTACAAACATTAAACAGGAGTTAACCTCGATTTTCGCGTAAACGTCACTTTCACTGCAACGGGTAAGAAGTGAAACGGCAATTTTTTTCGCCTCGATCCAACGACGCGAAAGTTATAGGTTATAACATTCTATTCATACGATATTACAATTTTTTATTTTGCAATTACAATTTATTTATAAAATCCCGCCAAATAAATTTCTTTAGGAACCGGTGGGTGAATTAATTAAGTTTGTTTTGTTGTTGTAAAATGATTATTAAATGGTGTGGTTATGTAAATTAATCTTAAATGTCAAAGATAGGTGGCACTACCAAAAAAAATTTCAAAGAGTAAACAAAAATCGTTTTTATTTTTCAAAATATCATTATAATTAGATATTTTAACAATAAATTATTTTATTAACAATTAATTAATAATTCAGACCTAAAATTAATGGTTAAATGGTTCATCTAAATCTAATCTGTCAAAATGGTTGCCTATACAAAATTTATATTCTTGTTTATGAATTAAATATTCCTTTAAAGAAACTTTATACGTACACATACTGTTTCAAAATATAGAATTATATTTATATAGAGAATCAGAGTAGTTGGAATCTGGTTATACCTAAAGAAATGGGAAGAGTACAATATTTTAGAAAAAGATGCAAATAATTTAAAATCAGATGATATGCAACCAATTATATTCTCACGTAGATTTCTTATTATCTGTTCATTCTTATTTATATCTATAAAATATCACAATATTTACACACAAAAAAGCGCAGATACTCTCTGAAATTCAATAAATCGAAGCAACATTTAAAATGTATATGTTATGTAATAATTAATAATACTCAAAAACTATAATTCTACAAAACACTTTAATTGACATTAAGATTGCATACATTCTAAAATGTTATAACCTTGATTATTGTGTTAAAAATTTTCTTCCGAAACTTAACCACATCAGAATAACAAACAAAATTGACCTAACCCAACCCAACAAATTAATTCGAATCAAAGACGATGTCGAAGACGCTATTGTAAGAAAAATCATATTATTAGATTATTCTAGAAAAACATATTGTTAATGGGCATCCCCAACAATTACGTCACAGCTTATCAAATCCACAACAAAAATGTCCTCTCCAGTATGAATGATTCATTCATCCCGTAAACAACCACAAACTAACGTTAGAAAAGTTAAAACCATCCGTTAGGATGTTCAAAAAAGTGTTTCAGTTTGAAAGTTTCGTAAGAAAATGACTCGATATCAGGATTTGTATCATTACGTACGAGCTGCATCCTGGCCAGATGCAGTTATATCCGACATAAAGTTTAAATATAAAGATATCATTGCTTCAAATCGGCAATTGGCAGCCTGTAAAAACATTACTGATTTTTTGTACATATTGGAGAAAAGGGACGAACTAAACGAAGAAAATTATGTTATCTTAGAAGATCTTTACATTTTATTGAGGGATGTAAACGAATCTCACCCACAACAAAAAGGAAATCTAGAAACAAGAATCAGCCCAGGTATATTTCGATTTGATTATATAATCTTATTTATCTTCGCTGAATTAATGAGACATGCGTGTCTTGTAGGAACGTGCTACTCATTGGTAGCTTGTACAGTTAAAAAATGTTACAAAAAATATTTTGAGCTGCCATGCTTTCGTAAAGTACGGCAACTAAAAAACGGTAGGGACATAAACCTTTTGGTTTATTTACTACCCTTTTTGTTAATTGTTGTTATAAAACAAATTTATTTCCAATTTTGTTTTCTCACAACGAATTTTTTGAGAATTTCGTATCCCTATTTGGGTTGTTATTTTCATTCGGTGTTTCATTGGTATAGGGCTTGCGTACTAGAAGCTGAAAATCACGTTTTTGAAATGATTGATAGGGAGTTGGATGAAGTTTAAATTTTAATTATTTGGGTAAATTAAAAAAATTATTATTTTAGGTTAGGTTAATTTTAAGTCTCAAAAACTTTTTTTAGGTTAGGTTAACAATGGTTTTCTAATCATTACTGATAAATGTTATCTATTTTTTTTTTTTTTTATTAAGAAAAACAGATATCATGTTTTTAAATATTACTGTTTTCTGTTTTAAAATAGCTGAAATTACAGTTTATTTAATTACTAATCTTTATGACCTTAAATCTTAATAAGTGATATGGGTTGCCTATATGAAATATTTTTGTTATTATATTTAGGCCCACTTTTACCACCTCTTGGTAAATTTATCCGATAGATAATTACCATGGTTACAGCGGTTTTAAGCGCTCTCATTGGTTAAGAGCTCCAATTTATCAATCGGTTAAATTTATCAAGAGGTGGTAAAAGTGGGCCTTAGTTTTATATTTTATGTTAATATTATTATTATTAGTTATCCAAAGATTTTTTAGGTTCGGGAAAATGTTGTTTGTTTAATAGTTTATAAAGATATCATTTCATTGTGATTTTCATTGTTTGTAGTATGCTGTCCATACACTTATGATTCAGCGAATTTCTATAACTATAAAGTAAGGAGATATCAACCGTTTTGAGTTTACTTAACTCGCTGGTTTCGGTGCTGATAATCTGTTTTTTAAATAAAATGGATAATTGGGTAACGTTTTTAGTGCGGAAGTACTACTCGCGGATGGTACCTTACATACCTAATTGTTGGCAGACTTTGTGCGCCAAAATAAATAAATATGTTATATTTTGGTGAAACAGGCTCTGCTTAAGGTTAAATCTAATCCATTTATTATGGATTTGTTCAGTAAATCTTATGATTTACTTGTTAATCACAATGTGGTGTAGATCATCCGTTGCAAATGATCCGTATAAAAACGTGGAAAATATGAAACTTTGACATATTTCCTTGTTGTTTGCGTATCATTATGAACGTATGATTATATTTGTTTGTTGTTGTATATATTTGAATGCATGTACGAGTTAAATTCTTGGTTGCAACTTTATATTAAAGCTTGTTTTACTATAATTAAAATAAACTGATAGTAAGTTTAATTATTTGTGAAACATGCTTCAAAAAAATCAAATCTTGTTGCATGGTAAAACTTTTCTTAGTAAAAGTTTTTTTAAACTAAAACTAGAACTAACACCAGCACTATCACTACAACTAACACTAAACCTAGAACTAGAAACTTTCGAGTTAAAAACGTCTTTTAAAAAGGTGTTTGACTTTCAACTTGTTTCTGAAGAAGGTTTGGAAGTCACTCCAAGTCATTTCCAACTTGTATCTGAAAAAAGATGCAACATGGCATCTTGAAACGACAAACACTTTTTCAAAATACGCTTTGTTTAACCCGAAAGTTTCTTGTTTTAGGTTTAGTGTTAATTGTAGTGATAGTGTTAATTCAAGTTTTTGTTTAATTAACTCTGGCCGTGAAGGCCTTCATACTTATAAAAGTTTTTTTGTTGAGTATTTATAAGATGTTTCTTTTCGCGGTATTGAAAAGAAATAGATAAATACTTAAATGTATATATTGTTAATACACACGCTTTGGCCTTTTAACAAAAAAAGACCAAACACTCCTTGGAAACAATTAGGTATGTAAAGCCGTCCGTGAGTGTACTTTTTACCGCACGGGTAGCTCGTTTTTACTTGTCACGTATGGGCTCCAACATAAATGGGTTGGAACTACCAATATATTTGGAAGCTATCACTTCATTCTGCAGGGCAATACGAATGTGTGTCAGGTATTTGAATAACAGCTTTTAATATAAAAAGTGATACTTTGACTTAAATACACTTCTGTTTATTCTATAGATACTTTTTAAGACATATTTGTTGTAACACGATTTAAATCAATTTTTGTTTTAGAAGTTCGGGTGCTTCCTGTTGTACCAAATGGGCTTTACAAAAGACTTGAACAAGTCATTTCTCTAAAAATCGGTCACAAATGGAAAGATTTTGCGCGGGGACTAGGAATACTTGAAGGACAAATCGATGAACTTGAAGATCGACACAAAAACATATCGGATCGTATTCGTGACGTACTTGAATTTCATGAACATTGCTGTCCCAAACAATTTTTGTATTCCTCCATTTACAACGCTTTATGTTTTGCTAGACGTAAAGATCTCGCTATGGATGTACAACTTATTATTGACACAAATTAATTTTTAAGTAAACTTAGATAGTATCTTTTAATATTTTTATTGTGATTTTGATTATTTTTATAGTTATTGTTTTATGTGTTAAAATTTAATGATAAAGATTTTATTAATTTAAACTGCCATTTTGGCTTTTCTTTGTTTATATATTCCAAGGATAAATTTAAGAGGTCAAATAGAACAATAGGTTCATTATTGAATTCATCTGCTATATACACATTTATTTATTATTATTAGTACTGGGAATGAATTTGAAGCATTGAGTTGAAACCAATGACTTCAAGAGAACACCAAAAAGCAACAAACAACCTCATTTATTGGCACTAAATAAATTTTCAATGGTTTTTTTTTATTAAATATTAATTAAGAGAATTTAATATTAAATTACTTATTTTCCAACATCTTCATTTAACATATCTTCAAGTTTATCTTTAACACTTCCAAAAACTTCTTTACAAATGACATCTCCAGATTCATCGCTTATTTTATCAACAATTTCATCACCAGATTTTGAAATAAAACACTTCTTGTAGGTGAATTGAGTAAAATTAACTGTGTTTATTAAACTATCTTCATTATTTTCGATGGTTAAAGATTGAATTGAAACTAATAATTTTAAGAGGAGAACACCAAAAAGCAACGAAAATAACCTCATTTTGTGGCACAAATTTAATTATAATTATGGACCTTCTTTATTAATTTCGTCGTTTTTGTACTAATTTTATCTTTATTGACGATTTGTGTCTAGACAGAAACAATAAACGTTTTATTTTTAATACTGTAATAAAAAATTTCATTCTAGAACATGTAAGGTTATGTTTTTAATTATTTTTCATTTAATTTGTTATTAACAAATTATTCTCAGGATCATTTAGTTTTCTTTTAATAATAACTCAACGTTTAGATGCACAAATATATGTTGGATTAGATCGTTTTGGACCTACATATTGCCCTTATCTGTAATCTTTTGGACAATGGTGTATCAGTGATGAAAGAGACTTATAAATAAGATTTTTTGGTTAAGTTGGGTTAAAAAAATAAGTGCTAAATTGTAGAAACCTTAATATAATTTTATTTAATTTATAGAAAAGAAAAAAGATCCTATCACAAAAAAAAGAATCTTCAAAATATTACTTCATTCAACTAAAAAAAGAAACAATATAATAATGAAAATAAAGTTATGCTTCACAAAAATAAAATAAAATAGCTTCCAATTCATTCCAAATTCAATCCTTAAAAGAAAATGAATGATTGTATTAAAACGTAAATATTTCTTCATATTTTAAACTAAGTATCAAACGACACTATAAACAACGGCCAAAATGGGAAAAAGTATTATTTTTTTAGTTTTAAATAAGTGTACAGCGGTACGTTAACCACAAAGATTACAATACATTCGTACAGAGCAAAGTAAAGTCAAAACAACGGGCTCAAACAAGTGTCATTCTGTCAATATATCTCAAAGAAAATTATTAATAATCAATCATTTCGGTTTAAGCTGGAGGCGAATTTTGGGGGTTAGGAAGTAAAGGGAAATATGTTTTAATAAGGAGTTTTGCTTTTTTGCAATTTTTCTTTTTTGCAAGTATAGTGTGGGGTGGGACGATAGAAATTATCATTATTTAATTAATTATTGGTTGTTATACTCGACAGAACGACAAGGTCTGGCTACGCCCACCCACCGTTATACGGTATACGAGTTCTTGGTGACCGAACCGGCCTTGTCTATGGTGTCTTTATGGACTTGGTAGCCGATCGTCACCTTCGGCGAGATGCGCAATCTATCTTTTAATTTCCTACCAATTTCTATAACAGCTGCAGCCCTCATTGCATCCGCAGTCCATATTCCTACACACAAAAAATAATTATAATATAATTTTAAATCATTAAAACGGAATTATTTTTACCTATTTTATCACCTTTTCCCCTTATATTCACCACAGCACCGCATACATCTTCAGAATTTTCAAACGCTTCCCCAATTAGGCAAAGAATCTAATTAAAAAATAAAGTTAATTTACAGTTCCCTGTAATTTATAACTAAAAAGTGAGTCATTGCACAAAAATGTGAAAGGCGAAACTTACAACATCTAGCCAAAATCGATCAAGATCATTTCCACGTTGTTTCTTATCCAAATTAATAAGCCAACGGCCGCCCCTTTTATTAGCATCATCCTCCCACATGGGTCTGATGCCCTTCTTAAATAGCGAATAATCGCAACCTTGCCTAAGCTCGCTAGCCAACTTTATGTGGTTGTAAAGGCTCCAAAAGTCCTCCACCGTTTCAAACGACGCGATTTCCTTCTGGTTCTTTTCCCAGGTGTTGGCACGATCGTTCTCAAAGTACCACAGGGTCCAACAATTTTGCAGAGGGTGTTTCATCGAATAATCTATCGTGTCGATCATCTGATCCGGTTCCTGCCTCTCGTTTTTATCGTTCTAAACAAATAAAAAATGTCGATTAAAACGTGAGGCTCGTCAATATGCTTGCGGAGTATATTTTAGGTTAGGTTCGGGTAGATGATGTTCTAATAAAAAAGCGGTTTATTACCTCGTTTTCTAACGAATTCGTAGACATTTTCGCAGAAGACGTACAGCCCTGTTAGCAAAAAGAAAGTTTAATTTTTGCTTTTTTTGATTGAGTTACGAGCCGACCACTACGGCTTCGCACCTACATTCACTCCAATCAATTAAGCGGTTTATTTAAATTTAAGAATAAAAGAAAATGAATTTTTACTTCATTTCATCAAATTAAATTTATTGTTTTTAAAATTATTATAGTTAAGTTTATTAACGGTTAATTGAAATAAAGTAAACATGATAAAATTAATTTTTGACAGATTAAAGGTTTAGTTGGCTAATTTCACTCAAATGATTATTAATTTATTGGTTTATTACAGATTAATAATAAATATTTGTTATATTTAGGATCAAAATGATCATTTTATTAATTTTTATTATATAAAAATTTATTTTGACATATTTGTCATTATTATCTAAAGGAGAAAGAATTTTGTTAAAACGATTTGTAACTAATTTCGCATGAATATTTCAAATTATGAATTAAATTTTAATTATTATAACGAATTTTAGTGTAAATAATAATTTTAATATAATTTTATTGACTGTATTAATAAATTTTATTATAATCTTATTTCTTTTTTTGGATGGAATTTGTTTTGGCTGTTTGAAAGGCGGGTAATTTGAATATGAGGGTGATGAATTTGTGTTTTAAGAAGGAACTTACCCACATTTTTGTTGAGATATGACAATACACTAAAATTCAAAACGAACACAAATGAAACAAATATGTGAGTAGTTTTTATTTTCATCAGCCAACTTTAATATTTTCAAAAATATTATTTTAATAATCCTGTCAATCAATTTATTTTACATTTGGTTTGCAATAAAATGAATCCCGATGATCCTGCAAACCCGAATTATACCCAACCAGCCACACTTCCAGTTCCGCAACAAAGTCAACTTCCAAGTTATTTAAGCTTTGGTCATTACAGCATTAATACGAAAGGATATCGAAAGATTGACGATGAGCTCCAGCCCCGCGGAAGTATCATTCTCCCACAACTCCAACAATCAGAAAGAAAATTTTTCGAGATGGTAGCTTGTAATGATATAGCCGCAGTACGAGACTTTTTACAAGAAAATCCTCATTTTAACATAAACTGCGTGAATTTTCAAGGAGTATCAGCTCTCCATATCGCAGTTCAAAACGTTTCGGAGAATATGGTTGAATTGTTAATAAGCCAACCGGATATTGAAATAGGCGATTGTGTTCTCCATGCAATCCGAGATAATCAAATCAAAATTTTAAAAATTCTCTTAAATAAACTCCATCAAACAGCCCCAGGATTTGAATTTGTTGGTGTAACTAATAGTTCGGATTTTCCAGAGTATGTCACGCCTTTAATTTTAGCCGCTCAATGCGGTCACTTTGAAATAATCGAACTTTTGATCGAAAGAGGACATAAAATTGTTAAACCACATCCTCCAGATTGCCAATGTCACGAATGTCGAGCTCAATACTTAGCGGATGATTTATTACACGGAGAAACATTGAGATTAAATTTATATCGTGCAGTTTCAAATCCATCTTATATTTGCCATTCGACGTATGACCCAATTTTAACAGCTTTCCAACTATCGAAAGAGTTAATGGATTCGGCTTACGTTGTGCCGCAATTAAAAACTGCCTATCAAGAATTAGCTAATGAAATAAGCCAATTTGCTGTTGATTTAATCGGTTGTTGTAGAAGTACGGAAGAAATGGATTTAGTTTTAAAACAGGTTGATGGATTGTATGTTTCACCTCATTTTTTGTACCCTCGATTACTTCTGGCTATTGATTACAAACAAAAACATTTTGTTGCGCATCCAAATTCGCGGCAAATGATTGATACTGCTTGGCATCGAGAATTTCGCGAATGGAAATACAAATCGATTTTAATTAAAGCTTTATATCCGTTTTTCAGACTTTTAATGATACCTGTTATTGCTATTTTATGTTTGGTTATGCCACATCATCATTTAGTTACGTTTTATTCGATTCCAGTGAATAAAATGTTGAGTCACATGGCAGCTTATTTTATTTTTTTGGTTATAATTTTTTTGGAGAGTAACATTGATAAAAAAGAAGCTAAAAGAGGTCCTCCAAATTCCGGGTTGGAGCCGGTTATCATTATTTTTGTAATTAGTAGGATTTGGAGTAGTTTTCGTTTGTGTATGATTAGAGGCCCAGCAAGGCATTTCAAAAAATTATGGAATTGGTATGATTTGGTCAATTATATTTTGTATCTTTTAACGTTTTCTTTCTGGGTTTTTGCTGCTATTGATGTTCGCGATAATGGGCAAGTTGATTTAGAACGGAAGTATTGGCATCATTTGGATTACACTTTAATTGCAGAAGGAACTTTTGCAATAGCCGTTGTGATGTCTTTTTTTCGTACGATGAATTTGATGCGTTTAAACTACATGCTTGGGCCGTTACAAATATGTTTGGGAAAAATGAGTGCTGATATAGCGAGATATCTAACCATGTTTGCATTAATTATAATTGCTTTTACATGCGGAACTTGTCGCCTATATCACTATTACGAAGGTATGGTTCAAATTGATAAAGAAACTGGGGTGAAAAAGTCCCAAGAAGATTCTTTTGTAAGTTTCGCCGCCGCTTTAAAAACTTATTTTTGGGCGATTTTTTGTATGTCTGGTTTAAGTTCGGGCGATGTTATCATCGAAACTTTACCCGGAGAACAAGAAAATACTTACATTTACAACACGCACGAGTTTACTGAAGCTGTCGGTTACATTGCCTTCGCTCTTTTCGAAGTTATCATTGTCATCGTTCTTTTAAACATGTTAATTGCGACAATGTCGAATACTTACCAAAGAGTTATTGATAATGTTGATATTGAATACGCGTTTGGAAAAACGGAATTTTATATGGAATACATGGCCCAAACTTGTCTTCCGCCTCCGCTAAACTTAATTCCTACTGCAAGAGGATTAGGATCGATTTTTGAGTGGTTGCACGTTTTAACGAAAACACCCCCACAGAAAAAAGCTCGATTTACTTTAACGAATTGTTGCTTTATTGAAACTGAAATGGACGAACAATTAACGAAGGATTTTCCTATTTTAATGACGCAATTAATTCAAAGATATTTTAGAGAAAAAGATGTTTCTTCTGATAAAATTTCAACTGATGTTGATGTGGTTAAACAAGATTTAAATGAAATTAGAAGTATTTTAAGGGAATCTTTGCAACCGGTAATAGTTGTTGACTTGGCTGGGGATGATGAAAATCCACCGGGTCAAGGAATTCCAGATCGGATGCCATAATTACTTTTTAATTTAATATTTAACACTATATTAGGATTTATAACCAAAATCTTCATCAATACTGTACAACTTTATTATATTATTATTGTTATTATTAATTTTATTATAATTGAAAAGATCTGCAAAACTAACCACACTTTTATTTTCAAAACAGTTTTATAATTATGCTGTAAAATACCACTTTTTCCTCAACAATTGGAGATATTAACATATTTAAGGACTGTTCATTTATACTATACTTTTTCTTTTAATTTAGATATTGTTTATTCAAATAAATTTTGTGCCCTCCAAACATTTAATTTAGATGTTATTGGTCCAAATGTGCTATAATTATCATTCTACTTGATTTAAAGTATATTGATTAAAGCATAGCTGAACAAATAATAGTAATAAGATTAATATAAAAGCACTTTATTGCAAAACTGTATTGTTCATTTTGAAACATAACCTAAATCATGTGTCAATAAATAATACCATACAAAAATCTATTATAGCGCCATCTGTTGACGAAAAGTCAGTTATAAAAGTAAAAGCTATGTATTTTGAGAGATTAAGAACACCATTTGTAATAATTTATTACCTAATAATAAGATTTAAGCGTAAAGCCAATAATTAAGCGGGATTAAAGATGAAAAACGGGCAAAAGAGTATTTGGATTTTACAATAAATCCATAGACGGCTACATGAAAATCACGTTAGATGTCGCTGATGCCTCAAATTCATTCGACAATTTGGCCAAATTTGGCATAATTTGAGAAAACTAACCTAAAAGGGTCGCATACGTTTTTACTTCTAATATTTTAATTAAATTTATTGTTTGTTGTATAACGTATTAATAAAGACGAAGTCACAGTTGTTAATCATATTAGGGTCGATTACTGAAGTAAGTATCTAAAATAATTTAACAGTTAGTAACATAACCTAAAAAGCATTTTTAGTTATTTTTTTCAGATTGGAAAATCAAAAGACAATTATTGAAGCAGTAATATGGATTTGGATTCCAACGTTGTGCCAACGCTCAATTTCAACAAAAGAAACAAACTATTCTTTTATTTATTTCTTATCTGATGTTAAGTAAACCAATGTTGAGATATTAAATAAATGTCTTGATACAAATTGTATTCTACAAGTAATTTATTTATGGACATTTTAGTAAGCTCTGTTTAAAAATTTGTCACTTAAAATCAAAATTTGACAAAAACCATCAATTTCACCTAATTTCCAACTAATTCCCTTATTATTAATTATCGAAATGGACCGTGATAATTACAAATATGATCCAAACTTACTTGCACCACCGGGAGCTGGAAATAGAGAAGCAGGTGGTCAACCAGGAGGAGAAAACCAACCTGCGGGTGCAACTCTTCAACCAAGATTATCGAGAATGTTCCACTTACCAACCGGATTAAGTATAGGAAGATATAGTTTTAGCGCAAAAGGTTATCGAAAATTAGAGGTCGAACCAGACCTTCAAAAACGAGCGAGTATTCTGTTACCTCATCTCCAAGAACCCGAAAAACGTTTCTTTGAATTAGTCGCAACAAACGAACTTCAACGCGTTAAAGAATTTCTTTTAGACAATCCAACTTTTAATATAAACTGTGTTAACTTTCAAGGTGTTTCAGCGCTTCATATTGCCGTGCAAAACCATGCGGATCAAATGGTTGAATTTTTACTTCAACAACCGAATATTGATATCGGCGATTGTGTTTTAATCGCAATTCGGGATAATGACATAAAAATTTTGCAATTATTATTGAATAAGTTACAAGAAATTGCGCCTGGATTAGAATTTGTTGGTGTTACGAATAGCTCGGATTTTCCGGATTACGTGACCCCTATGATTTTAGCCGCTCAATGTGGACATTTTGAAATTATTGAATTATTAATTGAACGTGGACATAAACTTATTAAACCTCATCTACCCAATTGTCGTTGTATCGATTGCGTACAAATTTACGAATTAAGTGATTTATTACATGGGGAGACTTTAAGATTAAATTTGTATCGAGCTGTTACTAACCCAGCATATATTTGTCATTCAACACACGATCCGATATTAACAGCTTTTGAATTATCTAAGGAATTAAAAAGTTGTGCTACAATGGTAGCTGAATTTAAAGCGGCTTATATAGATTTATCGGAAGAAATATCAAATTTCGCAGTTGATTTAATTGCTTGTTGTCGAAGTACCGAAGAGGTTGATATGATTTTAAAAAATCCAACTGGGGTTCATATGGCGGGACAATTTCTTTATCCCAGATTAAAATTGGCTATGGATTATAAACAAAAACGATTTGTAGCTCATCCCAACACACAACAAATAGTTGTAATGACTTGGCAAGGAGATTTTTATGATTGGAAGTTTAAACCTTTCGTCGTCAAATTATTTTATCCTTTTTTTCGACTTTTATTGATACCTTTAGTGACGATTATGTGTATAATTATGCCAAATCATAGTTTGGTTAAACATTATTCGATTCCGCTAAATAAAATGTTAACACATACTGCTTCTTATATGGTGTTTTTGGTGATTATCTTCTTAGAGTCGAATATGAATAAGAAAAGTATGAAGCGGGGAGCCCCAGATTCAGGGTTAGAGCCGATTATAATCGTTTTTGTGGCCAGTTTGATTTGGAGTAGTCTTCGTGTGTGCTTAATAATGGGACCCATGCGTCATTTTGCCCAACTTTGGAATTGGTTTGATTTGGTTATGTACGTTTTGTATATTGTTACTTTTATTTTTTGGTTGGCAGCATCGATAGATGTTCAACAAAACGATCAAGCCGATTTAGAACGCAAATATTGGCACCATTTGGATCCTACGTTAATAGCTGAAGGAACTTTTGCGATCGCTGTGGTTATGTCGTTTTTTCGAATGCTAAATTTGGTGAGATTACATCAACACATGGGACCTTTACAAATTTGTATGGGAAAAATGAACGCTGATATTGGGAAATATTTATTAATTTTTGCCTTAATTATTATATCCTTTACGTGTGGGACTTGTAGATTGTATCATTACTACGAAGGGATGGTTCAAACTGATAAAAGTACCGGAATACAAAAATCCCAAGAAGATTCCTTTGTAAATTTCGCAGGAGCATTAAAAACGTATTTTTGGGCAATTTTTTGTATGTCAGATTTATCTTCGGGAGATGTTGTTATCGAAACTTTACCCGGTGAAGTTGAAAACACCTACATCGTTAACGAACATAGTTTTACGGAAGCTGTTGGACATACCGCTTTCGCAATTTTTGAAATTTTAATCGTTATCATTTTATTAAACATGCTTGTTGCGACTATGTCCACCACATTTCAAAAAGTCACCGATAACGTTAACGTTGAATGGACTTTTGGTAAAACGGAATTATACATAAACTTTATGCACCAAACGGTTTTACCACCGCCGTTAAATCTTATTCCTACAGCCTCGGGGGTTACTCATACCCTCGATTGGATTCATGTTTTTATAAAAACCCACCACGAGAAAACCGCAAAATTCACTTTAACTAATTGTTGCTACATTGAGAGACACCCCGATGCAAAAATGATGAAGGATTTCCCTGTTTTGATGACGCAACTCGTTCAGAGATATTTTAGAGAGAAGGATGTCGCTAATGAAGGGAATCAATTGGGGGAAATTGAGGGAATTAGAGCTGAAATTGCTGATATTAAAGGACTTTTAAAGGAGGCTTTTGCTTCTTTTGCTATGGATTTACCTCCAGATCAATAACTTGATTTTTAAAATAGTTTATGTATTTTTTAATTATAATATATAAGTTTACATAAGAATATAAAGTTATTGAGTGAGGTGAGTAGATTAGATATCTTTGGTATTCCTCCTGAAGAAAGAGTTAAATGTTGTCTTTTAAAAATAGTACAAAAATATTGAGGTTAATTTGTCAAATTTGACGGTTAGTAAGGCTACGTTCAAATAATTTACTGTTAAAAACGAAGGATTAATTCAAAATGTGTTAATGAATCATATTTTATTATTTTTCATTTTAAAACTCCGAATATCTTAATATCAATTAAAAATGAATGGGTTTTATATCGATAATCGATTTTAAAACGATTTAGTAGATAATTAGTGAGGTTAACTTTTTCTAAAACGTCAAATTTGACATATATGCTTTTTATACAGTTGATTTTTTGTTTATAATAGAAATGTAAGATCAAAGAAGTATTTTTTATGTAATTTTTTGCAGTGATGGACACAATTTTTTTCATATCTTGCAACCGCTTCGGATTTTCGGGCTTCGAGTTACTTATGTCTTCTGGGTTAACTGGTGTATGAAAATGGGGAGTGTTACTTAGTTCACCCTCAATTGGTACAGATAATGCTTCGGTAAGTACATTTTTTACATCTTTGAAATGGTTGAATCGTGATCCACGCCTTTTTTAAGAAGTGACTTTCGGTAATGTCGAATGTGTACTTGGAAGTTGAAAAAAATAATATAACTCGGTAGAGGTTACAGATAATTTTTAGATTGACAGTTCAAATAGGGTGTACATAACCTCACTGATTATTTGGTGATGTTAAAAATTAACGTAGAATAATCAAAAAGATTAATAAAATTAACCAAGCTTAATATATTAAAGGATACATTTAAAACCTGTTAATAAGTATCATAAGGTCTGTTTCCATAAGTATTGTACCAATATGTCCATTTATCCAAATACATCTTTTCGGGGTTCACACTTTGATTGTAAACAACAAATTCTTCACCTATATCAAGGTATGAATAATCGTTTGCTTGAAAACTTGGAGTCCAAGTAATGTTAAATTCATTAGGAGTTGGATTTCTAAAAAACATTGATTAGAAAATGTTGAAATAAAAAATGTAGTAAAATTAATTACCCGTATTTAATAAATTGAGACCATAAATTAACGACTTTATTTGAAACTGCTTTTTGAGCCGCAGTTAATTTACTGTCGTAAAAGAAATATGGTAATTCTCCGGTGTGAGCAACACCTAAAAGAATATTTAGTACATCTTGAATTAAATTAGGAACTTTTTGTTACCTTGAGTGGAATTTCCATTATAAGAAAATCTGTATAAATAAACTTGTGGTGTCCATTTCGAGTAAAGCTCAACGTATTTCAGTATGGGTCGAACAAATTCATCGTGGCTAATATACTGTAATAAAATTAAAGACAATCAAATTTATATAATTTATAAGATCCAAAATAAAATTTTATTTTGGTAGTTCCATTAACTGTAACTGTTATTATTCCATTTTCTACATAAGTTTGTTGTATTTCATTGTCAACTTTATTCTTCTGGGTATCGTTTACGTTCATATCCAACGGAACTAGTCTACCGGGATTGAAATCATATGTTAATAGGATGAATGGAGGTAATCCAACAACTAAATTCAAAAGTTTTAATTTTATATTTTTTAAGGAATAAATTTAATAAACCATCGTTAAATCCTTCTCCTTCCTCAGAGTTATATCCAATAATAATCGGAACTTTTGTGAAATTACCACTGTTTAGTTGCTCGTAACTTTTATAAGAGAAAAGTTCTGTTGGATTGGATGTTTCAATAACCGGAGCGTAAACTAATCCATTTAAAGGATCATTAAGTAAAATCTAAAAACAAAAAAATTAAATCCAACAATGATACATATAGAAACTTAATTACAGAATTCTTAGAAAGCGAAGCGAATGAATACAGAAGAGTAGGAGCAACTTGTTTCATCCTTATCATAGCTTCAGTTTTATTAGTTCCAAAATATAATATTTCAGATGCTAATAACCAAAAATTTCGTTCGGCAGTTCTTGATAAAGCCCAAGGACACAAACTATTTCCACTATGCATAATAGCTTGATGAAACAATCCCTTAGTAACTGGCGATTGTACTAAATAAGCTACAGAAGCACCTCCGGTACTTTCACCCATAATTGTAACATTTTTTGGATTTCCCCCAAAATAACCAATGTTTTCTTGAACCCATTCCAAAGCCATCGCTTGATCTTTTAATCCCATATTACCTGGAACCACATCATCACCAGATGATAAAAATCCAAAAACGCCTAAACGATAATTTAAGGTGACCACAACCAGGTTTTGATCGATGAAGTTGTCGGGAGCGCGAGATTCATAGTTTCCATCGCCGTAATAAAATCCACCACCATGAATCCAAACTAAAACTGCAAGCTTTGATGTTAAGTTGGGACTATAAACGTTTAAATAGAGACAATCTTCGTTGCCCTTTGTTGAAGATTCAATCGGTGCTGTCGAGCTTTGGATGCAAATGTTTCTTTGATAAGTTGCTGAGTAGTTGCCTTTTAATACATATTTTTGAGGTGGCTAAAAACAGAAAATATTAAATTTAATGTAGTATATTTTAAAAGGTAATACTAAAAATTGGCAATAGATGGTGGCATTTTTATTATTTAAATTAATTTAAATATAATTTATTTACCTCAAATCTTAAATCTCCAACAGGTGGTTTAGCATAAGGAATTCCTTGAAACCCGAAATAACGAGTATCTTTTCCAGTATTAGTCTTATTAATAACCCCTTCAATTTGTCGATTACCCCCCAAGTTAACTGAAATGGTCCCCTAAAAACTCATAAACATCTTATCTGAATTATAATAATTATTAAAAAGATTTACTTGAACTCGTTTACTTTTCACTCTTTTATTAAAATGACTCCCAAGTATTGCTTGATGATGTTTTTTATGATTCTTATTAGAATGTTTTTCTTTATGATTATATTCATGTTTCTTCTTATGCTTTAAATGTTGATGTTCATCGCAAATTACAAAACATATTAAAACCGCAATTAATAACGCAATTAAGACGTTCTTCATTTTGTAGTTACACGTATTACTTTGAATAATGTTAACGTAGTTAAATATGTTTATATACCTAAAAAAAAAGAATTTAAAAACTCTAAGAATTTCGTTAAAATATTTCATTTTTACAATTTGTTATCGATGTTTGCGTTGCAATTATTTAAATATTTCACATTTTGGGGGAAGTACAAAGTAAAAATAAACATGTTTTTGTCATACTTTTTGTTATTATATTTGTAAAGTTATGTTTGGTTGTGTTTATAAATTATAAACCTTTATTATAATTGTCGTCGTGCTTGTCTTGCTATCATTTAATTTTCTTTTAAAAGCGCTAACTTCTTTTTCAATGATTTTTCATGTAACCAATTTTAATAGATATTACATTAATAATTGATTTATATGGTGTATTTTAAACAAAAATGTTTATTTGTTGGGAAATAGAAGAAAATTGAAATTAAAATACCTCACTTATTATTTGGTGATGTAAAAACTGATGTAAAGTAATCAAAAAGATTAATAAAATTTAAAAAAAATGAACGGAAACTATCAATTAGCGTTGTCCAGGTCAATTAGAATTTAATTTATGTTAAAAAAACGGGGAAAGAAAATTTAAATCTAAAAATTGACAATAGATGGCGGCACTAATTTTAATACATATTTTATGTTACGTTTATTCAAAATTAACCAAACTTAATATATTAAAGGATACATTTAAAACCTGTTAATAAGTATCATAAGGTCTGTTTCCATAAGTATTGTACCAATATGTCCATTTATCCAAATACATCTTTTCGGGGTTCACACTTTGATTGTAAACAACAAATTCTTCACCTATATCAAGGTATGAATAATCGTTTGCTTGAAAACTTGGAGTCCAAGTAATGTTAAATTCATTAGGAGTTGGATTTCTAAAAAACATTGATTAGAAAATGTTGAAATAAAAAATGTAGTAAAATTAATTACCCGTATTTAATAAATTGAGACCATAAATTAACGACTTTATTTGAAACGGCTTTTTGAGCGGCAGTTAATTTACTGTCGTAAAAGAAATATGGTAATTCTCCGGTGTGAGCAACACCTAAAAGAATATTTAGTACATCTTGAATTAAATTAGGAACTTTTTGTTACCTTGAGTGGAATTTCCATTATAAGAAAATCTGTATAAATAAACTTGTGGTGTCCATTTCGAGTAAAGCTCAACGTATTTCAGTATGGGTCGAACAAATTCATCGTGGCTAATATACTGTAATAAAATTAAAGACAATCAAATTTATATAATTTATAAGATCCAAAATAAAATTTTATTTTGGTAGTTCCATTAACTGTAACTGTTATTATTCCATTTTCTACATAAGTTTGTTGTATTTCATTGTCAACTTTATTCTTCTGGGTATCGTTTACGTTCATATCCAACGGAACTAGTCTACCGGGATTGAAATCATATGTTAATAGGATGAATGGAGGTAATCCAACAACTAAATTCAAAAGTTTTAATTTTATATTTTTTAAGGAATAAATTTAATAAACCATCGTTAAATCCTTCTCCTTCCTCAGAGTTATATCCAATAATAATTGGAACTTTTGTGAAATTACCACTGTTTAGTTGCTCGTAACTTTTATAAGAGAAAAGTTCTGTTGGATTGGATGTTTCAATAACCGGAGCGTAAACTAATCCATTTAAAGGATCATTAAGTAAAATCTAAAAACAAAAAAATTAAATCCAACAATGATACATATAGAAACTTAATTACAGAATTCTTAGAAAGCGAAGCGAATGAATACAGAAGAGTAGGAGCAACTTGTTTCATCCTTATCATAGCTTCAGTTTTATTAGTTCCAAAATATAATATTTCAGATGCTAATAACCAAAAATTTCGTTCGGCAGTTCTTGATAAAGCCCAAGGACACAAACTATTTCCACTATGCATAATAGCTTGATGAAACAATCCCTTAGTAACTGGCGATTGTACTAAATAAGCTACAGAAGCACCTCCGGTACTTTCACCCATAATTGTAACATTTTTTGGATTTCCCCCAAAATAACCAATGTTTTCTTGAACCCATTCCAAAGCCATCGCTTGATCTTTTAATCCCATATTACCTGGAACCACATTATCACCAGATGATAAAAATCCAAAAACGCCTAAACGATAATTTAAGGTGACCACAACCAGGTTTTGATCGATGAAGTTGTCGGGAGCGCGAGATTCATAGTTTCCATCGCCGTAATAAAATCCACCACCATGAATCCAAACTAAAACTGCAAGCTTTGATGTTAAGTTGGGACTATAAACGTTTAAATAGAGACAATCTTCGTTGCCCTTTGTTGAAGATTCAATCGGTGCTGTCGAGCTTTGGATGCAAATGTTTCTTTGATAAGTTGCTGAGTAGTTGCCTTTTAATACATATTTTTGAGGTGGCTAAAAACAGAAAATATTAAATTTAATGTAGTATATTTTAAAAGGTAATACTAAAAATTGGCAATAGATGGTGGCATTTTTATTATTTAAATTAATTTAAATATAATTTATTTACCTCAAATCTTAAATCTCCAACAGGTGGTTTAGCATAAGGAATTCCTTGAAACCCGAAATAACGAGTATCTTTTCCAGTATTAGTCTTATTAATAACCCCTTCAATTTGTCGATTATCCCCCAAGTTAACTGAAATGGTCCCCTAAAAAGTCATAAACATCTTATCTGAATTATAATAATTATTAAAAAGATTTACTTGAACTCGTTTACTTTTCACTCTTTTATTAAAATGACTCCCAAGTATTGCTTGATGATGTTTTTTATGATTCTTATTAGAATGTTTTTCTTTATGATTATATTCATGTTTCTTCTTATGCTTTAAATGTTGATGTTCATCGCAAACTACAAAACATATTAAAGCCGCAATTAATAACGCAGTTAAGACGATCTTCATTTTGTAGTTACAAGTATTACTTTGAATAATATTAACGTGGTTAAATATGTTTATATACGTATTAAGAAATGAAAGAATTTAAGAACTCAAAGAATTTCTTTAACATATTTCACTTTTACAATTTATTATCGATGTTTGCGTTGCAATTATTTAAATATTTCACATTTTGGGTGAAGTACAAAGTAAAAATAAACATGTTTTTATTATACAGTTTATGAAGATTTGTTGCTTGCTGTCAATATATAAGGTCAAGAAGATTGTTTAAATTCCTTACGTTTTAAAGTTATGTTTGGTTGTGTTTAGAAACCTTCTTTATTATAATAGTCATCGTAAGTCCCTTGCTAGCATTCCTTCACTCTTGTTCAATGACTTTTTATATCAAGAAATTTAATAGTTAAATTTAATAATTGATTTTTATGGTGTATTTTGAACAAAAATGTGTATTTGTTGGGAAATAAAAGAAAATTAAGATTAAAATATTTATTTATTAATATAAAATGAACTGGAATTAAATTCCTTTTACTTTTCCACAAGTTTTATAAAGATTCTCCCACAAATCGAAGTCGTTTTTAAATGGTGCACCGTTCAAGTTATTTTTAGCAAGTTCAATGTCGATGTCTAAATATTCATGTTGATTTTTTGCGGTGCTTTTATTCCAATTTATGTTAAATTCGCTTTGTGTTGGAGTTGGATTTCTGAAAAACAAACATTAAATTAAAAATTTAAATTTAGGAGATAAATATTAACAAACCCAGTTTTCATAAAATTACTCCATAAAGAAACGATGTTTTTAGAAACTTTTTGTTCCTCAACTGTTAGAGGTTCTCTTATTGTAACTAAAGGATACGTTGGGAATAAATATCTTAATTCATCCGTATGGCCAGCACCTACACAAAAAGTTATTTTAGATTTATTTTCGAGTTGGATTAAAACGTTACCTGTAGCAGTTTTGTTTCTGACATAAGAAAATCGATATAAATAAACATTTTGGTTACATTTCGAATACAACTTTGAGTACTCAACGGCTGTTTTCATAAATAAAATATCGCTCACATACTAAAAATGAAACTTATTAATATTTATAGTAGCAAAATTTTTATTTTTACCCGAATAATCGGTTGCTTTTCGTTAACGAAGCTTCCATCTCTCCCCGCATAATGATCTTTAATTTTTTTCCCAGTTTCTTTCGGGTCACATCTTCCTTTAACATCCATATCTTTAGCTACTAAAGTCTCAGGATTCACATCGAAATTTATATATGTATATCTTTGATTGTCTAAAACTAAAAATTAAGACGAGAATAAAATTAAAATTATATTTTAATCAATTTTACCGTCTTCGTAAGTTAAAGATTCTTCAGAATTAAACCCGATTATAATCGGAACGGATTCAAAATTGCATTTTTGTACTTGCTCGTATGGTGGTTGGGTTATAACCCCTAATTTTGAAGTTTCCTTTTCTAAGACGGCCCCAAATAAACTTTCATCGAATAAATCGGCGCGAAGTTTCTCGGTAAGAACGATCGAGTAAAGATGTAGTGAAGAAAAATCGACCGTTTTTAATTTGTTGATGATTTCTTGATTATTTCCGTTAACCCCGAAAAATTCCCCGAGAAGTTTTAAAGCATTTCTCATTTTTTCTGGCCTAACTAACCCGTTTATTGGAGTCCAACTTTGTAGGATACCCCTTTTAAATAATCCTTGAGCTGATTCTGATTGGATCAAATAACCGACGGATTCAGCTCCGGAACTTTCTCCCATTATTGTAACTTCAGATGGGTTTCCCCCGAAAAATTCAATGTTTTCTTTGATCCATTTTAATGCAACAATCGTATCTTTTAGCCCCATATTTCCAGGGATGATTTCATCCCCTGTGCTTAAAAAGCCAAAAACTCCTAACCTATAGTTAATGTTGACAACAACCATATCTTTATCTAAGAAATATTCGGGGCTATAATAATTTTTATTTCCACTTCCGAAGACGTAACTTCCCCCGTGAATCCACACCATAACCGGTTTTAAATTTTTATTGGATTTCGATCTGGTGTAAACGTTCAAATATAGACAATCTTCACGACCACTAATTGGAATGTAAAACCCGGGGAAAGCTTGCACGCATTCATTTCTTTCGTAAGTTGCATTCCAAAGTTCATCATTCCAAGAAAATTCTTGAGGGGGTTCAAATCTTAATTGGTTTAAAGGTGGTTTTGCATAAGGAATTCCTTGGAACGAAAAATATTTAACCCCGGTTTCAGTTTGATCATTTTTTCCGATCACGCGTCCTTTAGTTGTTTGAACGATTAAACTTTCTTCTTGCTATGTAAATACATAAATAATAATTTATTTTTGTGTTATATATAAATACAAACCCGTTTGGAATGCTGATGATATCCATAACAATCGGAAATTGTTGAAATGGCTAATAAGAAAATTACAACTTGAGCTTGTTTTGTTAGAGACACCAACATATTTGCGAGCTTGAAATTGCACTGCAGCGATATCACAAATGGACAGCGGTTTTTAACTTTCTATAAACTAGATAAAGGCGTCATTGGGAATACCGAAGGTGAATAGGACGATGTATTGACGTGTGATAAAAAATTCCACATAGTATTTTTTCTTTGAAATATATATTATATTTATTGTGCTTTGTCTTAAAAACATAGAATTTCATTCTCGTTAAAACCGTTAAGTAATTTCTTCTTTATTTATTAATTCATCTAACTCTTAAGAAATCTCGGTTTTGTTAGAAATATAAATTTTGTTCATTATTCATCAATTGAATTTTCCTTTAATTTCCAACAAAGAGATTATTTTTTGATAACATACAGTGGCGGACAAAAGTCTACATACAGCATTGAATTATGAGCTTCTAAAACAGCACGCAGGCGTTCTGCTTCTGCTGTTATTTCATCCCAAGATTCGACTAACGCTAAGATTTCAGTGTTTTCGCATCTTAGATTTTGTGCTGCCGGATCTTACGTTTCAAAGGCTCCCAAACATATTCGATTAGATTAAAATCCAGCATCTGAAGAGGTGTATTCAACTGCCTGTGTGCATAATATAGCAACCAATGTTTGATAAGGTTTCCGGTATGCTTAGGTTCATTATCTTGCTAGAATATCCAGCGATCCTCGAGGGCTAAGCTTTCCACTGATGGGTTCAAATTTTGTTCTAAAATACTTTTATATTTATACCGATCCATAATTCCATCAATAAATGCCAGTTTTCTTATAGCTGATTCTGCTATCGCTCTCCGAACCATGACATTACCTCAGCCGTGCTTTACAGTTGGCACCAAATTTTTAACTCCATCGCCGTGTTTCGTTTCCTCTAAATTTTTGCCCGACCATCACTTCCAAAAAGATTGTACTTTGACTCGACAGTAAACAAAACCTTGGATCAAATTCTAGTCGAAGACGGCGATTCTTTTCTGAAATCAGCGGTTCTCTTTGGGGTGAACGAACTTTGCTATCGAATGAATCAGTTTCATTGTAATTTTTGACGATGGTCTGGACAAAAGCTATTTTAAACGTTTTTCATTCATTTAATTCATAAATTTTAGGGTGTAATTTACGTTGGTAGATTATAACTCTATAAACAATGGGTTCATTCGGTTTTACGATACCACTTTAAATTTGTTTCTGTCTCATATTATCGTTTTTACGTTAATTGTTAAACTCTGTAAATATAAATGTGATTTTAATGTCTACTTCAGTAATCATTTTTAGTTTTTTATGTGTTCTCTCAGTAATTAATGGTTATGTGGTATCCACATCGGTAGGTGATATAAACGGGAAGTATGAGGAAACGATTTCGAAAGGAACTCCTCATCACGCGTTTTTGGGAATCCCTTACTCTCAACCTCCCATCGGATCAAAACGATTTAAAGTAAATTAATTTTTTAAATTAAATTCATTAATTAACTGTTATTTTAGCCACCACGAAAGGTGAAAAATTTTACTACGATATGGGACGCTACTTATTATAAAAGTAGTTGTGTACAATTTCATTGGGAAAAAACTCTTTCGTGGACGGGTGAAGAAGATTGTTTGTTTTTAGATATTTTAACAACAGCGGTAAATTCACCAACTCAATCACTTGATTAATTCTAATTTTAACGTTAAGTTTTATCATAACGAATCAAATTTGGCTGTTATGGTTTGGATTCATGGCGGGTTCTTTTTCCGTGGGGATTCCCACAGTTCCAGTTATAACCTCGATTATTTCGTTGATGAACACATCGTGAGCATTAAATTGAATTATCGATTAGGATTTTTGGGTACTCCAAAAAAATTTTGTATACATTTTAATCGATTAAAAATAAAAAAAACTTAAAGGTTTTTACCACGGCAAGAAAAACATTTTTGGAAATATGGGTATTAAAGACCAATTGATGGCTTTAAAATGGATCAAAGAAAATATTAAATATTTCGGTGGTGATCCGAAAAAAATAACGATTATGGGCGAAAGCGCTGGAGCTACTTGTGTTTCTTACTTGATTCAAACTCCTTTGAGTAAAGGGCTTTTTCAACGAGCCATTATGCAAAGTGGTAATACATTAACAGGGTGGGCAATTGCAAGAAAAGCTGCATCCATCACGAAAATTATGTTAAAATTAAATAAGATGTTGATTAAGTTTCTCGATAATGTGTCTGATAGAATTTCAGGATTTTTTTCGGTGATTTTACCTGGTTTTAAAATGGCTTTTGACGTAAGTTCACGTTTCGTTACAGTTTTAATGAATACAAACATTCGATGTTTTTTGCCGGGCATTAATAATTCTAATAACTTAATATTAAGCTCTTTCTTTCTTGGAAGTTGAATTAAAGGAATCTTTTTAGACCGCTTTAGATCCGCTGCAAGGTTTATTATATGCACCAGTTAAAGAAAAAGAGAACCCAACAGCGATTCATTTGAATGATACCTATAAGATTTTAGATAAATGCGAAAATGGGAGTTTTGTTCCGATAATGATTGGTTTTAATAAAAACGAAGGGAGGACGATAACTGATCATAATATTGGTAATTTCTTTTAACTTTGTTAAAATTTATAAATTAATCGTCTTATTATTTTTTTAGTTACTAAATTTCTTTCGATAGTTTTAAATAATATATATTCTTTATTTTCGTCGAGTTTGTTGCCTAAAGATCTGAAAAAATTAGCGAACTGTTCCCATTTGGGAACAGAAATTAAAGAGTACTATAAATTATCGTCTTATAATGACACAGCTAAAGTATTGAATTAACAAAAAGTTATTGCAGTTTATAATAAATGTGTAGTTCTCATTTTAGTTTATTGGTGACGTATTTTTTGTGGAACCAACAGTTCAATACGTTAAAATGTTTTCTAAATGCAACAAGGTTTATTTTTATAGATTTTCCTATAAAGGTATAAACAAAATGAAATAAAATTTCAATAATTGATTTGTTTATATTTTTAGACGCCGGACATGGAGACGATTTGCATTTTCTATTCGCAAATTTCTTTTACAAATTAGAAACGTATAAAGAACGATTGGTTTCTAAGAAAATGGTTAATATTTGGAGTCATTTTATAAAATACGGGTTCGCATTCTTAAACGCTACAATTATATTTTGACATTGTTTATTTTAGTTATCCAAGAAAAAAAAATAAAAGTTTAACTTGGCCCGAAAGCACGCACGACAACAATTACGTTTACATGGATATTAGCCGAAAATTAACTTTAACCAATTTATCATCGAGCCCCCATTCTGAAACATTAACTTTTTGGAAAAAAATTTATAAGAAATGTGGATTAGGTCATTTAAAAGTAATACAAAATAATTATTAGATAAATAAATTGTTGTTAAATCACTTAAGGATGGAATTTTGCCCTGTCCACCAACTTTGAAAATTAACTTCGGTGATTCCTCTTTTATATACTAATTTTAATTAGCGTAATTTGCATTGTGTACTTCTATCGTTTCAATCAAGAGAAACCATTCTTTGTTTTGTAGAATAGGAAAGTAGGTAAAAAGTTTACCTTTTAGTTACAAACTTTCAATTGATATTACTCCAAATTAAATCTTTAATTATGAATTTAGTTGAATGGTTTCCTTCAGTATGGGTATAATAATACATAATATACTGAGAGGAACAATATAAATAAATTGTATTTTCGACAAAATCACCGAAGTTTGAGTTTTGAAAACAAATTTAAGGTTTTTGGTATAGATAAGTTGATTTAGTTACTTTCAAAAGTTCACCGATTCTGAAGTAGATGGCAGGATTGAATTTTACCCTATGATAAATATTATATTGTATGTCGTATAGGTCGTATACGGAGTATATGATACCACCGATCTGGCAACGTCACTTTGATTCCTTCGATCGCTTACTCTCCCAACATCCAACATAAAATAATCTTTATTTATGTGGGATTACTATATTTGTGCACCCAACAAAACATTATATTAAAAATATACCGATTTGTGCCTTATCCATTTAAATAGACGATTCGCATACTTGTCATGAGTTTTGACAGCTGCAATTCTGCCCTTAATTGTTAAACTCTGTATATATAAATGTGATTTTAATGTCAACTTCAGTAATCATTTTTAGTTTTTTATGTCTTCTATCAGTAATTAATGGTCATCTGGTATCCACATCGGTAGGTGATATAAACGGGAAGTATGAGGAAACGATTTCGAAAGGAACTCCTCATCACGCGTTTTTGGGAATCCCTTATTCTCAACCTCCCATCGGATCAAGACGATTTAAAGTAAATTAATTTTTTGAATTAAATTTATTAATTAACTGTTATTTTAGCCACCACAAAAGGTGCAAAATTTTACCACGATATGGGACGCTACTTATTATAAAAGCAGTTGTGTACAATTTAGTTGGGAAAAAACTCTTTCGTGGATGGGTAAAGAAGATTGTTTATTTTTAGATATTTTAACAACAGCGGTAAATTCGAAAACTCAATCACTTTATTAATTCTAATTTTAACATTAAGTTTTATCATAACGAATCAAATTTGGCTGTTATGGTTTGGATTCATGGCGGGTTCTTTTTCTCCGGGGATTCCCACAGTTCCAGTTATAACCTCGATTATTTCGTTGATGAACACATCGTGAGCATTAAATTGAATTATCGATTAGGATTTTTAGGTACTCAAAAAAAATTATACATTTTTAATCGATTAAAAATAAAAAAAACTTAAAGGTTTTTACCACAGCAAAAAAATTTTTGGAAATATGGGTATTAAAGACCAATTGATAGCTTTAAAATGGATCAAAAAAAATATTAAATATTTCGGTGGTGATCCAAAAAAAATAACGATTATGGGCGAAAGCGCTGGAGCTGTTTGCGTTTCTTACTTGATTCAAACTCCTTTGAGTAAAGGTCTTTTTCAACGAGCCATTATGCAAAGTGGTAATACATTAACAGGGTGGGCAATTGCAAGAAAACCCTCATCCATCACGAAAATGATGTTAAAATTAAATAAGATGTTGATTAAGTTTGTCGATAAGGTGTCTGATGGAGTTTCAGGATTTTTTTCGGTTTTTTTACCTGGTTTAAAAATGGCTTTTGACGTAAGTTAATGTTTCAATATTCGCGCGCTATAAAATATCTTAATTTTTAATAAATACAAACATTCGATGTTTTTTACCGGGAATTAATAATTCTAATAACTTAATATTAAGCTCTTTTTTTCTTGGAAGTTGAGTTAAAGGAATCTTTTTAGACCGCTTTAGATCCGCTGCAAGGTTTATTATATGCACCAGTTAAAGAAAAAGAGAACCCAACAGCGATTCATTTGAATGATACTTATAAGATTTTAGATAAATGCGAAAATGGGAGTTTTGTTCCCATAATGATTGGTTTTAATAAAAACGAAGGGAGGACGATAACAGAACATAATATTGGTAATTTTTTTAACTAAGTTAAAATTTATAAATTAATCGTCTTATTTTTTTAGTTACTAAATTTCTTTCGATAGTTTTAAATAATATATATTCTATATTTTCGTCGAGTTTGTTGCCTAAAGATGTGCAAAAATTAGCAAACTGCTCCGATTTGGGAACAGAAATTAAAAAGTACTATAAATTATCGTCTTATAATGACACAGCTAAAGTATTGAATTAACAAAAAGTTATTGCAGTTTATAATAAATGTGTAGTTCTCATTTTAGTTTATAGGTGACGTATTTTTTGTCGAACCAACAGTTCAATACGTTAAAATGTTTTCTAAATGCAACAAGGTTTATTTTTATAGATTCTCCTATAATGGTATAAACGAAATGAAATAAAATTTCAATAATTGATTTGTTTATATTTGTAGACGCCGGACACGGAGACGATTTGTATTTTCTATTCGCAAATTTCTTTTACAAATTAATAACGTATAAAGAACGATTGGTTTCTAAGAAAATGGTTAAGATTTGGAGTCATTTTATAAAATACGGGTTCGCATTCTTAAACGCTTCAATTATATTTTGACGTTTTTTATTTTAGTTATCCAAGAAAAAAAAATAAAAGTTTAACTTGGCCCGAAAGCGCGCACGACAACAATTACGTTTACATGGATATTAGCCGGAAATTAAGTTTAACCAATTTATCATCGAGCCCCCATTCTGAAACATTAACTTTTTGGAAAAAAATTTATAAGAAATGTGGATTAGGTCATTTAAAAGTAATACAAAATAATTATTAGATAAATAAATTGTTAAATCACTTAATTTAAAAAATAACTTAAAACGTAAATAAAAAAAATAAGGTTATGTAACGTTTTGTGTAAATTCATGAAACTCAAATTTAAAGAAAAAAACAAATCATTACAATTTTTTTAAAATTCGCGAAAATGAATTAATTCCATGATTTAAGCTTTTCTGTTTAAACTACATCTTCATTTTCTTTGAAAAAGATTCATTATACTTTTATGAATCAAAAAGAGCTTCTAATTTGACACATCAAAATGAGGTTAGGTTGGTTAAACAAAAAATCACTATGACTGGTTTAAAATTTAATCAAGACACCCATCATCTTGACATTATTTAAATTGTCAAATTTAGAAATAACATTTACTTTTTAGTTTAAAATGACTTCAAGATCTGGAAGATCACTTCTTATTGATGCCGAACAATCTCCAGATGTAAACGAACGTAAACTAAAAAACATCATCTTTCTGCCTTTCAATAAAAAATGGGAACTCTTCGTCTCAATTACGATCCTTCTCAATTTTATGTTCAACATTTTCATCATAACCTACGACATCCGGGTAACAATAAAATGGTGGATATTTTATTACGTTTGCGAGATAATCTTTTTTATAAACACTTGCGCCTTGGTTCTTCATCGAGTATTTACATTGGTACGAAAAACGAGACATCATCGGAAGAAAAATTCATTTTTAATTGGAATTTGTTTACTGACGGTTCTTCCGGTACAGGAAGGTTATTACATGATTTCAGCGTTTACTTGGTCTACGGAAAAAGAACCATCAGTGGAGAGATTTATTGGGTTTAAGTGTTGTTTACGAATAATTTATGCTATGGTTTATTTTAACCAGGTTAAGAACCAAGTTGGAAAAAACGATCTATTTTTTGTTTTGTATACACACATTTTCATTGGGATTTGTGTAACGGCGATTGGAACGTGTGCTTGGCATATAAGTTATAATTTTTCTGGGGATACCTCGAGTACTTGGAGAGATCGATTGCAGTTTTTATATATTGACCCTAATGTAGCTAATCATATGTTGGCGATTGGGTATCATACCAACGTAGCCTTTTTTACTGGATCTTCTAATGGGGTTATTTACGGCGAAAATAATTACGAAAAAATTTTAATAATTATAATGATGTCAATTGGGTTTATTTACCAACACGTTGTTTTAGCCGGAGAATTATTAGCGACGTTTCTTCGAAAGCAACGCCATAAATTTACTTTTTCATCACAATTAAAAAAAATTATTCACCTTTTAGACGATTGGCGCGTTAAAAGGGACGTTAAACGACAAACGATTGATTATTACAAAGTTTATTGGGAGCGAAGAAGCGGAATCGGCTCAATGCCCTCCGCTTTTAATTTATTACCATTTTCTTTAAGGAAGGAAATCACCGTGGATATTTATTGGGAGGCGTTTCGGCATTCAAAAATTTTCTCCGAATTGGATACCCCGTTTAAGAGATCGCTTAGTTTAAAAATGAAAAGCGAATTTTATTTGTCTGGTGATTATTTATATCGCGTGGGGGAACCTAAAAACAAAATGATTTATATCTTATCTGGAACGGTTCAAATTCTTTCCGAGGAAGATCACGACACCCCCGTTTTAAATCTTTGTGGTGGGACGATTTTAGGGGAATTATCCTGCTTAACGATTCATAAAAGTCGAGTTAATGTCCGGTGTAATACGTATTGTGAGATACAATCGTTGGATATTAGGTCGTTTTATTCGGTTTTGATGGAATATAGGCGACTGAATGAGAAATTTACGAAGGAGGAGCTAAAAAGGATTGATTATGCTCGTTGGGCCTTAAGTGATGATGTTCCAAAAGTTGATTATACAAAAACAACTCTTCCAATTAATTTGCCGACTTTAACTAAATTAAAGCGGCAGTGGAACTTGTTGATGAAAATGCACAAAAGTAAAAGACCCCAAGAACAATTGTGGTTAAAATTAGATAAAAGTTTTACTTCGAATCATTTAGACGCTTTGGTGATTTGTGATACCCAAGAATCTGATGAGCACAAAATTTGTATTAAAGATACTTGCCCGGTTATTATGCGGGAAGAATCGAGTTTCCGAAATTTTCTTGAAAACTTAGTTTTATTGGCGGTTTTTTTCGAGTTATTGATTATCCCATATAGCATATTTTTTAGGCGAGAAATCACTTATTTCACTTGGGTGGTAATGGTTCCGATTGATTTGATTTATTATTTCGACATTTTCGTACAATTATCAACAACGATTAAAGTATCCCCGGAAGTCACTTTAACGCAATCTAAAGATATCATTTTATATCGATTCAAACAAGTCGGATTTTACATCGATATCTTAGCGGGGATCCCGCTACACGCTGGATTTTTACTGGTTGGGATTGAAAAAAGAACGGCTTTAATCGCGTACTGCTTCAGGATTTTAAAAGCTAAAAAGATTTACGCCAAAATTTATAAATTAGAAAAACAACTTTTCTTGCATATTCTAACAGTTAATTCGATTAAGTACACAACAATGACGATTATTTTCACCTACATTTTTTGTTGCATCCTTTATGCGATTGCTTGTTATTACCCGGAGTGCGTCGAAGAGAGTTGGTACAAAATCAGTTCAACTTTAAGCGAATTCAAAGAAAGCATCCTTTTCGAAATTGTTTATTTCTTCTCAGTATCTTTAGTTCTAAATTATCACGTCACCGATTATCTTTTAGCCACGGTGAATGAAATAATAATCCACATCATCATTATCTTAATAGCTTACACAATACATAGTTTTATGTACGCCGAAATGACGTCATCAGCGTGGATGTCATACAAAGAAGGGTTAGAACACCAAGATGAAACAGCCATGTTTAAAATAATCGTTAAAAAACGAAACGTTGGGCAAGAATTAAAGATGAGGTTGTTAAATATTTTGGAATTCCACTGGGTTTTTAATCAGGGTGCGGAAATAATTGGTGCAAATGGAATTTTGAAGGAAGCTTCGGAGAAAATTCGATCTGATGTGATTAGCGATCGCATGATTCATTGTTTGCAAAAAGTCCCTTTATTTAAAAATTGCCCATCGACTTTACTATCTAAATTAGCAATGGCTGCGGAAGTCGTCGTTTTACCCCCAGACACTTACATCCAAAACGTCGATGTGATGTCCCACAACATTTACGTGGTACTCCGAGGTTATTGCCAAATGATGTCGAAACTTCCCGGAGACAATGAGCGAAATGCAAAAATCATTTTAAAACACGGCGATATGTTAGCTGTTATAGAAACGTTACATCGCGTAAGAATGTTTGGATTAATCACAACTGTAACGGCCGTTGAATTACTTTCAGTGTCTTACGATAATTTTGTTGATATTTTTCAAAGTTTTCAAACTGAAGATTTGATTTTGCAGAATGCTTTGGACGGACATATGGAAACTTTTCAAACTATTTTGATGCGAAAAGGGTGTCGATTGCCGGAAATGAGAGCGCCCGGTGTGGCTTTGGGAAAAGTTGAAACGTTTAGTTTTAAAGTAATCATGGGAAAAAGGCATAAATCGCATCTTAAAGATGAATACATGAAACCGTTTCTTTTACTGGGAAGATGGAAATGGATTAGATTCTTTTTAATGAAATCAACGATAAATCCAAGCGGATTAAAATATAAAATTTATGAAACGTGCCGATGCTGCTTCATACTTTTTGACATCTTCACGATAATCTGCTCGTTAAGTATTCTTAGTACTAACGTTACATTGATACAAATTTTAGTTAGTTTTGGGCATGTTTTTGGATGTATCGATCAATACATTAGGATGCATTGTCAGTATTATAACCAAAAAGGAATTTTGGTTACTCATCCATTACACACTCTTTATTACTACCTTTCAACGGCATTTATTACCGATTTAACCGCAAATTTACCGCTGAATCTGATTCATATACGAGACTTTTTTCATAACAACAAATACGAAACCGAACTATTAATAATTTTGGCGATACGATGTTTATCGTTGTATCGACCTTATAAAGGTCTTTCGTACCTTCAACACAGATATTCTTGGTCCGGATTTATTCTACGACTCAAAATAATTATGGTCATCGTAATAATAATTTCAATCTTTTCGATTGCTTTGATGTCGGTTGCTTGTGAATTTCACGAGAATGGAATAACTAGCTGTACGGGAGGATCATTTCGAATTCATTCGATATTTAATGGTTATACTTCACCATCCCAAGTTTTCGTACAAACGCTTTATATCACTACGACAATGTATTGTCAAAGAACGATTGATTTATTTTATTACACCCACGAAGATGATATCACCAAATTCATTATTTTATTACTGCTTTGTCAAATTATTAGAATGATTTTATTGGCTATTTATACAAGTGCAGGGGTAAGTATATACTTTTTATGATGAGAAAATATTGATTTCGGAGCACTTTTTATTGAAATTATAATGAATTTAGAGAAACCACTTGCCTTACAACAACTTGTTTGATTGAGGAAAAGTGGATAAAACCTGGTATAAAAACAGCTCCAATTTTATTAAGCATCATTTCTCATTCAACTTAAGAAATTTTGTACTAAGAATACAATTTTCTTCTTTTGCAGATTGGTGGAAATGTAAACTTATCAAATCATCAAGCTCGAATGAGACAATTTCTAACATTCGCTAAATCGGTTGATTTGGATGAAAATATCACCGAAGAAATGGTAAACCATTACGAATATGTTTGGCGTGAAACTCTGGGTACAAACATAACGGCTCTTTCAAAAAAGTTTAATTTATATCTTCGTACTCAATTTTTTTCTTTTCTCTACGAAGAAACGCTAAGAAGAACGAATATTTTCTGTAATGCCCCGGACGCGATTGTTCAACATTTTCTCCCAATGCTCGAAGAACAACATTACAAAAAAGGTGCTGAAATCATCCGGTGCAACGACGTTCAAGGTAAAATGTTTATTGTTCATCGGGGAGCCATAAATATTACAGTGGCGAATACGGAAATTTGTGAGATGGAAATGGGTGGAATTTTTGGTTGTTTCCAAAAAGGTGGTATTACAAGACAAACGATTAATGTTACTGCAAAAAGTCATACGATAGTTCTTACAGTCGATAGTGTTAAATTTCACGAATTAATGTCAGAATGGGACGATCGAAATATTGAGACGTTTTTAAAACAACTTAAAGTAATTCATACTGAATTTATCGAGGTTTCCTCAAAAGTCACCCAACGTTTACTTACCCGGGAAAAATTACAAGTTTTACCCTTCGAAGATGTAACCATATACGACCCCATCATAGCAACTGTTAGCAAATACATCGAAGAGGATTCAAAATCTTTTCGGATCTTCGTATACATCTTAAACGTCCATATAGCATCAATATCCTCTGTAGGATTTTTAGCTTACGCTTTTATAGACGCGGGAAAATCACCTCATTTCACTTTTTATATCGTATTATATTTGTTGGATTTATTATTTTTCATCAAAATTTTTTTTGGATTTCATTTACCGTTTGTTGATTTAATAACTGGGTTTAAAGTGTTAAACGCGAAGATAATCGCGAAGAGATACGCGAAAAAAAATTTTGTGGTTGACATGGCTTCTTTATTCCCTTTCGAAATTATTTCTTGGAATTTATATCCAAACTGGATTAAAGTGTTTACTTTAAATAGAACGTTAAGGATATTGTACCTTTATCGTTATTATCAATCGTGCATTAATAAATTAACGGTTAGTGTGCATTTAAGATGGTCATTTTTGGTTTATTCTACTTTATTCAAATTGCAATTTATGCATAGTATTTGGTGAGAAATGTTTCATTTGGTTGTGAGTTGTTGTAATTGATTTTTTTAGGGTTGTTGTCGCTTGTCTTAATCCGAGATGTTATGAGACTTCTAATGTTATTGGGAGACCAAATGGGACTGTTATAGCAAGCGATGTTACTTCATCAACGATTTTGGGATACACTTACATCATAAATTTATTTACTAAGAATGGGTTAAAGGATTCAATTCCAACCTCAACGTTACAACTTCTTATAACGGCAATTATAGCTATTTATTCGCATATTATTGTTGCTCATCTCACTAGTAGTTACGCCAACATCACTATCATTGAAAACAATACTATGGATAGATATTATTATAAAATTAATCACATAAAATTGTATTTAAAGGTAAATTTTTTAAATTAAAAAAGTTAGGTTTTATATAAATATTTTTAGGGTAGACAATTATCACCAGCAATTTTTAAAAAGGTTTGGGAATACTTTTTGGAGCTTTGGAATTTACAACACGGTGAATGGATGCCCTATTTAATAGCTCTAGCTCCCCCGTATTTAAAACAAGACGTAATGTACTATTTATACGGCCACCATTTAGAAAATCATTTCTTGTTTGCAAAAACTCATAAAGATTTTCTAAGACAAGTCGCCGCTTTGTTAGAAAGAAGAATTTATTTACCAGGAAATGTGATTGTTGAGAAAGGAGATGTTGATCACACAATGTATTTTTTGCATAATGGTGAAGTTGGTGCTTATGATAAACCGGGGATGAATGAATTAACTTTTATTTTAACAAGAGAAATGGCTTTTGGGGAGGCTCAGGGAATGTATGGGATTCCTTTCCCCGTTTCGTACAAAGCTTTATCTACCACGACGATTTTGGCCTTACAAAAACATTCTTGGGAGTATTTATTGGAATGGTTTCCTGCTTCTAATGAGGAAATTATGGCTAAAGCTAACGAATATAAATTAAAAAGTGGTATTCATTATTACACCAAAAAATTATAATTATTATTAATTTAATAAAATATAAATAGAGTAATTAATTTAAAAAAATAATTAATAATTTACTTCAAGTAGCGCCATCTATTAGCAACTCCTTAATAAAAATTTAATCCTTTTTAAATTATATTATTAATTACAATTTGTTAGAAATTATCCATATTTCAAGAAAAAATCAAACAATGATGAAATAAACAACATTTTAATGAAGTTTTATTAAATCTTTATCCTTTACTTAAAAAAAACTTAGACATTGACATTTTTTGATGTTGACATTTGACATCAACAATTTTTTATAGGTTATGTGTTTAATTAGAAAACCCAAATGTGATTTATTTTCACTTTCGATTAAGGAATTTGATTGTTTTAATCAGACATATCTTCATCACTTTCTTCAGATGTAACATCAGCTTCGTTAATTTCTTGTAAACATTTTTCACAATTACAAATAAATAAATAATTTTCAGCAAGTTGTTTATGTCTGGAATGTCTTGAGCGCCCCAAATTGCACTCGTCTAAGTAGCTTATACAAATTTCTTCTCCATCTTGAATATCTTTTAATGCAACTAACGATAATTTGCTGTTGTTGTGTAAAAAGCTTGGTTCTGCGTTTGGGATGCAGCTATGATTTGCAGCACTTTGTAAACTATATAAAGCAACTCCTTCATTGTTCAAAAAGCATCCAACGTTATTCTCCATGTCTACATAGAGTTTATCAATAAAATTATTGAGCTTTTCACGTTCGAAGTCACTTAATGGTAATTCAGAGCATTTATTAACCCATTCGCTTATAGAACTTGTTCCAACACCTTGTCCATTAGTTCCTAATATTGCTAATAATTTATGAAACCCTTCTATTGTGTCAATTTCTTTTTGGGAAATAACGTTTTTTAATAAATCATATAACAGATTTATGCTTCCAATAAACTTATCTCCCAAAAATTTATGTGCTAATTCCAATTCTTCATTAACACTTTTATTACAAAATTGATTCAATTTTAGAAGAACTTGTTCCCGATTTTCTGATTGTTCAATCATTGCTAAAATTCTTGGTAAAATCATGATTGTACTTTCTTCTGGGGGATAATGAATTTGTTTCCAAGCATTATTCAAATTAATTAAAGGATGGGTTGTGTTTAAACCAACACATAACATTTTATGGTAATCATTCCAAGAATTCATTTTACATTCTTCACTACAATACTCAACGTTGCAATTAAAACATAAAACGATTTTACTTTTATCAGTTGTGCAACAATCGGGAAAAGGTAATTCTAAATTAGGTTGGCCGGTTAATCTTCTCGCATTCTCTTGAGCCGTTTCTAATGGTTTTAAGCAGTAATCACAGGCTTTATATTTATATTCCGAATTCCAAGAGAATTGACAACAAACAAAGGGGGTTTCTTCAAAGATAACATCCCCAGATTTAAACGATTTTTTTGCGAATAATCCGCGTCCTTTTGAATTATTAACTAAACGGATTTCAACGTTTTCCATATCGATTTTTATGTTTTGCACGCGGTTTGGTTAGGTTTTTATAAAAGGTTATGTTTACTATCAGCTGTCAAGGTGACAGTAAATGTCAAAAAACAATTCAGCCAATAGTAGATATATCGATTAGAAACATAAAATTCCCTATATATTACTATAAATATTTCCTATAGTTTTTTGTGAGTGTTATCGTTACACATTCGATATCAAGGAATTTAATGTATTGCGTTCGAAAAAGGCATTTATTTATGAGTCGTTGATTAAATAGCACTCAAATTTAAATGGTCGTATTTATCAGTAAGTTTAATTTTAAAATGTTAGTGCAAAAAGTTTTTTAGGAAAATAAGTAAACAAGTAATGGTGATTTTCAGACAAAAACAAAATTAACTTAACACTTTTAAAGTGAAAAGTAACGATATTATAATGAATGAGGAAGAACATTTATTAAACCTACAAAAATCATCACAACAGTGGGCCCGACGTCAACTATATGGCCATGTTAATCCACCTTTACCACCAAATTCTCCGCCCCACAAACCGCCACCACCTCCACCACCATCTCAAAGAGATTATAACAGCAGTTATTCAGGATCCAAACAGAATTATCCACCATCAAAATCACAAAGTAGGTGAGTATTACTACCGATTAAGAAATCCTTTTTATTTATTTTGTTTTTGTATAAATTTAGACTAAAATTATTGTTTTATTTGTTAAGCTGCAATAATAATAATAATAATAGCAGTGGTAGTAAAGCAAAGTAAGTATGTATTTATTAAAATTAAATTTATACATATTTTTAAGTTGGCATTTTGAAATTTGACACTTATAATTCATTTTGAATATAAAAAATTTGAATATATGTGAATTTGTATATGAAATTTAAGCGTTTGTATTAAATTGAAGGTATACGTTATTATTTTAGAGAAATGTTATAAATAATGTGATTTAATTTTGCAAAATTCTCATTTTACAAATTATTATTACTTCAAGTAGCGCCATCTATTAGCAAAATTGTTTAATTCTTTTGAATTATTGTATTACATATTTGATTGTTACAGTTTCTTAAAAATTTAAAAGGCCGTATTTCAAGAGGGAATGAAATGATGAAGAAATTAAGAACATTCTAATGAAATTTTAGTCAATTTTTGTAGTTTACTTAAAAAAATTATTTTGACATTGACACTTAATTTTGACACTAACAATTTTTTTGTAGGTTATGTTTTAAATTAGAAAACCTTAATTTGGAGTATTTGGAACTTTTTATCAATTTTAATGAGGAAAACCATTAACAGAATTAATGAATGGGGGGGAATTTTATTGATATTTTGTATCTGAATATTTATTATGATTATAAAAGCTTATACCTCATCATTTATTAATTTATTATTAACATTAACAAAAATAGTAATATTTCTTTTTCTATTTTAACCAGATACTCTCAGTACAAACAACAAGGTCAATACAACCAATTACCACCACGTTATTATCCACCCCCTTTACCACCTCTTCCAATGCATTCCTATAATCATTATAGCCCTTACACGTTAGATCCTCAATGCAGTTGGAATTACCAACAAAAAAATTATCCCAATAAAAATCGCTCGGAAAGAGAACGAGAAGAAGACTTGGAAGATAAAAGAAAAAATCGAAAACGAAAAAAACCGCTCTCCCAAAACATGGTTCATCAAAAAAATTACACTCTTGAAGATGCTATAACCGCTTTAGAAGTGGAAAAGCAGTATAACAAACGATATAAGAATCAATCTTTAATATTGAAGTTTCCCGATCCCGAATTGAACAAAGAAATCGTTGCCAAATTGCACCCAGCGATTGAAAATGTCCATTTTCAACAAAAATCAACGCCAAGATTTTGTTTTGTTAATTTAAAAGAGGATGTAGATTTAGATGCGGTAATTAAAGACCTAAATACAACCCCATTTGGTCAAGGTTTTATCACGGCCGAATTAAAAAATGACCAAGAAAGTGAAAAAGAAACGAAACCGGAAGACATAGACCCATGTTGTTTGTACATAGGTAACATAGCCCATGGTATTCCTAGACAAAAACTCGACGAGCTTTATCCAAGTAATAAACGAGTCGATATGGGGTTTGCACGAAAAATGCGCTTCACAAGATACGCATTTATTTCATTTCACAACGCTAAAGACGCGTTGGAGGCATTTAAAAAGACTCATTACATGGAATTGGCAGCTAAAAGCCTTATTGTGCGATTTCGACGGTTTCAAAGCACCGTTGGTATGCCGGGCGAGAAAAAACCGCAAAACTCAACGAAACGGAAGCGAGCCGATTCGGCAACAACCGATGATCTTGAAGTTATCAGCGAAGATTTTAGTAATGTTGATCCGACCAGTTATACATATGTTAAAGAGGAACCTATGTCCGACTCCGAAGGTGGAGATGATAGCGAACCTGATGATCATGTGAATGGACACTCATCAAATCACGACGACTGGAAAGTTAAAGTTGAAGAACCTAATGCGGAGATTAAGGAGGAACCTGATATGTCAGGAAGTGGATGTATTTTTGTTTGATTTATTTTGTTAAATGAGTTATTAATTTATGGTTTAATTGCAGATGATAGTTCTGGGAGCGAAAACGATCATTTACAAGATCATTCATTATTGGTAGGATACAAATTTGTAATAATTTTTGTATTAATACTTTATTTTTTGTAGGATCCGAGTCAACACTTAAGAGATTTGGCAGCCCAAAGGGAGTTACTTAGAAACATGACTTTTGATTTATAAGATATTTTACAAAAAATTAATGGGAATGTTTTAGGTTGTATCTGTATTTGTTAATTTTATTCTGTAATATTAATGTAATTTAATCTAAAGTACATCACGCATGAAAAAATTATATATATATCTTTTTAAGAATTACATCCTCCCTCTAGGCACCTTATCAAACTCCTTTTCTAAGTTTATAAAGTCTAAAAAGCTGTTATGTGGCGCCCTCTAAAAACAATTAAAGATATTACCCGCGTTGAGAAACACTGAGTAAGAAAAAAAAATAGTTTCAAATGTGTTTATTATTTATTATTAATCCAATGGATTAGTTTTTATGTAGCATTTAAATTAAATCTATTAGTAAAATATAAAATCGCTTACTTATTTACTGCAATAACGTGAATAACTTTTTTTAAATACTTTTTAAACTACTATCAACAGCAAAATAATAAAGAAAAGACATCATTATCCTTAAACGTTAATTTATACCTAAATCATATAAATATCACTTATTTTTCTTCCCCATATTGTAATAAACTCAAAGCTTTTTGTAAATTATCAATAGCTGTTTTAACATCATCATAAGTTAAAGCGGAATTAGCCAATTTACAATATCTTTGCGCCTTCTCCATACTATCAGGACTCAAAGTAACTGATCCACTTGTTGGTGGTGGTAACGTTGGTGCAACCGTTGGAAAAACGGGTTGGGGAAAAACAGAATCGCTTGGAACGTCCGGTAATGAAGGAACATTAGCCCCGGCTACATCCGAACTTGGAGTAGCAGGAACGCTAGTGCTTGGGGAGTTTGAATCAAACGGACGTGGTCTATCTTCAAACAAAAAACTTGCTGGGGGTTGAAATCCGTTTGCGTCTGAATCAGGTGGTAAAATCCCTTTCATCCTATCAAGTTCTTCTTTAGAAACAAACCCAGAATATCTTTCATCTTCTGGTGAAAGGATTACTGTTACATTTCCTGGGGTTGGAACTAAACCTTCTTTAAGACAATTATGAATGTATGCTGCTCTCCATTTAGCATATTTACGCTTTTGCTCAATATCTTCTGATATCTCCCCAAACTGGTTTAAGGTATCAAAAAGAATTCCTGATGTATAAAACGCCTTAACAACATTTCTGCATCAAAATAAAATCATTAAACATCAATCATAATCATTAACTTATCACCATACTTATCAAATTTAGAATTTTTATCACATTCATCAGCAAAATTAAACATCTTTAAGGCATGCTCTTCAATCATAGCCTGCGCGCAAACCTCACTCGTAATTCCTTCCAAATCGTGATGTTGAGACTTTGTTTTTTCCAACCAATCCATTAGAGCTAAAAGAAGCTCTGTGACTGCTGGAGGTCTTTTTCCAGGTAAAGCATTCATTGCGGATTGGACCGCATACATACGAGCTACAAAAATTAGTTAAACATTTTATTGTGGTGAAATAAGAAAATTTACCCCAATAAGTTATAACGATGTTACGTTGTTCGTGATCATCAGCTACCTTTAAGAAATGCGATAAAGATCGCACTTCTGGTGGAACAGGAGGAAAACCCATGATAATTTTATGAAAATAATTCGGATTGACAACCAAAACAATCTATTTTTAGGGTTAAAGATGTGTCATATTTTGGGGGAAATGTTAATTTAGTAAATTTAGGTTGGTATTGACGTTTAAAGATTTTAACCTTGTTTTTTTAATTAAAAATGATTTATATTATTTTTGTAAAAACTAAAGGATTCATAGTTTTTATTAGCTTATTTATTAAATTGTTATTTATAATAAAGAAAAATTATTCCAAAATTAAAACTATTAATATTGTAGATGGCGCTTTTTTAATAAATACGTCAAATGTCATTAAACAAATATTTATTTAAAAGGTTATAAATTCAAATAGCAGTATTAAATTTTTCTCTACTTTTAATGTTTTTTAATTAATTATGTATGTTTTAACTTGAAAAAATAAGATTTATTCAATTTTACGTCCCTGTCTCGATTTAAAGGTCAAAGTAATTGATCCATCAGGTTTATTAATAAGTAAAGATTTTGTGTCAAGATCTGGTCCACTCCAACCAATTTCAAAACATCTTATTAACTGTAATAAATATTAATTAGTACTAATAAAATAAATAAAATCCTTAAAAAATCCAAATTACTTTCATAATCACAATTAACATATTTTGTTCAGCCAATCTCCGAGCAATACACGATCTTGCACCATGTCCAAAAGGTAACACAAGAAATGGATGGATTGGTTTATAAAATTCGTGCTCTTTAATCCATCGTTCGGGAATAAAATCGTTTGGATTTGGGAAATTTGTTTCTAATCGACACGCAATTTGGTTTTGGGTAATTATTACGGTCTAAAAATTGAAAGGATAATCAACAACAAGAAATTAGATTAAATTTTTATAAAATCACCTCTTTTGGAACATTATATCCCGAAAGAACGGTATCTTTCTCTAAAATTCGCCCCACACCAACTGAAATCGGTCTTAATCGAAGAGATTCTTTTAAAACTGCTTTTGCGTAATACGCTTGAGATAAAATTTCTTTTGTAACCGCGCTAAAGGGGCTTGGGAGTAACTTTAATGATTCTTCGTACAGTTTTTGTTGCGATTGTGGATTTTTTGCTAAATGATATAGAATAAATGATGTGGTATATGTGCTCTAAAAAATTAGGTACAAATGGGATTAAAAATTTCTGAAGGAAAAATAGCATTAACACTGGATCCAGAACTAGAAATAGTCGGGTTTAGCAGTACGTCTCTCAAAACGGCTAAACCCGAATGATTCTAGGTCTTGTGTTAGGTCTAATGATAGTGCTAGTGTAAAAATAGAACTAACACTATACCTACAACTAGAATCATTTGGGTTTAGCCACACGTCTCTAAAGACGGCTAAACCCGAATGATTCTAGTTTTAGGTATAGTGTTAGTTGTAGTTTTGCACTTCCACTGTCACTAGAACTAACATTAGACCTAGAAACATTTGGGTTTAGTCGTACGTCTCTTAAGACGGCTAAACCCGAATGATTGTAGTTCCTGGTCTAGCGCTGCCTAACACTTAAAACTAGAACTAACGCTAGACCTAGAACTAGAATCATTTGGGTTTAGCCACACGTGTCTAAAGACGGCTAAACCCGAATGATTCTAGTTCTAGTAATAGTGTTAGTTCTAGTTTTACACTTGCACTGTCACTAGAAATATTAGACCTAGAAACATTTGGGTTTAGCTTAGCGTCTCTTAAGGCGGCTAAACCTGAATGATTTTAGTTCTTGGTCTAGAGCTGCATAACATTTAAAACTGGAACTAACACTAGACCTAGATCTAGTGTTAGTTCTAGTTTTAATTCAATAAAAATATGCAACATAGTGACATTTTATGCTAATTAGCGCTACCTACCACCTACCAGCCATCTTAAAAAGCAACCTCAATGTGTTTAACTCTAACTCTAATGTTAATTCTAGTTTTATTTCAACAAAATATGTTTTTACCGTATCAATACCAGCTAATAAAAAGTCACAAGCGAATCCAATCACATCTTTAAAATCTAAATTAGGCGAAGATAAATAGCTTTCTAAAAGTGATTTAGTTTGTGGCCCATTTTCTTGAAATAACGATAACTTTATTGATAATAAATCAATGGCTACTCTAAAAGAAACATTTAAATATATTCTTGTAAATTAAATGGTTTAATTTATTACTCCTCCATAAAAATTTGGGCTTTCTTAAACTTTTTATATAAAGGTGTATCGAATTTTTTCCATAATTGAGGTCCATTATCAAGTTTTAGTATGCAACTATTTGATGTATAGGGAGCTTTTATTAGTTTTGATGATCTCGAATTTGGGTGTAACTCCTGTTTTGAAAAGCTATCCAAGCGAATATCAAAAGCAGCAACTCCAGTTACTTAAAATTAAATAAATTGATTAAAATTGTTTTGATTAATGATTGTTATTATAATACGTTCTAAAAATAATCTGGATATTTGGGGGAGGTAATCGAAACTTTCTTTTTTTGATAAATCTTTAACAATTAACACCCATTCTTGTACCACTTGGTTGGAAATTGGTAAAAAATTTTCTACAGCTTTTGGACTACTTAATCCTTTTTGAAAAATACTTCTAAGTCGTAACCAATCAGATCCATTACTAAAATTGTTTATAATTTAATAATAATTAAATTAATTTAACTAAATTACGTTGGTAATAGTCCCCCGGTGTTATAAACCATTGGTCTATCTAATCTATATTTTTTTAGCGCCAAATGACTCCTTCTTTGTGGATATTTTCCTTCATTCCTAAATATTGTTTGGATATCATCCGGATTAAAAAGCCATACAAGATTTATCCCAGGAATGATTTGTTCTCGAACGATTTGTCCATATCTTTGATATTTTTCCATTCCATTTCGTTGTAAGCGATCAAATTTATATCTGCCTAAAATAAATCAATTAAATTATATCAATAAGTAATTTATTAATTAATTTTACCTATTACAGGAAAATATTGGTACAAAGTACCCAAAATCGGAATCGAAAAAGGTCCAGGAATTTCCTCAAAGCTTTTAATTCGAGAATTTAAAATCGTCGACAAATTTCGTTTCATTTTTAGGCGAAAACTAAGAAAAACTAACTGAAATAACGGTTAAATAATTCATGATTTGATTTTAAATTTAAATTTTTTACCTCTTCAGAAGTTAAAACGAAAAGAAATGGTGGAGGGGATAAACTACCTGTAGAATTAACATCAGGTGATGAGTTTTAATCACTTTTTTTGTAAAAAAAGAACAAGTTAAAGTTAAATCCAAAACTTTAATTAACTAATTACGCATTATTGGTGTTGTAAATTTTATTTTAAATTGATTTTATGCACTTTCATTCTAGTTTTTTTTGTATGAACCTGATTTTTGCCACCAACGTACATTTCTATCGCACAATGCTTTTTAGGGAATTTTTAATCTGTTCAAGTTTCATGTTGGCAAAAAGAAAATTATTTAAAATTCTTTTGATGCATTTATTTAAAAAAAAGTATTAACTTATTTTGTTATTTAATCAACTCCTCAACCTTGTTATATATGTATGTAGTTTCACGTGAATTCCTTCACAGTATTTAGGCCCCAGCGGGCCCTTTGTGCATCCCCACAATTTACATTTTTTAAAATTGTTTGCAATTTCAGGTGTCAAAAAACCATCCCAAGCTTTTAATGAATGTTTGAGGCCATGAACGTGGAAGTAGTAGGTATTTACCGATTGACGAACCTCCTCCTGAAACCTCAAGGTCAAGCAGGGTGACCTTGACCTTGGGTTCCAATAGGAGGTTCGTCAAACGGCAAACAGATGCGAAGTGATCTTGACCTTCAGGTTCTACAAGGAGGTTTGTCAATAGGTAAATAGAAATGTAGGTCAACCCCCCCCATTATTATTTAATAATACATATACAACGTGTAACAACATAACTTATAATATAATGTATATTTAGTGACATCAAGACATCAATATTCAAGATCAACTAATCTTAAGAGGAAGTCTGCAATGGAGCCACAAAATGTTGCTAAAGAGTCGAGAATTACTTCTAATCCGCAAATCATTTCAATGTCAGAGTAATCGATATCTGAGGATTTTTTTAAACAGCAAAAGTCGAAAACAAACTTCAATGGTTCGCAAAATATATCATTACTTGAGCTTTAATGGAACTACTGGAAGCAACATACAAAATGGATCTATAGATTGTCAATGTACCACACAAGCGGTAGTTGAAGGGAACGGTTCATTACAAGATTTAAGACCATTCATAATGAGTCAAACCATCAATAATGATAATGAAGTGGTTACAAGAATTGATAATATTGAAACTATAACGAATATACCAGAAAATAAAATGAATGGGTGTATACAGGGTGAGTCAAATGTGTGGAATATAGCCAACAACTTCGCCATTTGTAGTTTTAAAGAAAAATGTTTCAAATAAAAGTTGAAATAAAGTTGTGGCGCATTTTTCCGCGCTATTTGCTTGTTTATATTGCTTTTTGTTTCGTTGCTATGGCAACCAACATTGTTATTTTAAATGGATGCATATGTTTTTTTTTGCATATTTTGATAGAACATAAATCCCAGTATAAGAAAAAAAATCGAGAAAAAATGCGTTCTCTGAAAATATTAAATAAGCAAATTACTATCAAAGTAGGCGCCGAAATAGCGCCGTTGGCAGCTTTAAATGTCAAAAAATTGACAGCTTAACCCTTTCGTTACTAAGAGCGTACGCATACGTTTTTGTATATGTGGGCTTGCTATATGATCGTGAAAATACTCCGTAACGAAAGGGTTAAACAAATATGGCGCAATTAAGCGAACGACCAAGAATCCAAATATTAATGCTGTATGGGTATGGTGATAGAAAATGCACTCAAAGTGAAGTTTGAATAATACAAACATTTGACACACCCTGTATGTCGCAGGCAAATGGTTATTTCAGGTAGATAGCTTTTTCCTAGTCAGATACTGTCTGCCTAGGCAAATCGTAGTTCGTTACAGTTTTATCATTATATGTCTAGGCAAATACTATTGGACAAGACAAATAGTATCTGTTTAAGCTTGTTTTAGGCAAATACCATTTTATTGATACAACAATGCAATATAGAGTAGGTACCTGTTCACAATGAAATTAATTAGTTCCTATCGTTATCCACCTACTTTTCTTAAATTAAAGTATGTATTCTGAGCTGGTGTGCATTAGCAAGGAAGTGTTATTATACAGTATAGATAAAATTTTGTTGGACATAGACTTAAACTGTATCGTTAGATTATAGATTTTAAATGGTTAAAGTTATAATTAATGAGTGTTTTACTACAACTCATACAATGTATACATGGGCTTATGCATATAAACAATCACGAAAAAGCAACTGGGAAGTATTTGGATAGTCTTAGATTTAAGGATAGAATAAAATGTATCGATTGTATCTTAAAACCGTACTTAAACATGGAATTTAGAGATAAAGTATATAACGAAAGGTTTAAAAGTGTAATAACAAGTACTACTTAAAATAAATATTATTGTACGAGTATTAGAGTATCATTTCTATTTGCCGATTTGCGAACTTCCTCTTGAAACCGCAAAATCAAGGTCAAGATCAATGTCATCCCACATCTATTTGTCGATTTGACCTCAAGATCAAGGTCACACGGCGTGACCTTGACCTTGGGTTCCAGGAGGAGGTTCGTCAATCGACAAATACCTACTATTAGGGGATTGTCTTAAGTACGCGAGGTTGGAACAGTCATAAACAACCGTCTCGTCTTTCATTTCATACCCTCTACAAAAGGGTGTGTTCGCCAGCTTTATGTAGAACCTATACTTAAGTGACCTGTAGTGTCTCTTCCGGTATGTATGCATTTATTTCGGCCTGAGCTGTCGTGCAGATCGTTCGAGAAAATCCCCGCTCTGAAGTTTCCAGCCTTCTTTGATCTATCAGTGTAGATGGTCAGCGTTTTGAAAAAATGTTTTTCCCAAACCCCCAACTTATAAAAAAACAAATATTTAGTGTTTGTAATATTTTATTTATTATGTCCAAGGTAAAAAATTAGAAAACATAATTGTACCAGTTACAAAATAGAACATACAATAAAGAAAAATCAAATTTTTTGATCGAATATGATCATAATAAGAAGCGCAAAACCAATATATACAAGGTGAAGCAGAAAATATAATTCTCGTTGTTACTTGTACGTGAGTACAAAAGACGCAAAACAGCGTTAACAACAAAACGTGTACAACACAAGCGAATTTAAGACTTGGCTTAATCTCCATATCGATTAATTTGATCTGATTTAAATCGCGAAATAATCCTAAATGCATCAAAAACGGGTTGTTTAATTTGAAATATTTTAAAGAGTTTCTAATCGTTATGTAAACAACGGGCGTGGCAAGTAAAAAGTTTGGGATCTGATTAAATTGGAAATATTTTAAAAACCCTACATTCCAATAATGTTTTTGAACGTAAGCGTAAGCCAAAGGAATGTTATTGTTACACCATGATTGTTGGTGAATTGAGAAAGTTCCCGGTAACACGAAATCATTTTGTTTTGCAAAATCTTTCAAAAAATCTGGGACATTACTCTCGAAAGTCCTACAATAATTTATAAAATCAAACACTTGTATTAAAGCAAATGGCAAGATCATCGCTGAAATATAAAACATCAAAAACAGCAATGATATAATCACAAAAATATACTTAGCGAATTTAGTATTTTTAAGTCTAAATAAATTTTGCACAACAAGAAACGCGTAAGAATAAAGAAAAAAACCTAAGTTTAAAACACCATTTGATCTGGCACAAGCGGAAAGAGAAATATAAAAAATACATTTTAAACTTGACGAATTAACATAGGTGAAACGTATCCTAGAGTACATTCGAACGTATCTCAAACAACATTGTATCGATTTAAAAGTTAAATAAGCGTATAAACATTCTGAATACGGAGCGGAAAAGAAAATAGATGCCGGGTTAAAGCAAAACACCATAATGGCAGTGTAAACTATTTTGGGGTTCTCGAAAAATGCGGTTATCTCAAACAGTATTAATGCAGTCTTTACAAAAATAATTGTGTTAAATACAACAGATGTTAACAATAACATAGAGGATAAATTCATAAAGTTATACACATATAATAAACTTATAGAAATATAACGTAGTATTAAAGGATACAATGGGAAAAAAGCTGTGGTGTTCTCGAAAGTATATCCATACTTGGCGATGTGTAAAAAATATTGAGCATCCCATCTTGCAAATCCTCCAAAAAGGTGGTGAATCACCCTATCGATTGTAGTGAATGTTTCTTCGCTTGGTGATACGAAAACGTTTGCATCATGGTCAGTTATTAATAAATTTGCCATGTATTGTAAAAGTATTACAAGCACTCTACTTAGTATTGCATATTTTACTATTCTATATTGAATGTTTTTCTTTACTTCGACAGATTTCATGGTTTTCTCTACAAGATGATTATTAAATAAATTCTTTTTATACCATGCGGGTATTTACCTTCCTTAAGGTCTTGCATATAAACAATCAATGCGAAAGTGAGGTTATAATTGCAAACGATAAGTTTTATTTCTGTACTTGAAACTTGGTGATATGATAAATAATCGTTTGTTGTTGCCAAGTTATTTTTGGATGTTTTATGAGAAAGAAATGGAATATTTTTAACTTGAATAGTTAGAAAATTTAAAATTTTTGTTACATTTTGACATAACGTGGAGATGACACTTCACCTGTCATTTTAAGTGTCATGTTTTCGTTAATTTTTAAACCAAAAAATTAAGTTATTAATTAAAAATACTCCCAAATTTTATTCTACAAAATAATAATAATGTGCTGAATCATTTATACACAAATTTAAATTATTTAAAATTTATATAAGCTTTTTGACTTTGACGTTTTAACCGTCATTATCTATATATTTTTTCTTAATTATTATTATCTTATCCTTAAAATAATTTTTAAATAAAATCACCAATAAAAATAAAAATCAATTTACTTAAATAAAACAACCTAAACATGTTTAAACTCGTTTTATTTAAAATTTTATTTCGCAATACTACATAACCTCAAGATAATCTTAACCTATAAAAACCGACGCCGACATTTACACATGCCAGAGATTAAGTTGCAAAAATGCCGTTAAATCCGCGAGATTCAGGAAAATTAATATCTTCATTAGCCAAACACGTTAAAATTAATGAACTTGGAGTTCAAAAACTCGGAGATGAGGTTAGTTTTATTTTAAATTCAACTCAATTTTATTTCTTAATCATAATTTTAGCTATTAAAAAGTATAAATTCGGGTGAATTATCCATTGAAAGCTTCAGTCAAAATAATGTTCACCCAAAATACACAAATTGGTGGGCTATCGATTGGTTATTTGTTGTGGATGCCTTAAATTATTGTTTTTGGTCGAAAGAACACGAATCAGGATGGACTGTGGAAGGAAAAACGGGATATTTCGCTCTTTGCGTTGCTATAAACAGAGCTATGCGGGAGAATGTCGATATTTTAAATGCAAAATATTATTCGGTGATTTCAAGGGATGATCTTAAAGAAATATTACGAAGTGATAATGAAGTTGATGTTCCTCTTTTGGATGATCGTGTAAAGTGTTTACATGAAGCTGGGTCTGTATTGTTAGAAAAATTTGATGGTTCGTTTATTAATTGTGTTAAAAAGGCTGAAAATAGCGCGGTGAAGTTGTTGGATATAATAATTAGTAACTTTAAATGTTTCCGTGATGAAGCTTCTTATAAAGGTCATGAAGTTTCTTTATATAAGAGAGCACAAATTTTGATTGGTGACATTTGGGCTTGCCATCGAGGAGAAGGATTGGGTAAATTTAAAGACATTGAAGAAATAACCATGTTTGCGGATTACAGAGTGCCGCAATCTTTATTATATTACAACGTTATCGAATATAGTAATGAATTGAACGATTTGTTGAAAAAGAATAATTATTTGGAAAATGGAAATGAGATGGAAGTTGAGATACGGGGAGTTTCAATTCATGCTGTTGAGTTATTGAGAGAATATATTACTAAAAAACTTGGGAAAGATGATTCCAAGAAAGTTAATTCGATTATAATTGATCACTTTTTGTGGGATTTTAGGCGAAAACATGCGAAAGAAATTTTGAAAATGGGGTTACCTTTTCATAAAACGTTTTGTATTTATTATTGATTAAAAAATTATTAAACTCAACTTTTTATTTTTTTAATATTGCATTAACTTACTATCTATTGTTATTATACCATGCCGATATTTACCTTCCTTAACGTGTTGCGTATAAACAATCAATGTGAAAGTGAGGTTATAATTGAAAAGGATAAGTCTTATTTCTGTACTTGAAACTTGGTGATATGATAAATAATCGTTTGTTGTTGCCGAGTTATTTTTGGATGTTTTATGAGAAAGAAATGGAATATTTTTAACTTGAATAGTTTGAAAATTAATAATTTTTGTTACTTTTTGACATAACGTGGGGATGACACTTCACCTGTCATTTTAAGTGTCATGTTTTCATTAATTTTTAAACCAAAAAATGAACTTATCAATTAAAAATACTCCCAAATTTTATTCTAAAACATAATAAACATGTGCTGAATCATTTATACACAAATTAAATTATTTAAAATTTATATAAGCTTTTTTTGACTTTGACGTTTTAACTGTCATTATCTATGTATTTTTTCTTAATTATAATTAATTTTTTTAATAAAATCATGGATATTAGGCGAAAACATGCGAAGGAAATTACGTTTTGTATTTATTATTGATTAAAAAATTATTAAACTCAACTTTTTATTTTTTTTATTATTGCATTAACAATCATAACATGGCCCTAAAACTATTTAAGTATATAAAAATACTAAACTGTACAATCCAGTCTATGTAAATTCCTGGAAGATGAAAATCAAATTGATTATATACAACATTAGTCACCTATATTGACTTAATTAAATCTTAAATACAATTTGTTGCTGTTTAAAACTATAAGCTAATCTTAAAACGAAAATATAAAAACCTCCTCAACTCTAAAAGAATTTATAACTCTTCTACAATTAATATGATATACTGATAATCTTAAAATTGATTTTTATTTTAAACCTAAAACTGTTATTGTACTTAGAATAATAATAGAAAGAAGTGTTAAGGAAAAGTGAAAGTTAAAAAGTGCCTAAAACATTTTTGTGTTAGTAATAATAAATTTACGCATCCCAAGCGTCATCGTTTGAGCTCGAATCTGTATCAGACCCGTCAGAATCTATCACCGGTCTTCGACCTTCCAAAGCTCTCTTTAAAGCACCCGCCAAATCCAAACACTCATTATTTGGAGTCGGTGGTTTAATTTCTCTTTCCTCAACAGGTTTTAATTGAACCCCCTTTTTAATTTCTTTAAATATATCATCTCTATCTCCACCGCCGCTACTCGGTTTTTGTTCCACCATTTCAACCGGCTACAAAATAAATCACAACAATAAATTTTTATTCAAAAATAGGATATGATACTTACTTTTAATGTTACTTTATTACGAATACTTTCCAATAAAGCCGATCTTGGATCATCAGTGGTTGTTAGATTTGATGGTTGTTGTATATCCGAGTTGAAATCACCTGGTGGGGGTAACGGGGGTGGAGGTGGCGCGATATCGTTTAAAGGAGGAAGTGGAGGTGGTGCTGGTGGGGCGTTTTCTGGTGGAGGAGGAGGAATTGTACCTAAAATGTTATTAAAAAAAGATTAATAAGAAAAAAATAATTCTTTTTATTACCTCCTCTTGGTTGATATTGAGGTCGTGGGGGTGGTTGTCCTGATGACGTTGGGGGAGGAGGAGCAATTCGCTAAAATGAAACAAAATGAACTATTATTGTAATAATTATAATTAATTAACTTACAGTGTGAGGAGCTTTGGGTGCTACTCTTGGTGGTACCGGAGGAACGGGTGTTCCTGGGGTAGATTTAGGAGCTGGATATTCTTTCTTTTCGATTACTTTCTCAACTGCATCTCGACCACCATGTTTTTCAATAAAATCGTAAATAAACTCTCTCGTAGCTTCGTCTTTTAAATGCTTTTCCGATACGCCAGCCTATTAAATCATAAATTATAACAATAAATAATTGAAAATAATTAAATTTACCTTTTTAAAGAATTGTTGTAATGTTTGATCACTAGTATTTACATCAAAACCTTTATCTTTGTCCCAACCAATATGCGAAACATGTCTAAATTCTTTAGGAACTCCAATGTCGGCTTTGGTGAGATTACGTTTCCGTTTAGTTTTGTCTTTTCTTTCATTCCCAGTGTTTTTAAAGGCATCATTAGTAAAGATGGGTGCCGCCGGTTTTAAATCTCTATTATTTCCTTCTCCGGAATTTCGAGCTTCACGACGTTTTTTACTCTGTATTTTCTCTGTTACAACACTTAACATATCGGTAGCTTCGTTTTCGCAAACAAAATTGAATCCATAAACGCTCTTCTATATCAAAAGATTTAAAAAGATATAAAATTTGTATTAAAAAACTTACCTCTCCTTCAAAAGCATGTAAATAACTGCACAGTCTTATATATTCCATACCATTATAAAGTTCTTGTTCCCACACCATAGTTTTTTGGTATAAATCGTATAAACGAAAAAAATAATTTCTCTTTGTGTTATCTCTTACGAAGCATAAAACCCCCGCATTTTTCTTTACCCACCGGTCGTGAGATGGGGGGTGAGTTGTGTAAAGTTGAACTACGGCTGTAGCGATAGTTTTACAACGAAGACCTAATATTCGAAAAATTTCATGATTTTCCTCGTGGTTGAGGATTTGTGAACTCTTGTTCTCGATGGATTTTTTATCTTGGGGCTGCATGTTTAACCGGTCGATGGTGAGTGAGTTAATACGGTTAACCTATGGGTTTATTCCTATCTTATCACAAAGTTTTAAATAGCTTAAAATGGTATTGCTGCGGAGGAATAACCCGAGGCCAAATTACGAAGTTATTTAGTCATATCTGACAGACAACTGTCAGGTGCAGAAAAAGGATGGGGTACGTTCTAAAATACTCATGTTTTATAACATAGGAATTTTTATGGTTTAAGCTATTATGAAATGGTGATAACTTTTTTAGTATTAACTTTTATTGATTCGATTAATTTATACAATTAAAATAAAAAATTAAATAAAATAATTATGGAGGTTAAAAAATTTTTTTGTAGAACGTTTTCAATTAACTGTCAAAACAACTATGTATTTAGTAGTTGATTATTAAAGCATTTAGTTGATGATTTAAAGTTTATTTAAATAAAATTTCTTGCTAATCCCAATTGTCGCTATCACTATCGGATGAATCATCGCATATATTACGATGTCTGTTAATAATAGCGTGTGTTAAAAATTCCTTGTCTTCGTCGACTTTTAATGTCTGACAGAAATTGGAAAAGTTTTCCTCCTCATTTCTTATCTGTAACAAAAATAAGATGTAAATAAAAATTAAAGTGAAAATAAAAAAAAGCATTTACTTGTTTATTATCAATTTTTGAATTTAACTCGGCCATAAAATTAAATTGCGATTCTTCTTTAGGTTTGGGTGTGGATATGTTAATTTCTACTTCATCTTCAAAATAATTAAATTGCGATTCTTCTTTAGGTTTGGTTGTGGATATATTAGTTTCTACTTCATCTTCAAATGTCACTTTTCTTGGTGAAATAACTTTAGATTCATCACCATTTGATGTTTCATTTTTCCCACTTAATTTTAATATTTTCGTATCCAATTCTCTCCAATCACTAAACCCATAATGTTGGACGTGTTTGAATTCCACTGGGTTACTTATGATGAATCTGTGATTTTTTCGAAAAGATTTTTTTGTAGTGTCTTGCCTTTTTATTTTTTTTATGGTACCCGTTTGTTTTGGGATTTTAATTTTTTTAACGATTTCTTGAACGCTTTGGAAGAATGAAGAAGCCTCGATTTCATCGGTAAAAGATAAGCCATAAGCGCAGCCCTTAAAAATGACATACAAATACATAGTTATGGTTTATGGTGTATCTATTTTTTTTTTAGAAAGTACCTCTCCGATAAATGTGTGTAAAAACTTAGCACTTAATACGTATGAGAATGCGGGTGGAATTTTATATTCCCATATTAATGTGCAACTATCAAAACAATATAATCTAAAGAAATACGTTTTTAGGTTATAATCTTTAATCAGACACACAATTCCTGTATGGTGCTTAATCCATTCATCATGCTTTGGATGTTCCGTTTGGAATAATTGGACGATTGCGGTCGATTTGGACTATAAAAAAATTAATAATTTATATTTACTTTATCTTGGCCTTATATTAAATATTTACTTCACACCCGTATCCGAGTAATTCGAAAATTTTTAAATTTTCATCTCTACTTAATAACAATGATTCTACGTTTTTGAGTTTCTTTAATTTCTTCATTTTGTTGTTGCTAAATGAATACTGGGTTGATGAATGATATAGTGTAGGATTTTATCTGTATCTTTATTTAAATAAATGATTAAACAATTTGTTTTTATTGCGATAGCAAAATTTTCCTGTTAATGTTTCAAAATCAACAAAATTAAACACTACATGTTCTCAGTAAGATTTATTAATGTTTTCGTGGTAGTCCGTCAGGAGGAAGCGGTGCCAATCTCTAAGGAAAATGTATTTATATACAATAAGTTATTCCTCCTTTCTTAATTATTAATTACTTACTTTCTTGATTTTAGTAGCTTGTAATGGCATTCGTGGAGGTATTGGAGGTATTTCAGTTTCATGTATAGCTTTAGGTTCTTCATTTTCAATTATTTTTTCAACAGCATTTCTTGCGTCATGATTATTAATAAAATTGTTAATAAATTCTCCTACTTTACCACCAAAACTGTCATTTTTGTTTCGACTGATATGTGAAACATGTTTAAAGTCTTTGGGGACACCAATATCAAATTTGGTAAGTTTTGGATACTTAAATAGATGAATACAAATGAATAATTAAAGAAATTATTAGTTAATAACAAACCCTTTTGGAAACTACATGATTACTCGTTTTGTGATCAATTTCAAAATGCGATACATTTCTAAATTCTCTAGGAACCCCAATATCAGCTTTGTTAAAATAGTGTACTTTTTTACCTAGCGATGTCATTGCAATATGCTGAAAACTACAAACTTACTGTTTCGATTTATGTATGAAATTTGTCATAAAACAACGAATATCTTATCAAATATTTATATGTGTATTGTGTTATAAATAAAAGTGAAGTGGAGATTTAAATTGTTGAAATTTTTGGGAACTATTAAAAATATTTCGATTAGATAGACTTTATTATGTTTTTATCCATCACATCAAGCGATTGAGAGAATCTCTCAAGAACATCTCAGATTTTATAATTAAAGAATTCGTTTGGATCGAGATTTGATGTCGCGACATTGCAGGTATTTTTGAAAGAGTTCAAATGAAAGTATTCTTTTTATTGCCAAAAAGTTTCATTTCCGAGTTCCACACAATTTTTGACTAAAAAAAAAGGTTTTCTGGTATCATTTGAGTTATTAATGCTTGTGCTATTGTTGTTATTATTATTTGTGGATAAAATGTAGAATAAATAAAGTATATACAAAAATGTGTTTTATTCAGCAATAAATAACAATTGAGTTAATCACCATAATTAAAAACAAATTGGAGAAAATCTTACTAATTAATAAAAAGTATACATTTTTTATATATAATATTTATGTCTTTTCATCTTCTTTGAAGTATATAATAAAAATTTTAGCTAACTTTACTTGAAATTAATAAGAAAATGGTAATGGAATATGCGATCTATATGAAGCTAATAAAAGATCGTTGTATTCTTGTTGTGATCTTCTTTCTAAAAAGGAAAAAGTTCCTCTTTATACATTTAATAAAGAGGTATAAATTTAGTTATTAATTTTCTTACCAACTTCATCTTGCAAATTTTTAGCTAAACTCGTGTATGTACTAGGAATCGGTTTTGTCTAAAATAACGTTTTAAATTGTACGCAATAAAATAATTGTTGGTCATATTTTTGTACCTGGTGGTTTCTGTCATCATCTACTTTAGAGTATTGCCTGATAAAATCGAAAATAAACTCTCTAGTTTCTTGGTCATTTAAGTGTTCTTCTGTTACGCCAGCCTAAAATTAAAAAGTAGTTAAAACTAAATTAAAACAAAAATTTTTTATTTACCTTTTTAAAGAAATTTTGAAGTACAACGTCATGTATCGGTTTTTCTTTATTATAACTTACATGAGCGTTATGTCTGAAATGTTGTGGATTCTCAATGTCGGTTTTTTTAAATTTACGCGGTGCTGGTATTGGTTTTTTAAGGTTTCTTAACGGCGGATTAACAGTTACATTTGATGGTTCATCATCCATTATATCTAATATAAAATTTTGTATTTCTTTGTCTTTCCTGTCAATATTTTTTTGGCAAGATTTCTCGATGGCTTCTTCAATATTTAACGAACTATTCAAATCAACATGCGCGAGATGTTGAAAATTTTCCGGAAGCCCAATATCCTCCTTAGTTATCACCTTCTTTTGTGAATTTTCCACTTCATTTTCTTTATTTTTCATTTTAGTATTTTGTAAGATCTCGGCGAGGTTCCGCCTCGAATCAATGTTTTGTTGTTTTTCGGACGTCCCAGCTTTATCCAAGGCGATTCGCATCGTTTTGTCTTCAGTTTCCATTCTTAATTGATTATTTTCTAATCCGATGTGGGCTAAATGTCTAAAAGCTGTTGGTTCTGAAATATCATCTCTACTTAAATTTTCTTTTGGGGCAAAATCAAATTCGGAATTTGACGAATTTCTTCCTGGAAAATCAGACATTTCTTCGAGTTGTCTGCTCACCTGGTGATAATCAACGTGGGCAATGTGAAGGAAATTTGCTGGGTAACTTATATCTTTTTTCGTTAACGATCTTGTTATAGCTATTCTTGGTAATTTTAACGGCTTTAAATTGTTGGAATCGACCCCTGAGAAATAATGTTGGATGTTATCGATTATGTTTTGATCAACGTTTTGGATCGAAGAAAATTGTCGTTTTTCTTCTAATAAAAACTAAAATTTTATTTTTTATTTCTTATCGAAAGAAAATAAAATAAAAATTTACTTCTTTAGAATCCTGTCGTGGGATGTGTCGGAATTCTTTTGGTCCGTTATTGCTTAAATCTTTTCGTAACGTTTTTTGGCGTTTGGGTATCGCTGGAGGTTCTTCCAAAATTGGATATTCTACAAAGAAGTTAAAAAAAATTATGTATTAATACTTAATTGTAATGTTACCTGCTAATAGCTCGCCCAGCTACTATTTTATAATACTTAGATATGCTTAAAGATTTCAACATTTTTTTTTATAATAATTACTCATTAATTAACTATAATTAATTTATTATCAAATCGAAAAGAATTTAATTGAAATAATTTAAATATATTCAAATGTGACTAATTTATGTTTAATTATAATTACTATTAGTAACTCTCGGTCTCATTTCAACCAAATAAGTAAGGTTATGTACCTTCTAATTGAACTGTCAAAATAAAAGTCAAGCAGATCTAACCTCAACTCAATAATTTTTACGTTTTAATGGTATTAAAACTTATTAACAGTGTAATTAATTTATTATCAAATCGAAAAGAATTTAATTTAAATAATTTAAATGTGACTAATTTATGCTTAATTAGTTACTCCCAGTTTCATTTCCACAAAATAAGTAAGAAGTAAGGTTATGTACCGTCTAATTGAACTGTCAAAATAAAAGACAAGCAGATCTAACCTCAAACGAACAATTTTTACGTTTGTTAAACCTCATTAACAATGCAAGTAACATTACAATATAATTAGCAAAATAGAAAAACTGTGTCCAAATATACATGTAATAAACACAATCTTACTGAAAAAAATCTGAGTCTTAAATTATAATCGGAGGTAAATCCGTGAGTTTGTTATTATGTTCTCTAATCAACAACTTTTTTATCTTTCTTTTGTAGTGAAGAACCCCCTTTCTTATACTCTGTTTTTAAACCAGGAGAAGTATTTTAAATTTGTCACCAGATTGACCTTGCATGTGATTGGTTGAATGCGAGGAAGGTTCACACACAGGCAATTTTGAATTTGAAGGTTAGGTAATTGATAATTCGACAGTTTCGTGTCATTATTGTATATTTTGTATTCTTAAACCCTTTTTTATTATATTTTGAAATAAATACACTCATAACTTCAATGTTAATTTGTATGTATAGTGTTGACGATAACAAACGAAAATAAATACAATAATAAGTAAATAAATAAATAATAATAATTATTAATTTAAATTTACCGCCAAAATATCTAGTGATATTTTCTGGTGATTTTTCCTAGTGTAAATCTGACTTTCGCGTTTACTCCTCCTGGTTTAAAAACAGAGTATAGTAGTATATACATGCTTGAATTTTAGCGTTTTGTAAGGAAAAAAATGTACAATGAGTATTTTTATCCATAATGAATACATTTTAATCAATGACCCTTAATTTTTAATTGTATTCTATTTTTATGCATGACAACTATGCTCTCCATCTGATAAGATAATCTTTTTGGATATTGTTAATAAGATAAAACGTGGAGTCGGTGTAGATCAAATGAGATTAGTTCTTTTAAGGAAATAGATATGTTTTGAAAATGTCAGTGCAAAAACGTTTGTAAAAATTAATTTTGATTGATTACGAATTTAACATGGCTATAGTAGCCCTTTATTTGAATCAATTTTATTTTATTATTAACTATTATTACTGATAAAGCTATAATAAGTCAATTTAAATCGTAATTATAAGATTTAGATTGATTTAAGAATTAGATTTAAAATCTTACCGTTGCTGTTTGGTATTTCCCTCATTTAGTAATTAAAACTGTTTGATTTTTCAAAGCACAAGAATTAAGAATGTACTCGTAGTTGAAATAATTATATATAAATCTTGTTGAAATCGCTTGGAACAATGTCGACTGTCTACTGATTAAAAATGTACAATAAATTTGTAATTATTCGTTATCTAATCAGGTGAATCACATTATTTTAAGTATAACGTCAATTTAACGTTAATTTATTGGCAAATTTCCAAAAAATTCTTTTATTTAATTTAATTTGGTTCTATTCAAGTTGATTTATTTAAATTAATGATTTGTTTCAAAATAATGAAAATAGTTAAATGTTGCCCTGGATTTAGAAATAATTATCTTATCAGATCTAGTGAAAGATTTAATGCTTTAGCGTAAATTCCAGAAAAAATATGTGCATTTGAGTTGTATTAAAGAATTTATTTACACAAAAATAAATCGATCGGTCCTCGAACTAGAGTTTATAACAAAAATAATAAGAACACATCATTTCACCTATTAATACTTATAAATAAGGAATATATTTTATAAACAATAATTCTGGGGACCAAAAGAATAAACCAAAAGATTGCATCTTTTCTATAGATAAGGAGAAAAAAGGGCGCTTGCGGCTGAACCGTTGCATGATTAATAGATAATCGGCTGCAAGCGAACCCTAAATGATTAACAAATAATACAGCGCATTTGCTAAAATGTATAAAGGTGAATGTATGACTGCGCTTAAAAGAATCAACCAAAAGATGCAAGAACACAGTTTGATAATAAAGTAAATGGCACCGTTTGTATAATAAAGTTCCCCATAGCTTTTGTAAATAATCTTCGTGACTTAACATCTATTTTAATGGTATATGGATCGGCAAGACGTTAATAAATTAAAAAAAAAACTAATCACAATCGAGTTAAATTAAATTAATTTATAAATTAAACGATTTTCTCTTCATTTTTCGTTTCGTTGTGAATTCTAATAAGGTCTCGGATCGTAAGGTGTCGCATGTAATCCCACGTATCTGTTGTTCTTTCGATGTTGAAAACCGCCTTCGGGCGAAGCGTTGTAATAAATTACCCTTCGAATACCAAACGGATCGACGTAACCGAAACTTCCACTTTTTTGATTTCCAGGTAACTGTTGTTCTTCGTGATAAGCCCTCGGTATGTAATATCTATAAATAAAAGTATTAATAAGGAAACATTTTTAATGTGATTGTTATTTTTGTCCGAATTAATTAACGTCTTAATTGCTGTCGTTTATGTTGCCATAAACGGACTTAAAATTGCTTTTTTATTGTATTTATAACCGACGGCAAATCCTAGACGAAAAATATAATCTTCTAATTAAATAAATATTTTTTTTTACCTGAATCCATCGTTAGTGACAGAAACCCCATCGTATTCAGGATATTGCGGATCATAACCATTTCCTATTTTATTATTTTGACCGTTAAATGTGTGTCCGTGTGTATCAATCGGATAAGTTGGTCCATTATGATTAATATAGGGATTTGAATAATGTTCGTATTGTGGATTAGAACTATATACAATGTTTGGTGCTGGGGTTGTTGAAACTTCTTGATTTAAAGAAGGGGTTGAGCTTAAAATTGGGATTGGAGTTGATGTGTAATGAATGGAATTTTGATCGTTATAAATATCGTTTGAAGTAATCGGTGGTGAAATCGTCGTTGAAACTCCAGCCGGAAGTTCGTAAGGATAAGAATTCGGGCGAATATCAACGTTAGATACGCTATTTGGATAACTTGGAATATAAGAATTTGACGGTCTTTGTGTTGTGCTTGAAGGTGCATTTGAAGTACTTGAATATCCTAATTTGCTTGTTTCCACCAAAACTCCATTTTCCGCGGGAGCTTTTTTAGCTGCTTTTATGGCTTGTTCAATCGGAGTGTGGAAACCAACTTGAACGTTTTTAGTTCTTAATATTCTGTATCCTTCATTATCCGCGATGTAATCTCTTTGTCTTAAAAATCCGTCAGCATCTATCCAAGCGTATGTACCTATAACGGTTCCATCCTCCAATCTCTTTTCTTTTCTATATTGGCCACTTTGTGTTTGATATCGAAAGTATCTCTCGGGACCTTCATCAGTTTGTATGTGGTATTGCCCTAATGGATCTGTCCATTCTGCTTTGATACATTCTAAAAGAATCGTCTGCAAAAAAAATTAATAGTATCAATATATTTAATCTTAATTTTGTAGAAGAAAGTTAGTATAATTAGTAAAAGTTTTTTAAGTCATAAAGAAAAAGAGAGTTTTCTCATTCATATTTAATGAAATAAGTTATATAATGATAGAAAGTGACGAAAAAATCGATTTTTGATTTCTAATAAGTCTTTTATACCTGACTCAACATTGCTAAAAAGATGATTCACATCTTAACAATCTTGTACACAAAACGATATTCGATGTCATACTTGTAAACAAACTACATAATATATTCTAACATGTTAAACATGACGTAATCGTTTCATTTATTAACGATTTTAATCAAACTTAATTTGTTGATTACATGCCATGATAAGCTTTTTCTTATAGTATAACCATAATTAATACCTTTGCATTGTTACGACGTTAAATTACCGATTCCACACGGACAATATTGAATGAAATGGCCTTAAACGCTTATAAATACACACGACAAGCATAGAATTAGTTCAATGTCAAGTGGTGTATATCTGGAATTAATTAACTAGGTAAATGATGCAACAAAATGCATCTTGTATTATTTCGACTTAAGTGCAATAGGACAAAATAGATGTTGAAACAAACAATGGATCGTTTCCGGACGGAGAAAGCACCGAGATTCCTAGAACTTTGAAAACACGTACAACAATAATAATTGCTCTTTTTCCCCTGAAGTTGTATTTTAAGCTCGCACGCCATTTGGCGATTAAAAATTCTACGCGCGATTAAAACCGTCTATGATGTGCTGTCGTCGTCGTCGCATATCATAGCATCATCCTGTTTTAACCTTTCACTTTAAATATGCGCACCTGATGAGAACCGAACCTAGTTTCGGTGACCAGCATAAATACCGATTCTGAAGATTCACGTTTAATTGATATTCATTTGGTGTTTTAACACGGTTTCGTTTTGCAAATGTTTTTTTTTAACGTAAACGAGATTGAGTGATGACTCACAAATAAGAGTTTTTTACACAGATTATTAATAACACGTGGAAAAGGAACTGAGTTGGTTGGTATAAGTTATTATGTAATCGGTAGTTGTAGATTTATGATTACAGTCGATCCTGTAACATACTTAGACAACGATAAATGTTATTAAAAGATTTGAAGCTTAATCGTTATAAAAAATGAGAATACGTAAAGGTTTAATCTTAATTTATAACAGATGGAACGATTGTCGAGATGGAGAGAGCTTTTTCATTCTTCTGGAGAATCTCTTATGATATGAAATAATAAATTCAAAACACACACATACACCGGATGAAGGATACAGGAAAAATGAGATATGTAAGAAACGATTTCGTCTCAAATCGCTTGCGGGTGAGGCGCTAGAATTCTCAAACTGATGATTTTGTGTTGATGTACCAAATTTAGCGCCTCGCCCGTAAACGACCTCGGCGGATTGAGATTAAATGTTTTCGTATGAGAATATTCTAAGACCAAGTATTGAACACCTTGTATCTTAATCATGATATACAAGGAACCAATTACTGATTACCAGTCTCTTAGGTTCGCTTCGTCCTTTTATACTAGGGCGTCGTGATTTATGACAAATTTGTAATAAATTTTTGGTATTATTGGTTTATTTACAATTTATTTCACTATATTTTTTGATGTGTACTTTTATTAAAAGTAAATAAAGAATGAATAGTGGATGAGATGAATGGTGATAAGAATTTAGTATTTATTGCGACAACTAGTATCTTAATGAAGTATTGCGATATTTACGAACGGTAACCAGTATCCGTTGGCCTCAAGTAATCCGCGCAAGAAGTGTGTAGGATGGTAAAAGTGTACTGTAACCAAATAAGGTTACGAACACGCTATAAAATATACACACGGATTTAGAGCGAACCCCTTTTATTTAACTTTTGTAAATGTATCTTAAAAAAACATTTATTTTTTATTTCGATTTAATTCACATTATGGTCTAAAAAAAGAAATTATTGACGTCAATAAAGGTTTGTTATTACACAATTGTTCATTGAAACAATCAAATTCGACAATTAGAGATTTCACAACGTTCTTCGTTATGGTGGTTATTTGAACAATTTGATTTTGGTACGTGCGACCTCGTCAATTGTTAAACTGTCTTGCCGCGCATCCTAATGCGAATTTTGAACACAAACGTTCCGTTGTAAATTCGACCGAACCAACAAGAAGCGTTGATGGTGACTGTTGACATTGTTTGTAAATTTCTCTGAACTACTTTTCTAACAAATTCGGCTATTTCAAGACATCTTCTTCGACCAATTTATTCCTTAGCATTTAATTGACACAGTTTTCTCGATCATGTGAACTTACAAAAGTGCATTTAACGGAACAATGATGTCCACCTGATTCGAATACGTAATAGAAGGCCCCATCATCTCGTCGAAAGACAATAGAGTTCCATTTACCTATTGGAATTGTCGCGTTATATAACATCTTCATTGTTGCTGAAACCTTAACAACAACTTGGAATTTACGTCGTGTATAAAAAACGATTTTAACTCATTCGTAATTGGATCATTACTTAGAACGCGTGTTTTGAACCGACAAATCTGACCATTTAACACGGTTAAGAAGACCGTAACGAAGGCGTCTTTACGCCTGATTACCTGTCAAGGAACGTAGATTACGGTATTGTATGGTCAAGTACGCGGAATTGGTCTATAATTTAAAATACGATAATTTGTTTGAAGGTTTTGTGTAATAAGATGATTCATTATTTTTTTTTATAAAACAACTTTAATTTTTATAGGATTTTTTTTCTTTTAGATTTCACTTTCGTTTTTTTTTATAAAAAGAATTCTCTAGAGGCTTTGTTACGGAGACCTGACTCAATACGACATTCTTCAATTCGGTTTCTGTAGGTCTTTTAAGGTAGTGTTGTTCCAGATTCGAAACGTTGTAACCGGATTAGTGAAAGTTGCCTACTGTTTGAAATGTTTCTTCCTGCGGGCTTGGTTTAATTTACAATGCACTAAAAGTTTCTTTCTTTAATGACTAATAAGGTGATAAGTCGATGTAATTATTTTGTTTATGTGGTCAGCTATAAAAGAAGTGGTGATGATGTGTTAATAAGAATAAATAAATCCTAATTTGCTGTAAAATAGATATTTTCTTTTAATAAACAAAAAGATTTTTTCGTTTTTACTCATAAACGCACTCTTTATGTACCTTGAGAACAATCATCTTTCACAATCTTCTCAAACAATGGTTTTAGTTGTACATACAACAAACAAAACATAAGTTATGGTAATTTTCTTCGTTATTCTAGTTCATAAGATTTCAACTTTCCCAATCACTACTAAAAGATTTGTTGATTTGGCAATGAACCAATTTCGAAAGAGGTTACTTAAACCAGTTTACTTCACTTCGAATCTCATTAATTTCAAAGAATTATTGGATCATTTTAAAATTAATAAATCACGCGTTAATTGCTGATCGAATTGTGAAACAATTCTTCAGGAGTGGTTCTTATTACATCTTAATTACATCCGTATTCAACTTTTACTCTTTACTTTTTGCATTTTTCTTTATCAAACACCATGAGTTAATATCTATTTTTGCGACGCAACCTTTACTTTTACTACTTATTATTTATTGTACCAACACATTTCGTTTCATAACAAACCGAATTGTGCATCATTCTTAAAATTCTCGTCAAGCTTTTTTCATTTAATCATAGTGTCAAGGTGATTGCAACAATTAAATCGTAGTTAATAAAGAGTTACGGACAAGATTGATTATGTTTAAGGAAAAAAGAATAAAAATCAAGAAGTAATAAGCTTTCAATTAGAAACTATTTCATTATTATCTATTAAATCGCGTGCTGGCATCTAAATGAGATTGCGGTGAATGTCTAAACTTCCGTGATTACTGTGTAAATACTGAGTGTTTAAAAGTAAATAAAAAGTGTTGAAGAAATAAGAGAAAATATTAGGCTTCCGCAAAGTGTACATTTAATAGCCCATATTCTTATAATATATCTGAGCAGGGACTGTAGACACTATAAATATAAAAAAGGATGCTGAACAGAGTAACGGTTGACTAGAAAAAGACCAGTAATAGAAGGAAAGACTGATTGAGACTGGAACGATAAGGAGTAAAGTAGTAATATCAAAAAGATACTTAACAGTTATAGTATTAATTTTAGCGAAAAATGTTTCAAATAATAATTGATAAGAATCAAAAAAGGAACAATTTTGCTTAATAAATTTTTTTTATATCTTGGATAGGTTGCGCTGTGTGCTCTTATAAAAAACCTGTTTTTCGTTAATAATTAAACTGTGCACAATTAATAATTAATTTTAACGCAAAATGTTTCAAATAATAATTGATTAGAATCAAAAAAACAACAATTTTTCTTAATAAATTTTTTTTATATCTCTGCTAGGTTGCGCTGTGTACTACTATGAAAAACCAGTTTTTCATTAATAATTAAACTGTGCACAATTAATTATACATTTTAACGAAAAATGTTTCAAATAATAATTGATTAGAATCAAAAAAGGAACAATTTTTCTTAATAAAATTTTTTAATATCTCGGCTAGGTGACGGTTTTTTAACGGTTTTTTATTAAATCTTTAATAATCTAGTACACATTGAGATATAATGTGTTGTTTCTTGCGAATATTCTTAACAGCGTACCTAGACAGACTCCTCTAATAAGACTAACTCTGATTTGTTGCTCATTTATCACTTTCAAAGACCCAAGCTTTCATTAATGTCTTTTCTAAACTCTTGTTAATTTCAAACAGTATTACTCATTACACATTTCCAAGTGATTTTTGAGTACTACAATTTAGGGGCACTTAAATCGATTCATCAAAATCGTAAGGTTGAATTTTGGCAGGATTACAATACTTTCTCTTTACAATGTAATGATAACTCTTTTTTTTGTTGTAAGGTCTTAATAACAGTGTTATTCGTTCGAATTTTGCAATTTTCTTCGATTTACACCCTGTATTATAGTGAGAGCGATTGAATAACATAATAAGAAAAAAATTAAATACCGGTCATCTGGACCACAACGCCAAAGGAGGGAATTTTGCAACAACCGGTGTCCTGTATATGTTCTCTGTATAGTAACTTTCACATTTTAAACGATCCAATAAGTCTTATAAAAAAAATCTTCATGAAACTGGACCACGCCTGTTTTTGTGGAAGCTGGTTCTTCCTTTTCCTTTTGATTATTAGATAATCAACAAGTTTGTTATTAATTGGGAAATCCAAAACGATTGGAGAAATTGGTAATAAAGTGTCATCATCTTCACTAATTTTATCATTTGCTGTACCTTCAAGATTACCTTAATTGATTAAAATTTTAATGAATTTTGCAATGAAATGTAATGAATCAATTAAAATGTGCAAAAATATATTAATTTAAATAACATAGAAGAAAAATTAAAAAAACAAACCAGAATGGTAATTGCCATCCAAAATTGTTGTTCCATTCCAAATCTGGCGCGATCTTTTCGACGCATTCCGTGCACTGTTGTTCGTACACTGATGATGACCGCGATCGCGACGAAACGCTTTCCTTGAATGAGTTGCTATCAGGGAGAACCCGCGACAACTAAACACTGGCGTTGTCAGAGCGCCGCTAATAATCATTCTGAAATCTTGGTGGGCGGCGATTCCTTATTTACCATCTCTTTTTCATTTATGCGTTTAACATTTACATTCTTTATTGTTTAGTTTTAATCATTGAGTCAATCTCTTATTCATTATTGATTTTAGGGGGATTCCAAACTACTCAAAATTTTTCTTTTTATTTTTGGTAATCATCAATTTATAAATCATAAATATTAAATAATCGAAAACCTTTTATTTCTAATGAATAACATGAATGGTTATGGAATAGCATTGTGAATGCCCACATTTCAATTCATACAGCATTCTCCGACTTATAATTCCATTTAAATAGTATATTTTGAATTGAACGTGTACACATACTATCAATTTGGGCGGGTGTCGACGCGCACGAAAATGAATTGTATGAATACCACCCAAAGTAACGTAAACTAATGTTTACGAATTCGAATTAGAATTCAACGGGCGCTGAACGTGTAAATCATTTTAAGGTGCAATGTTATTTATAGTCTTTTTTTTAAAAAGGTGTTTTGAAATAAAAATATTTTATGTTACAATTTATACGAGAGACGCCAAGATTTAAAAGAAAGTAGATCGTGTAGGTTGTTTGAACTTGAAACGGCACTTAATAAAAAAATCCGCGAGCTGCCATTTCGGGATTACCATAAGAGATTTCACAACCCGTGGATCGCCTACGCTCGTACTTCAAACCAACTTCGCAATAATATCTTTGGTTGTTCTTGGACAAAACGGGAACCGCGCCCAAAACCAAGGCTACATAAATATACATGCCCAAATTAAAAATATTACAAAAAATGGTGTACAATACAAGAACTGATTATCTAAACAAAAAATCAACAAACCATAACTAATTACATAACACGACTTGATGTGGCTATTTTTAAATCAACCAAATTAATTTGGCGTCTTCATATAAGGAGATTTTATTTTGACGTATTAAAATGATGGGAAAATATCTGACATCTTTCCCACATCTCTCCACTTTAAAAGGAAATGTTAATTGCTGACAAATTGTTTGCTTACTATCTTGACGTAATTGGTAATTTTGAGAAAAAATGGACTTTTTTAATAAACATCCTTTGACCATGAATTTATTTTATTTATGATTATATTCCAAAGACTTTATTATAGGTTTATTAAAAATTCAATCTGATTGTTTCCGTTCGATGAATTATTATGGGTGAACAAACTACAAGAAATTAAGACACACGTTTATAAAACTGACCTTGCACCCACCGTTTATTACATAAAAGGATTCGGGATTAATAGACCTACGCAAATACCTACCAACACACGTAAACATAAAGGATTTAGTTCGGTTTAGTTATCAACAAAAAATGCACACAAGAAAAAAAAAAGCGTGTGTTGAAATTACGATAATAATAAGAGGTGAAGTATTAACAATTAAGTCAATACACTTTTTTCTTCAATGTGGGATAAATAATTCCCCATGGAATGATGTAGATGATTCTCTAACAGTAAATGTATCTGTTTATTAAAGTTGTTGAAAATTAATGAAAACATGATGAATCATTTTGTTAAAAGCAAAATTCCTTTTTGTATTTGCGAGGCCGCTTGCGGCAGAGGAGCCACAATTTGTTGACCAGTTTCAAGTTGATATGATCTTAAATTGGTTGAAGAATCATTCTCAGCCATAAAAAATAGAAATTAATCGATCATAGTTGATTTAATTGATAAAATAATTATTTGAGAGATGATCTTTTTATAAAAAAGAACTACTTTATTTTATACTAATTATTATTATTATTTTTTTTTCAATTATTTTGTTATGAACGTTTTATGGTTTAATTATGTTATTTCCTTAAGAAACACAACTTATAAGTAATGAACTTTTATTGTGAGATTGTTATTTTTGGATTGGTTGCTTTTGTATTTTAGTTATGCTCTGAGGAAGATCGAAATATTAGTATAAAATAAAGTAATTTCTTTTTTATAAAAAGATCGTCTCCAGAATAATTATTTTATCAATAAAAAATAATAACCATTCCAAATTCCCTAATGATTCCTAACCGCATGATGACCACCGACGCCTCGTAAGAATAGTGAATGATCATCATGATAAAGAACATATTCAAAAAAATAACAATAAATTTACAATAACACATTTGATGTTTGTGTTGTCTATGTTAAAGGGGTATACAACTTGAAATACTATCTAATTAGTTTATTTATTCTGTGTCAGTACTAGGTTCATTTCAAACTTTATATATTTATTTAATTATTTTAAATAAGATAAAAATACCAAAAAGAAAACGAAAACAAATTTGAAATAAATTTATATAGATGTCTTAAATTACCAAAATGCTATTTGGGTTGCATATAAAACTTTTATTATTATAAAATGAACACTATAAAACATTAAACTCGTCTATTTAAATCAACAATAACAAAAATATCATTTCAACGGATACCACACAAATTCGAAACTTTGCAAACCAAAACTCTTTTCAGTTTCTTCCTTCGGGGTTAAAATCGAATCATACCCTAAATTGATTAACCTCACTTTCGGTCGATACCCAAATTCATCAGCAACATAAGTCACAATCCTACTAATTCCATCACGTCCATTCACAAAATATCCCCCGACTTTAGTACCATTTCTCCACCCCATTTCGTAATGCCCATGGAACCCAATAGTATAATTAAACTTATATAACAAATCGGAGATATCCCCAGTAGATATTCCATCAGGAAGCCCGTCTTTCATCCCAGGGTATTTATCCTCAATCGGAATCGGCGGATTATTAGGTACCAATATAGAATTATTTTCTATTTTTATATCATCTACAATACTATGGGGTTTTGATTGAGGTTGAGTGGTTTGAAGATTTGGCAAAATAGGGTTTTGAGTATTTTGATTCATGATTCCGTGAGAGAGTATTTCTGATGGGGTATTTTTTGTTGGAGTTATTTGAATCGAACCACTTTCGGTTGTTAGTCCTAAAATATTTTTATTGCCTTTGTAACCAGAGTTTTGACCTGGTTGGGTTTGTGTATTAGGATAATTTATATTTTGTGGTACATTTTGATTGTTAGGTTTTTGGAGATTTATTGATTGACCATCAGTAACTTGAGATATCGGACTTTGACCTTGAGTTATTCCAGAAGGATAATTTTGATTTGTTGTTCCTTGAACTCCTTGGGCATTAAAAGTTTGTGATGTTTGAACTTGACCTTGACTTAGTCCAACAGAAGGATAATTTTGATTTGTTGCCCCTTGAACTCCTTGGACATTTAGAGTTTGCGATGTTTGAACTTGACCTTGATTTATACCAGCAGTAGGATAATTTTGATTTGTTGCTCCTTGAACTCCTTGCGCATTTAGAGTTTGCGATGTTTGAACTTGACCTTGATTTATTCCAGTGGAAGGATAATTTTGATTATTTGCCTCTTGGACTCCTTGAGCATTAAGAGTTTGTGGTGTTTGAACTTGACCTTGATTTATTCCAGCGAAAGGATAATTTTGATTTGTTATCCCTTGAACTCCTTGGGCATTAAGAGTTTGCGATGTTTGAACTTGACCTTGATTTATTCCACCGGGAAGTGAAGTTTGTGGAACATTCTGATTTGATGGTCCTTGAATATTAAATTGTGGGCCATTTACAGCTTGAGGTGTTTGACCTTGTTGGGTTACTCCACTTGATGGGTGAAATCCTAAAGAACCTTGATTTTGCGATGTTTGCGGTGCATTTTGAACGATAGGTTTTTGACCACTAAATGGCGCTGAACCTAAACTACCTGTATTTTGGATATTTGGTGCATTTTGATCAATTCCACCTTGAGTTGATGAGAGTAATCCTTGAGTTTGATATATTTGATTCCCTTGATTAGTTCCTCCAGATGGATAATTAAGATTTTGTGGCACATTTTGATTTGGACCAACATTAATACCTCCACTTGGTATATTGACACTTTTTGGTGTAGTCGATGAACTTTTCGTGACATAACCACACCCAGCACAAGCTGGTTTAATAGTTGCTTGGGTTGTAAACACAATTGGTTGCTTACTACTCTGAATATTTGGATTAACAAGATCTGGACGTTTAGTTACCGCACCTAAATTAGCAATTTGCACATTTTGAACGTTTTGAACTTGCGTTGGTTTAGGAATTGAGGTAGTTGAAGTAAAAACTTCCTTTTGATTCTTATTAATATTTGCTGGAGATGATGTGCTAAAAGATTCCCCAATCGGAAGCGGCTTTGTTGTGTAAGATCCAGCTTGAGACCCATCAAGAGCTAAAAAAAAATATTTAGTCATCCCAATAATATTTAATTATTAATTCTTACGCCCACTAATCCTAACATTTCTCATACTCAAAATTTTGAATCGACCATTTTCATCGGTGGCGTACACCGTTACGTGATAAATTCCATCGGCGGTTATAAACCCGAATTCTCCTTGGATGATTCCGTTTGCATCTTAAAAATTTGTTTTAATTATTATTTATTAATATATTGATTTAAAAGAGTACCTCTTCTTTCATGGCGATGTTGTTGCCCATCGATGGAAAATCCAAACTCATAGGGTCGATTTTCATCGTTGACTTTGCTATCTTCTTTGCAAAAGACGACGTATGAGCAAAACAACCATAAACTCTATTACCCACATAAAAATGACAAAAATAAAATAAGTGATATTATAATTAATTTAATACGCTGTAAAAAACATTTATTGTTTTCCGTCCTTGCATAATAAATAATAGCTTTCACTTTTACCATTGAGGGTCTTCGTGAGCACCAAGGATTTTAATCAGTTACTATAAATAAGTACAATAATTCGTCTCGCACTCACGCATCAACTATTAATTATTAAAATATAATTTTCTTTGGGGTTCAAGTCATTGCTTGAAGTGATATTCTGATATCATCTTATGCATTAAAATGCTGGCTAATAAATTCTTGAATATAAACTCAAATTAGCAATTGAAAAAAGTTATTTTTGGATTTCAAGGTTTTTTCAAATTGAATTTGATGAATAAAATAATTTTTTTTTAATTAAATTATTTACTTACCAAGAATTTAATTTTTGTAAACATTTTTCTTGATAAAAATCTAGCAGTAAATCGCCGAATCGTTCGTAGAAGTGCCGACCATAAAAGAGTCACTCAACTTTGAAATTTATTTGCACAAAAGTGTGGTCATCAAAAGGCAAATACCGGTGATAAGGCCCCAATATTACTTAGCGGTAACGAAGCAAATTTGTTTGTCTTCTCCGTTCCATCCTTACTTTCATCTTTTATTACGCACACTCCCACCTACAATTTCAAATCTCAAAGTTCCTTTTCTTTTCTATCCAACCACAAGAAAACCATTAATCTTTAAGAACCATCAAATGGGAAATTGGAAGGAGTTTTTTTTCAAGTTCGAAATTTTATTTATTTAATCACTTAACACTTCTTCAATTATAAAAGTGATATAAAAGTTTGGCACAAATTTTTTTGTGACATCTTAAACCAATTTAAAAAAAATCATTTTTAACATTAACCAAGAAAATCATATGATCCAGTTTTGTATTAGGTTTACAGAAAAATAAGGAGTTAAGTTTTATCTCAACTGTTTAAAGGAGACCTTCACCTCATTTAAGATTATCGTTTCCTAATACACATTGTGATTTTCTATGATCTATTGTATTAGGAGAGTAGGAATTAAATAATTCAATACAACCCGAAATAACACTGTGTAAATAGATATCAGAGAATCAATTAACACAGGAATATGTTAGGTATGGTCGATTTCAACAACTTTTAGGAAGTATGTTAAGAAAAGTTAAATAAAGGATTAAAATGAAAGAAAATTAAATTGGATTTTTTTATTCAAAACCAATCTTTTCCATAAAATATCCAACATTAATCCATTCCCTTCTAGGTAACCCATTACTTTTTATAAACTTATTTAACTCAACACAACAATTTTTATATTTCCCCAAAATATTTTCTGTTGAAACATCCTCCTTAAAACAAACGATAATTTCATTAAGATCCTCGTCCAACTTATAACAAGTAATCAATTTAAATTTTTTCTTTAAACTCTGAATGATCGTCCGTCTTATTTTTTTATCCCTAATAACTGCGTTTAATACAAAAATTCCGGTATCAGTTAACGAAGATATTACGTTATCTATCGTGGAATCTTCAAGAAATTGCTTGGGGGGACAACTCATTCCTATTGAACTATCTTTACTGTCCACGTCAAAAAGAATTGCGTCATACTTTTCGTCTAAAATGGAAATGTTTGTTTTAATTTTTTTTTAATAGAAAGTTTTAATTTAAGTACCACTTTTCGAGGAGTTTTCCAAGAAAATTAACCCATCCAATATTTCAACGACGACTTCTTCACTTTTTACGAACCCGAACCACTCCGTCGCTATTTTTAGCATATCTTCATCGATATCAATCACTTTAATCGTTGTTTTAGGAAGAAATTTATGTAGAAACGTACATAATCCACCTCCTCCTAACCCAATTACAGCTAAAGACTCTTTTTTATTACCCAATAATATTGATAGGGTCATATAAAGGTGATGTTTACAACTAAGATATAGGGGATCAACAATTTCTTTTGGATTTCCCCTCCTTGGTTTTACTAAAATAAAATTCTCTTATTAACTTAATTCTTTTTTAATATATTTATTTTACCGGTTTTTAATCTTGCTTCTGATTGAATAAGTAATTGCGTTTGTAAATAATATAATCTACGATATTTTACTTCATCAATTTTGACATCTTCTATAACATAATCCCCGGAAAATTTCGAATTCCCTTCATATCGAATGATTCTTTCGCCAACTTCCGAGTTTATTGACAAAAATGGTATCTAAAATGATTTTTTTTTAGATGTTTGTTAGACTTTTAATAATAAATCAAGAAAATTATTTAAATTGTAGTAAATCATACTTGCTTTGCATAATCCTAAGTAAGAATTAACAATGTAATCCATTTCGCGAATTATTTCGGAGCTATATCGCGAAATTGTAAACAAAATAACAAACTGAGCGTCGAACGGATTTTATTATAGAAGTGTAGGAGTGCTGAGGAAATTTTTGGCAACTAAATCGGTGTCGCCTTCAACTCAACTGAAATTATACCACACACTAATCAGCTCTTGTACAATATGGTAGCTAAGTTTGGACCATGAGTCAAACTGACATAGATAGAAGAGTATTTATAAGACATATTTCAAAAAGTAGTTTCAAGGATATAAAAAACTAGTTTTATTATCCATATATAGGTTTTGTTAAACAATTTTTGTTGGTGGTTATGTTCAGTTTTATCTTTTTTATTCTTTTCAGAGATTACATAATCAATTTTACCATATAATTCCTTAATTAAAAGTTTTTTGTGTTAATTCTTTGATCTTAGCTACATAAATTTAGAAAAAAAATCATATTTACCAAAGCAGGGGGATCCACTGGTGCTAATTTTTTAATGATATCATTCAATTCAATTTTAATATCATCTAAACTCCCGTAAGTTTGATTCCTATGCATCGTAATAACCGTTAAACGATTATGATGGGACATTTTTGCGAGTTGTTTTCTTCCTTCTATGGTTGAAAATAACCATTCGGCTTCTCTAAACGAAAAAGAAATAACTTAGCCCAACAAAATCATAATTTATTACCTTCCTTGAGGGACAATAAACGCTGCATATTTAAAATTTTCTCGTTCAAACGGAATATCAATAACGTAGGCGGTGTATCTAGGCGAAGAACTGTTTGTTTCAAAAATTTCGAATGATACTACATCGTCGTCTTTTATCGTGGTGTTTTTTAAATGTGAACATAAAAAGGATGATTGTTGAATACTTGAAATTAAATCTTTAACTTTGTCTGGTTTCTCGGCTTTTGTTCCTTGTGTATTTAGTTCTAAGAAAACATCTGCAATCTATTTAATTATTATTAAATTAATTTAATAGTATATTAAAAAACTAGTTTTGTAAGACACGCTTGAAATGCATGAATTCAAGTTTAAAAACGAGTGACGAAGCCACAAGTTTTTTTAATGAATGAGTGCGTTAAGTCTTATGAAACGTGTTTTTTATGTTATTTTTTGTAATTCGCGTTTTGATCCTATTTTTTTTAACAAAAATATAATAAATTTTGACAATATAGGGAAATAGGTATGTAGCAGTTGGTAACACCGTAACACTTGAAAATAGAAATTTGAATTGACAATTAGAAATTCATAAAATGTTATTAAAATCTCATTACAGCACTCATTTGAGTACTGTAATAGCTTTCATTACCGTCGCGAATTACAAAAAATTAAATTGATTAAATTTACCATAGTTGATTTAGATTGAATTTTACTACAAACAACCATAAAAACTGGAAAAATATTTTCGTTATTATCCTCTGCTTTATTTTCAGCTTCATGACATCTAATTATTTTAAATAACCAAGAACTATTATGAAAGAAATCAATTAATTTGATTAAAATATGTTCTTGTAATAAAGAAATGCAAAGATATTTCCCCCCATTTTTTAAAACCCTATTTATTTCCTCTAAGTATTTATCAATTTCAATGATTGTTGATTCTTTATCATTGGGCATTAAAGCATCTAATGTTCCTTTATCAATAATGGCATCAAAATATTCATTATCAAAGGACATATTTGTTGCGTCCATTTGAATAAAGTTCATATCAGGCCTTTTTTGTTCATTAGCTTTTTTCATATGCTTTATGACAGTGTGGGATATATCAATATTCGTAATTGTTCTAAAATATTGGTTGTTTTAAAACTTTTATAACAAAAAAATTAAGATAATTTTACTTATATCCAACATCATACAAATCATTACCAAGCGTTGAATTACCACACCCAACAATTAAAACTTTATTATTCGGACGAACGTATTTGTGAAGATCTGAACATAATTCGGGGTACTCACCATACCTTTAATACAAAAAAAATTATTAATTTTATTTTGATATTTTAATTAAACTTACCATTCGAACGCTTTATTTCCTCTTTTTTTAAAGAACGATTCCCAGTATTCTTTTTTAGTGAATTCTTCTTTATTTTTAGGTAATAAATTCATTTTATAAAGATTAATAGTTAATTCACGTGTATTGTTGTATTTTGAGGTTAGATTTTTTGACAGAAAAACATTGCGAGCTATCAAAAGGAGGTTGCTAAGTTATTTAAATTTGAAATTCTCCCTTTGATTCTTAGATGGCGCAACAAATCATCTCATAAGATGTCAATTAAACATGCAATTAAATTCAGATTTTTTTATGTTTTTATCTTTTATTTCCGTTTTAAGCTTGTTTTAGTTTTATGGTCTAAAAGCAATACAGCTTTTGCAATTATTCTAATCTTTTTTATAGTTTTTGCTGTCATCGTCCATGCTTCAAACCCGTATGGGAGGACTGATGGCACTCAGGTGTTCCAAATCTTGTGCTTATGCTATTTAATCTAATAGATTATATGCCTTTGCTATAATTAACTTTAGTTTAATCCAAATGTAATCAACAAATTATCGGGTTAATCCAGAAATCGGTTTAATCCAACACATCTAATAGTAACTTATTCCTCCTTAACACAATATTGTTAAAACACATTGTAGCACCGCGAATTTGTCTTTTTCTCTCGAAATTTAGGAGGCTTAGATTTCATCTAATTAACTCTCAATATGATGATCAGTTTTAGGTTGATACAATATTAGATCTAGTGTTAGTTCTTGTTTTAGTTATTATTCAGCGTCAGGTGATGGATGAGTTAACATACAAAGAATATCAAAGTATGTTAATTAATTATGTGTGTAGGGTTCAACATTGCTGTCGATAAGATGGCATAAACTGGTTCATTACATCAAACGATTCACCATGACAATCAATTAGTAAAATTGTTAATGGCGATTGTTGCGGATAAAGTTAATTTCGACCTCATTGCCATAAAAATGAATATATTTCATCAGATTATCAATTTTTTTTAATTCTGCAATCCAATCGCGGAGTCCACACGGCAGATGCTCAAGGTGCCAAGCAATTACTGCAAAAGTAACGAAGTCCGAACGCTAGCGCGCGTGCAGTTCCGCCATTCTCGTCGTCTCTCCAACGATAATTGCCCACCAATACCACTATTATAAATCAATTTTATAATTCGCTCCCTGTCGAAAGTTTGCACACTAAACGACATCGAACGTAAATCAGTCTAAAGGAATTTTTCTAACCTTAAGGTAGTATCAGTTCCAAACTTCAAAGCTACTTAGAAATTTTATTTTTTTTAAATTATTTATTTAATATTGTTTTCCTTTCCAACTATTTAATAATAAATATATTTTAGGATAAATTTTTGAAGAATAGGGTTGGTATGTTGTGTTCAATAATATAAAGAGAAGATATTTTATAAAAAAAATATTATTTTAATATTGATCTCTTATTTTCTATACTACTTAGTAATAAACAGTTTATGAATTATTAACGATTACTGTTAAATCCAATGAATATTATAGGTACGACTATTTTTTTACGTTGACAAGAGCACAAACAAAATAATCATTATCCTTAATATCCTTTCTAACATTAAATATCGTTTAAACCAAGTAGATAATAGAAAATCAATCTAATTTCTCAGGAATATCTATGAAAAACAATCATTTCTTTAAACATACCTCTAACCTTTCAATACACGCGTACGCAAGTTTCCCGTGCATCTGAAGCCGCACAGCTAAACACGAAATTTTGTAAGTCTAGTATTAGTTCTAGTTTTAGTTGTTATTCAGTACTGGGTTGTATATTCTTATCAAACTAAAACTAGAAGTCGAATGATTCTAGGTTTAGGTCTAGAGTTAGTTCTAGTGATAGTATTAGTTTTAGTTGTTGTTCAATGTTAGGTTGTTGTATATTTTTGTTGAAGTAAAACTAGAACTATCTCTAGAACCAACACAAAACCTAGAACTAATCATTTGGGTTTAGCCGTCTTAAAGACGTGTGGCTAAATCCGAATGTTTCTAGTTCTATATCTTGTGTTAGTACCAGTGATAGTACTAGTGCAAAATTAGAACTAACACTAGACCGAGAACTAGAATTATTCGGGTTTAGCCGTCTTGAGAGATGAGCGACTAAATCCGAATGTTTCTAGTTTTAGAAATATTAATTCTCAAAATATATAAATAAATGTTTATTAAATGACTTAAGATCAAATCTACGTTGATATATTTTTGTTTTGTAAGGAACCAATTAGTTAGACGATGGATATAGCTTTTTGATGAATTGCCTTTGCATAAATAATAGAAAATGTTTTCCCTCTCACACAAAAGCTCTTTTATCCAACTAGAGATCGTGAATCGCGATACCCTGACAATATCATAATTGGGCATTAATATTGCGCCCATTAGGGTCAATTTAATATCGAAAAAGAATATTTCGTACTTACTTAGGTCATTAATAACACAGCATTTGAAAGGAGGAGGTGCTTTATTCGATTAGACATCGTAACGGAATTAAATATTCTTCGAAGGTTTAATTCCTTTAGGAAAATGAACGAGGTAAGCTTTTATTATTTTATCAATTGATAGGGAAAATAAAAATAAAAATGAAAATGAAGTGGTCACGCTTCGGGGAATATGTGAAAACGAACTGATTAATTGTTTCGATTCACTACGAATATTATAGTAGCCGAGTGTTATTACTTACGTGTGAATAATTTATAGCAATAGTAATTACATACCGGTTTTAACGAACTTCATCTCATTGTCGTTTTTTTATTTTTTTTCATTTTCTGTTTTAGGTCATTATAGCGGGGTTATTTTTTTGTCTTTCGTTTTAATAGAGGGTGAATCGTAAAAGGGTTCAAGTTAAGTTTATTACTCTAGATCTTAATGAATGACAGATATAAATTATACAAGTTACCGTATCACCTACCAGGTGACCAATAAGACGTTAAGCAGCAATTTATGAAACGAATCCTATCTTTGGACACTCCCGGTTTATACGGCAATAAAATAAACAGTTTAAAATTTTATTTCAATGTTTTTACCCCATTTGGTTTTATAATAATCTTAGTTAACCCCTTAACTTCATATTTTTACTTTATTTTGTTTTCTGTGTATATCATAAAACGAGGTATAACGCATAACCCTTTATTACATATTTTACAATAACACCAGGTTTTTTTCCTCTTCCTTTTTTCTTGGTTGATGAAATAAATTCAGGGCAATGGCGCTTAGTCAGTTTCAAAGGTCCTAGTTGTTTTGGTCTTCCATGAGGTTTCCCAAACGACTCTTGCTCTATCACTGGAAGTAAAAACATTTGGGTTTCTAATACATATTTTTTCTTCAAACATCTCTTACTTCAGAATATATTTTGATAAACCCTCCAGAATGAGTTTTTGGCAAAGACCATCCACGGCAACTTTGACTGGTACTTTGAAGAAAAAATGTAATTATTTAAATAGGTCATTTTTAATTACTTTATTGATTGTTATGGAAAAACTTATTATTCGATTAAAATTACAAAATCGATCAAAATATATCTACGTCCATAAAATTGGATCAGAGTATCAGGAAAAAAAAAGGTAATAAAATGAATAATATATCTCTTTTCGCCTGAAGTGGATTAAAAATACCGGAGCAGAACACATCCCGTTTCTGATTTTTATTGCATAATTTGCATAAGTCACACATATTAGGCCTTCGAGGCCACTTAACTTTATCATATAAGGCGACTCTTCCCTCAATTACAACGCGTTCATTGGACAGTTATTAATTACGGAGTTGTGTACGTTAACGTCGGTTACCTTGTTTTATTATATTGGATATTACCGAAAAGCATCGTTGCATATAAATCGATATTGACGCCCTTCGAAGACGACAGCGAGGGACGTCGTCGTTCCGAATATAAAAAATAATAAAATATGACGTGCGAAATGGCTCATTATAATAATTGCGATCGTACGCGTATAGTTAATTGGGTTGCAGCGATTTATTATAAAGCGTTTCCTTCGTGGCTTCCGGCGGATTTTCTTTAAATTAAATTAAGGGGCTCGCGGTGCCTTGTTAAGCCTTCATCTTTGTGAGCTTCGGCGACCGTTAAGAAAAAATAAGGGACATTCTTCTGGCGCATAATGATCCCCGTTATTCGGATGCGACGACAGCTCGAATTATTACCCTGTCGATCAGTCAATATACCTTAACGTCCAGTCTCTTTCAAACCAACTTTAACTACCAAAAAAAATTGTAAAAGAAGAAGAATTCTTACATATTTTGTATATTTGTGAATCACATCTTAGATATGAATGACTAACGCTAACGATTTATTTATTTATTCACTCAATTCAAATTGCGACATCAATTCAGTTCTCTTATTGAGTGAATTATTAATAATGCGAATCGCTTTGTCCGACCTATGCACTTCCGGACGAGCCAGACCAAGAAAATTATGTGTAGGAGATGGAGAGGTAGATATGGACCTGTAAATCTTCGTAAACATTAATTAACTGCGCATGCAAATGGGATTCGGGGCAGCTCGCGGACGGGCCGCAATTAATTTTCCCTAAACGAGTGATAATGAGCCCGCTATAAATCACATCTGCCCGCGGTTTTGTCGTCCGCCCCTTTCCTCTTGCGACCTTCACCAACGTCCAAACGATTCGACCACGGGTTCGTTTCGTTCGTATTTATGTATACGCGATGGCGTGGGCAGCGCCAGTTTTGCACCTCGGAAACTCATACGACCGATAATTGGACTAAGCGTTTTGAATTATGGGATGGTTTTTTGAAAAAACAACCAAAGTTGTCGACACTTCCTATGACGACGCCGACGATGCAATTTTCAAGAGAAATTCTATTTTGAAATATCTATTATCATTATGTTAAAGAGACAATCTTAGTAGGCAGATGTTTTTACTCCAACATTATTTCATTGTCAGTTATACTGAATGCAGTAACCATAGTTGCGAAACTACTATGCTACTTGCACTGTCTCATATAAAATGCAACATAACTTAATAGTACAGGTATTGGGTAGTTTTGCTTGGAAAAGGTGACGTACTTATGATAACTTTGAGTTAAGTGGGCTAAACCCGAATGTTTCTAGTTCTAGGTCTAGTGTTAGTTCTAGTTTTACACTAGAGCT